CCTGCACGCCCCCCTACTGGGGCCCCTCCACCGGAGCCCACAACCCAGGCATGTGCCCTGACCAGGGATCCAACCAGGACCTCTCAGTCCATGGGACAATGCTCAGTCCACTGAGCCACACCGGCTGGGCTTTACTTGCTATTTAATGTTGTTCTAACTAAAGAAATTTAGAATTTTAATTTATTACCCTAAAATTTACCATTCATCTTTAAATTGTGGAATTCTAGTTTTAAATGTAAACAGACTATTAATTTGTAAGCAAAATAATAAAAACTATAATTTATATTTTGTATCTCTTATATTCATGTGTATTTAATTCTTATAATGGTGGAAACACTGCACAAAACTAACTCAACTGTTTTATCCCACTTTTTTTTTTAAGGTTGTCCATGACTTATTGATAATATTGCAGCAGAGCAGAAATACTCACATGGCTAGGTTTGAAATTCATCCCACTGTAGGCTGAGTGACCTGCAGGTTGGACAGACTGCCAAGGGCTGCAGCATTTCCTTAGTGTCAGGATCAACTTCAGTAATCTCCTGATCCAGGCCTAAGACCTCAGGAACATAATTACCTCTTCTCTCTCTCCTCTCTCTGCAGCTTCATGGAAATACCCCTCACAGGGCCTCTCTGGATCCCTTTCATCAGATGTGTGCCATAGCCCGCTATCTAGTTTCAGAGCTTCTTGCTGGGGATAATGGTGATCTCTTCACACATGCGCTTGTTGGTGTGGAAGTCATTGCCCACGCACATGTAGTACTTCTCCGTGATGACCCAGGCTGCCTTCTTCGCAGTCGTGGTGCGAACACAGCCCATCTTGGTGGGTCCCTGGTGAAAGAGCTTTATTCCATTTCTTGATACCTACCTGTTCCACTAACACTCTAATTTTGCCCTAGTGATAAGGAAGGACTAGAAGAAAAAGGAATTATGGGTTGCCCTATTATCTTCTGTATCATTATTTTCAGTACAAGTTGTTGGCTAATACTGAGAAATAACAGGAGTAAGAAAGGGTGTGATAGGGTATCTTGCTCATTTGTGTTTCTTAGAATGTCAATGCCTTCTTTCTGGCTTGGAAGTCAGATTCTAGTTCAAATGGAAAGTATGGCCTCTAGGGGCTGTCAATGTCCTTGTCTACTCAGTCAGATGTAACCTGCTTACCTCATACTAGCTTTGAGCCTCACTGAACTCTCGCACACCATGGATCCAAGCTAAGGGGCACCTTGAATACCCCATGTGAATAGGGTGGCAAGAAATAGCAGACATATTGCGTGTATCTCCTCTGCTCACACGCATGCTCCAGTGTTCCATCAAACTTCACTTACAAAACATGGGACAGAGACAGCAGCACATTCAACTAAGCATGGGCCTTCTGAAGGCAGGGCCCAATGCAACTGACCACACTGTTCACACCATGCTGAAACTGCTTCCCCATATGTTTGAACCAAACAGCTTAAATTCCTTGCTCATTGTGGAGAGACTGCTCAGTGCAACCTAATAATTCTTCCTTCCTTGGTAACAGAATTCCAATTTTATTTGGGGTTGTATGGTGCTCAGCTAAAAATGGCATTTCCCCAGCATCTTCTGCAGCTCCTATAGCCATGTGAACAAGTGTTGGTTAATCAGATGTATGCAAAAGTGCTGTATGGGTTTGGGGGATAGCAGCCTCATTCCTCCATTCTAGCTGCTTGTAATAGAGTTGTGATAGTCGAACTCCAGTAGTCTTCTTGAACATGAAGGTTTTCCAAGTTAGGTTCTTAAAGATGGCCTTGAAGATGGAAGTTAGAGTCCCAAAAGAAACAGATAAAAAGTGCCTGAGTCCCTGCAAAACTGTGGAGCTGCCACACGAGCCTTGGCTGCTTGCCCCAAGACTTTTTGTGTGTGAGAGAAATAAACTTGTATCTTGTCATTATTTGGCAGTTATTACATGCAGGTGAAACAAATTCTAATCTACAAAGAACTCGCCACTAGTTCACATAGGCTAAATGTTTAAACACAAGTCTTGGGCACTCCTTGATTTGTTATTGGGTAACATGTTTAGAAGCCTCTGGTGTGAGGGGCAACCTTTTCTAAGATTCAGAGGTAATTTTTCTCTTTTTCCCCTGTTCAGGGCTATGTTCTGGAGCTCTGAGATCGCTGACAGACTCCAGATAAATGCAGTGTTATAATGCAATGTGTTATGACAGTGATGTAGTAATATTATAACATGTGTGTATAGCATTTTGTAGTTTTCTAAGTAATTTAAATATCAGTGTCTTCCGATGAGCATGAAAAAGAAAATAATAAAAATCCTTGTGGATAATTAATTATAAGAACATATAGAGAAGACATGTCAACCATTAATCTTCCAACCATAAAAAATAGGTCAAATTGTCTGCTAAGATTAAAGAAAAGAGCTTCCCAGACAACAGTATGGTGATTGCCAGCGAAAAGGAGGGTGGAGGGAGAAGGTAAAGGGGGATAAATGGTGATAGAAGGACACTTGACTTGGGGTGATAAATACACAATACAATATATAGATGATGTATTTTAGAATTGTATACCTGAAACCTGTATCATTTTATTGATATAATGTTACCGCAATAAAACAAAAAGAGCCCAAGTTGACTAATACTGCCATCTAGAGTTAAAAGTCAAAATTACTATTTCTTATGTATAAGGAGACTGAAAGGTTGGTGTTGAACAGGTTTTCTTTCCCACCAACTTGTACGGCCTATCCTAGTTGTCTTGTCCATTTGTGAAGAGCTGCTGGAAAAGAAAATTTTCTAACTACCTACCACATGCCATTTTCTTTTACCATTTAAGCTTTGCAACCACCCTGTAAATTCCATATTCCATATAGATATGAATAACTCAGGTTTCAAAAAATTGTAGTGACTTGATCAAGAAAAATGGTAAGATAAATGGGAGACCCCAGGTTAAAACCGTACCTCCATTCTCTAACTACTTTCCACCAAACAGCACTGACTCAAAGTGAGGTGAGAAGGATGTTGAAAAGGAGATGAGAGAGAGGACAATCTTATAGAAGGTCGCTGTGGAGCACATGGGATTGAGGAAAGAGAATAAATGAGATGGGAGGGGAGGAATTAGGCCTGAGGTAAATCCTTGTGGATCAGCTGGAAGGACATCTGAGAAGAGGTAGAGACCTTGCAATTATGTTGATTTTCTTTGACATCCTTTTCCTAGAGCTTCTTCTGAGTTCAAAGCCCAAAATTTGTGCTACTTAGCCAGGACAGCCCATAGACGAGACAAATGGAAAGAGGAACACACTCCATGTATTAGTTTAGTTTATGAGGACACTCCATCTGCCATCCCAATTGCCTCTAGATGGCTCCCTGGCAGATGTCATCCCTCCTTTCTCTGCTCAGTGTCACTTTATAAAGTCCCTGACATTTTACCCCAAATAATAGTTCCCTCTGCCCCCACCCGCTATTCCTTTACTGTTTTATTATTCTTTATGTTGCTACTTGACCTTGTACTAAATATTTATCTGTTTAGAAATAGGAGAATATAAAGAGTAAGAGGATTTTGCATTTCTATTGCCAAAAACTGTCTAGAAGAGGGTTGGCACTCAGAGAGGCTTCTATCAAGCACTCGAGGAATTATTCTAACACATTATAAATTATTAATTCGTCCTAACACATACAAATGGCCAAGAGACATATGAAGAAATGCTCAACATCACTAATCACCAGAGAGATGCAAATTAAAACAACAATGAGGTATCACTTCACACCAGTCAGAATGGCCACCATCAACAAATCATCAAACAAGTGTTGGAGAGGGTGTGGAGAAAAGGGGACTCTAGTACACTGCTGGTGGGAATGCAGACTGGTGCAGCCACTATGGAAAACAATATGGTGTTTCCTCAAAAAATTAAAAATTGAACTTCCATTTGACCCAGTGATCCCACTTCTAGGAATATATCCTAAGAAGCCTGAAACACCAATCAGGAAGAATATATGTACCCCCATGTTCATAGCAGCACTATTTACAATAGCTAAGATCTGGAAACAGCCCAAGTGTCCATCAGTAGACGAATGGATAAAAAAGCTGTGGTACATATACACAATGGAGTACTATGCAGCTGTAAGAAAGAAAGATCTCTTATCCTTTGAGACGACATGGAGGGACCTGGAAAGTATTATCCTAAGTGAAATAAGCCAAGCAGAAAAAGACAAATACCACATGATCTCATTTATATACGGAATATAATGAACATAACAGTCTGAGGAATACGGTAGACCCAGAAACATGGAAGTAGGGCACAGACTGACATCCCTCAGAAGAGGGGGTGGAGGTGGTGGGAAGAGATAAACCACAGAACTGATATGCATGTGTGCATGACCAATGGACATGGACAACTAAGCCCGGGACGGGGCAGGGGTGGAGTGGGGAGGGGGGTGCCAATGGGGTAAAAAAGGTGAAATATTTGTAACAACAACAAAAAAAAATTAAAAAAATAAATAAAACAGTAAATAAATAAATAAATAAATTGTCCTAACATTGAATTTGCTGTATTACTTACTGTCCTCATTTCATAGACATGGTAGGTGTGGCACAGAATGGTAAAGTCACTTGCCCAAAGTCATGCAGCTCTAAGCAGTTTACCTAAGATGTAATCTAAATGCTTTTCCTGAGAAAAGAGGAAACGTCCCTCCCCGCTCCTATCTCTGGGCACTCCGGTAGGAGCCCCAAGGAATGTGCAGGGAGGCGTCGGGGTGACGCAGGGCGCCAGGGCGAGTTCCACTGCAGGCTGGGACCTGGCTGGGGCAGACCCATCCGACCTCGGTCATTAGCCTTTGGGGGCCGGTGGAGACAGAGCAGCCAGACCTGGGCAGGTGGCCGGTGGACACAGAGCAGCCAGACCTGGGCAGGTGGCCGGTGGAGACAGAGCAGCCAGACCTGGGCAGGTGGCCGGTGGAGACAGAGCAGCCAGACCTGGGCAGGTGGCCGGTGGAGACAGCAGCCAGACCTGGGCAGGTGGCCGGGCGGGGAGCGGGATGTACTTCTGCTGGGGCGCCGGCCGCCCCGGGAAGGTGCAGCGCCGGGGACCGACGGGCGGCGCCGAGCTGCGGCAGGCGGCCTGCGGGGAGGGCCACTCGCTGCTGCTGCTGAGCGACGGCACCGTCCACTCGTGCGGCGACAACAGCCAGGGTCAGCTGGGCCGGAGGAGCGGGCCGCAGGGGGACCGGCCAGGTGAGCCGCGGGACGCAGGTGCAGGCGCGCGCCGGGCAGGTGGGGGCGCCAGGAGCCTTGGGCGCTCCGGGCCACAGGAGACTGAAACCCGTGCTCCAGGCCGCCCCATCGCGGCTGCTTCTGTTTCGTTTTCCTGACGCGCCTCGGGTTTAGTTTCGGTTTCCAGTGTCTCTTCAAAGAAAAACTGAAAGAGAAACTGAGCCGAACTCCACTGGACCGCTCTCCTCTGGATGGCGCTCTGGTCCTTCTCACTTGCCTTTCAAAACCAATCCTGGCCTGCACGAATCTCTCTGAAACAGTGACCTTCCAAATGTAGTTTGTGGGTTGGACACCTGTAACTTCCTCAGAAATACCCCAGGGCGTCTTTTTTCTTAAAATTAAAAAATATGTATAACAGCATTTTTACCATTACTAATTATTATAGAAACACGGGAAGAAATCGCCTATAATTCCAACACCCAAAGACAACTCTTAATATATATATTTTTTCTTTATTGATTTTTTTTTTTTTAGAGAGAGAGAGGGGAAGGGAGAGGGAGAGAGAAACACCCATCAGCTGCCTCCTGCAGGCCCCCAACCGGGGATTGAGCCCCAAACGCAGGCATATGCTGGAACCGGGACCTCTCAGTCCATGGGAGGATGCTCAATCCACTGAGCCACACAGGCCAGGCTCAAAATACATTTTAAATTGTTGCAAAGTATTCCAGGCTCTGAGAGTATAATTTAATTATTCTCCTTTTGTTGAAATTAGTTTTTTTTTTTTTTTTTTTTAATTAGAGGGGTTTTATAAATAATATTATAGTTGACATTGCTGTAGGTAAATATTTGATGAAATTTCTGATTACTTACTAAGAAAAATTCCAGGAGTTGTGTCTAGGAGGAAAAACTTTTCTTCTACCCTCTTAGTTCTTGTTGAGTACCTATGAACTTGAACTGGTGACCTCTTGGTACATGGGTTGACACTCAACCACTGAGCCACACCAGCCAGACATGAGAAGCATACAATTTTATTAATATTTTTGATGCATAGGAGTTCACAGAAAAGAAGTAAACTCAAGTTGTGAGACTCAGGGGTTCATATGTAACTTTAACAAAAATAGAGGGTTTGGGCTTTGAGGGATGATCAGCGGTGGGGAAGTGACTTGGAAGTATGTGGGGGAAACTAATGGAAGACAATGGTAATTTTAGTAAGGGCTGTTCATACAGACTCGTCTCAGTGCCAGCTCCAGAGATAAGAGTCACTTTTGCGAGTGTAGGAGATGAGGGACACCTTCACAAGGAAAATTTATGCCCTGCTTTTAGGTGGATATGGGGAGGGAAGAAAACTCTTCCTGCACCTGTTGGTTTTCAGTTGCTTTTTGCTCAAAATAATCCTTATGCCAAAGCGGCATATTTTTGGGTGGCACATCCTGATCCCCTTCAGGTGGAAATGAGGGGTGACGTGATCCTTAATGCCAAAGTGTTCTTCAGGAAGGTGGTACCAGTTTCTACCTCTGTGAGTGTATGAATCTTTGGGAAAATTTTTTTATTATTGGGTAGTTTGAAAGTAAATCATTGAAAAGTCTAAGATCACAAAGGTATTTTAAAATAAAACTTGTGTTAATAGAAACTTCACTGATAATGATGTACTCAACTCCAAACCTTTGATCATTCAGAGACAACACTTTGGGAAACAGTCTAGATTGGCTTGTAGGAAAATATGATCAGGTTTTCATTTGCAGGCACATTTAGCCCATTTGGAGGCATATTATTGCACTCTTCATTGTGAGAATATCTGGTGTCTGCCTCTCACACTCCTAAGACAGACTCCCTGCTTGTTTCCTCTTGAGCAAGAGATCAATTCTCTGTCTTCACTGATCAGGGCTGGGAATCCAGAAGAGAGGAGGCAATTCCATCTTTTCTCCAGCGCCCTTTATTTTGCTGGGTTTTGCTACTACCATGATAGGAAAAACTTTAGCTCAAGTGCCATAGTCCTACAGGTTCTCCTCTTCCACGATTCCCCCCTTTTGAACACGTTATATTCCCATAAAGACAGTATAACACGCAATGAGCTATTTTCTTCACACCTTTTAGCATGGATGTAGGCCTTGATTTAAAAGCCTATTGGAAGAGACAAGCAATCTGAATGGCCTTTCTTTTTGAAGGAAAGTACTGTCTTGAATTTTCTGTTAAATTAATACTCTGTGGGTTTTTTTCCGCTTTGTTTTTGTTCCCAAAGAACAAATTAAAGCATTGGAAACTCTATGCGTTGGTTTGGTGAGCTGTGGAAAGGAGCACTCCCTGGCTGTTTGTCACAAAGGAAGGGTCTTTGCATGGGGAGCTGGTTCTGAAGGACAGCTGGGGATTGGAGAATTTAAGGAAAAGGTTTTCACACCTAAGTAAGTATTTCATTCATTCATTCATTTTTTATTTTTTTTTTCCATTCCACCTGCCAGGCACCATGCAAGATGCCAGGGTACAAGGATGACTATGACAACAGTCTCTAACCTCAACCATTACAGTGTAATGCAGGAAGGAGGCAGGGAAAAACTTATAACACCAATTTTATTTAGAGTCCTCTGAAGGAGAAGGGTACTGTGAAATGCAAATATGTGACCCCTCAGTCTTAGTCTAATCTATGGGAAATAACTATACCACTTGGACCCCCAGAGTTGGCATAAAGATTATTTTAAAGTAAAAACATTTTAGGCTACTGAAGATGCGGAAAGCAGTCTTATCTGAATTTCTCTATCTGACTAAAGCAGTGCCTCTTGAAATTCAGCTGCCATTATTCTTCCTGGCAAGGAGTTTCCTGTGAATTCAGCTGCTGTGAAGACAGAACGCCCAATCAGCATCAAAAAAACAAAAATAAAAACATAGAAACTTTCATACTCTCCTATGGAAGTTCTAACTCCCTCAATCCCCACTTTTGTTATATTGATATATATATAAACCTTTATACTCAGGCTCTTCCACAAAGGGAGCTGCCGTGTGTGTATATAAATAAACCATGTCTTGTCTCCTGTTAATCTCTCTACTGCCAATTAATTGCAGGTCCCCAATCATTGCACCCAAATTGGAAAAAGAAAAGGTTTTCTCCTAACATAACCTTTTTGTTATAAGCCACTGGGTCCAATAATTCGCTTAGTAAAATGGAGGGAAAAAATTCATATCCTTACAAACAGCTTTCTAGGACACATGACATGACAAGCAGTCTGAATTTTGTGTACATGAATTCTATGCTTTGGTAATATTCAAAAGCATGTTTTTTAATACTAGGTTACCTCCCGTGGTCATTAAATCATGTGAGAAATTGCTGTGGCTTGGGGGAATGATCATTGAACTTGGAATGGAAAAACCAAGGTTTGAGTCTAGTTCTACAACATGAAACATATCTGACTTCTTTGAGTTCTACTAGGTTCAACCATGTGAAATTGCTGATAGTTACGTTTTGGTCCCCCAAAATGACAATTGAACACAATGTTTTATTTATTTCACCGGGCTTAAATTAGGTGATGTAGGTGACCATGTTCCAGAAATTCTATAGCCCTGGGCTATATGTGTATGAAGAAATTTATTTCTCTTTTAGACCAATAAGTATAGAATAAAAGTTAGTGCATTAAATAATGCATTAAAAGTCCAGTAAAGCCCTGGCCAGTTTGGCTCAGAGGTTAGAGCATCAGCCCACAGACTGAAGGGTTGCAGGTTTGATTCCTGGTCAAGGTCACGTACCTGGGTTGCAGGTTCAATCCCCGTCCTGGTCAGGGTCGAGAAGGAGGCAATTGATCAATGTATCTCTCTCAAATTTATGTTTTTTTTCTTTCTCCCCCCTCTCATCCTCCCTCTCTCTAAAAAAAAAAACCAAAGGAAAATTTAAAAATATTAATAATAAAAAATTTTTTAAGTACAGCCCTGGCTGGTTTGGCTTAGTGGTTGGAACATTGGCCCACGGACCAAAGAGTCTCAGGTTTGATTTCTGCCAAGGGCAGGTACCTCGATTGCGGTTCATCCCTGGCCCTGGTTGGGGTCATGTGGGAGGCAACCAGTCAATGTGTCTCTCTCACATTGATGTTTCTCTCTCTCTCCCTCCCCACTCTCTCCCTCCCTCCCTCTCATCTGAAATAAATAGAAAAATATCCCCAGGTGAGGATTAAAAAAAAAAAGTCCAGTTTAAAATCACTTTTTGCATTATGTACTGTTTTGGACTCTGCCCTGTACCTTTCTTTGTACATGTTGATGTCATGTTAAAAACAGTTCGGAGTTGCCCTGGCTGGTTTGGCTCAGTGGTTAGAGTATTGACCTGAGGTCTGGAGAGACCTGGGTTCGGTTCCCGCGAAGGGCACATACCTCGGTTGCAGTTTGTCCCTGGCCCTGTTTGGGTTGTGTGGGTGGCAGCCACTCGATGTGTCCCTTTCATGTCAATGTTTCTCTCTCTCTCCCCTCTCCCACTCTATCTGAACAAAATATTGAAAAATGTCCTCGGGTGAGGATAAAAAACAAAACAAAAAACAGTTCAGAGCTGTGGGAAAATGTACTACAGAAATACAAGAACATAAAATTGTTTCCCTAGCTCAAATGTATTACCTGGGATGTTTTAAATATTTATAGTTTACTTGGTGATCCACTCTAAAGAACGATTAATAGATTTTGTGTCTTTCTTTTACATACCATTTTTATTACAGGAAGATAAAAGCTCTAACTGGCATAAAAATAATACAAGTTTCCTGTGGAGATTACCATTCCCTGGCATTATCAGAAGGTAAAAAAGGTTTTTTTGATCTCCTAAGCATCATTAAAAAGTAATTTTTTGAATACAAATGATACCTGTTGATTTTTAATGCATTAGGGCTCATTTTAATGCATTTAGAAGTTTTTTTTTTATTAATTAATTTTTGTTACAGATGTTTCTCCTTTTTTCCCCCACTAAGTCCCCCCTCCCCCTCCCTCCCTGCCCTGGTCCCCAGCTTTGTTGTCCATGTCCATTGTTCATATACATGCATATAAATTCTGTGGTTTATCTCTCCCCTACCACCCCCTCTTCTGGGGATTGTCAGTCTGTACCCCACTCCCACGTCTCTGGGACTACCCCATTCCTCAGACTGTTATGTTCATTTTATTCCACAAATAAGTGACATCATATGATACTTGTCTTTCTCTGTTTGGCTTGTTTCACTTAGGATGATACTTTCCAGGTCCCTCCATGTCATCTCAAAGGATAAGAGATCTTTCTTTCTTACAGCTTCATAGTGCTCCGTTGTGTATATGTACCATGGCTTTTTTATCCATTCGTCTACTGATGGACACTTGGGCTGTTTCCAGATCTTAGCTATTGTAAATACTGCTGCTACAAACATGGGGGTACATATATTCTTTCTGATTGGTGTTTCAGGCTTCTTAGGGTATATTCCTAGAAGTGGGATCACTGGGTCAAATGGAAGTTCAATTTTTAATTTTTTGAGGTAACACCATATTGTTTTCCATAGTGGCTGCACCAGTCTGCATTCCCACCAGCTGTGTACTAGAGTCCCCTTTTCTCCACACCCTCACCAACACTTGTTGTTTGAGCATTTAGAAGTTTTTAAAACGTGTTGTTCTTCATATATTTTTCAATTTTCTTTGTTCTTATGATACTCTAAGTATTGCCTAATTCATATTTCACTGCCATAAAGACCATCTCTGTTTACATGACCTGATTGGCTCACTCTGTCAGAGCTCAGAAGTGGTTTTATTTCCGGCACTTTGCCCTTTATGCTGAATGGCTTGTCTGCACTGGCAAACTCAGATAAACGAAGGCCTATTTATCTTTTTTTACTTAAATCAAGGAAACAAAAGTCAAGATGTCAAAATTGCGACCCTGCATTTTTTCTATCAACGTCCCCAATCCTTTGTCCATTCTCCAGCCAAACTTCTCAATGGAGAGTGCTGGGAAGGAAAAACTTTTCCTTTACCCTCTTAGGTTCAGTACCTGGGTGACTACAAATATAAGAAAAGACAGATTACTAAGAGAAAAGGCACATAATTTTTATATATACTTTCATGCACAGGAGAGATAAATTGTGGGAAAGTGACTTGGAAAAATTTGGGGAACTAATGCACCCTCATGTCAGTACTGACTCTCCATCTCCTCTCCCACTCCTGGTACAAGAGAGGACAACTGCACGAAAGGAAATTTATGCAATGCTTTTGGGTGGATAAAGGGAGAGCAGAGAATTCCTTCCACATCTGTTAATTCTCAATTGCCTTTAGCTCTAAATAATCCTTATCCCAAAGTGGCGTATTCTGATCCCCTTCGAGAGACATGTAACGTTTGCGTATCCCTCAGGTGATTTCTTATGCATAACTGCAATTGTGCCTCAGGGGTGATAGACAGCCAACATTTCTTGCTTGCCTTCTATGTGCCAGTTACTGTTAAATGCTTTACATGTGTTGTCTCATGTAACAACGTAAAACACAGAAGCTAGGGCCCTGGCCAATGTGGCTCAGTTGGTTGAAGCACTGACTTTTACACCAAAAAGGTGGCGGGTTTGATTTCTTGTCAGGGCACATATTCAGGTTGCAGGGTTGATCCTTGGTCGGGGTGCGTGTGGGAGTGAACCAATTGTTTCTCTAGCTCTCTCTCAGATCGATAAAAAAAAAGTAATTAATTAATTAAAAAACACAGAAGCTAGGTGTTATTTGTATCCTCATTCCAGAAATGAGGACATTTGGGCTCAGAGACATTCACTTATTTGCCTAAGGCAGCGGTTCTCAACCTGTGGGTCGCGACCCCTTTGGGGGTCAAACGACCCTCTCACAGGGGTTGCTTAAGACTGTCAGAAAACACATATTTCCAATGGTGATTCAAAACAGTAGCAAAATTACAGTTATGAAGTAGCAATAAAAATAATTTTGTGGTTGGGGGTCACCACAACATGAGGAACTGTATTAAAGGGTCACGGCATTAGGGCATTAGGACGGTTGAGAACCACCGGCCTAAGGTCACACAATAATAGAAGGGTTTGAACCTATACTTGTTTATATCCCAACCCAAAGTTCTTAATCACTGTACCATATAGGCTATGCAGCCAGGGCAATCCCATGGCTATAGTGTCATCCCTTCTACCTACCACTTCTAGCTGTTTGATCTAAGGCAAGTTATTTAACTTTGCTGAGTCTCAATTTTGGAATACTGATGTCTAACTTAAAGGTTGTTTAGAAGATTCAGTGAGAGAAAGGTACACAATTTATCTTGCACAGTCTGTGACAGATAGGGTACAATAAATATTAGTGTTTTTTTCCTTTCTTACTTTTGTTTTCTTTTTTAAAATTAAACAATTTAGCCCTGGTCAGTTTTTCTCAATGGTTAGAGCATTGGCCTGTGGACCAGAGAGTTGCAGGTTCGATTGCAGTCAAGGGCATGTGCCTCGGTTGTGGTTTGGTCCTCAGCCCTGGTCAGGATCATGCCGGGGGCGGCCAATCGATGTTTCTCTCTCACATTGATCTTTCTCTCAGTCCCCGTCTCTCTTTCCTTCCCACTCTATCTGAAGATAAATGGAAAAATATCCTTGAGTGATGATTATTATTTTTGTTGTTGTTGTTTTTGTTTGTTTGTTTTTTTAAATCCTCACCCGAGGACATTTTTTCATATTTTGTTCAGATAGAGTTGGGAGGGGGAGAGAGAGAGAGAGAAACATCAACGTGAAAGGGACACATCGAGTGGTTGCCACCTGCACAACCCAAACAGGGCCGGGGACAAATTGCAACTGAGGTACATGCCCTCAGCGGAAACTGAACCCGGGTCTCTCTGGACTGCAGGCTGATGCTCCAACTGCTGAGCCAGGGCTTGAGTGAGGATTAAAAAAATTTTTTTTAATTATATTTTTATTGAGGTATAATTGACATGCAACATTATTTAGTATCAGGAGTACAACATAGTGATTTAATATTTGTGTACACTGTGAAATAATCAGCACAATAAGTCTAGTTAGCATCTGTCACCATACATAGTTACAGAATTGTTTCTTGTAATGAGAACTTTTAAGATTTATTCTCTTAGCAACTTTCAAATATGCAATACCATATTATTAACTCTACTAATCATGCTGTACATGAAATTCCCATGACTTATTACTTTATAACTGAAAGTTTGTACCTTTTGACTCCTTTCATTCATTTTACCCCCAACCCCTGGCAACCACCAATCTGTTCTTAGTATCTATGAGTTGTTGTTTTTTTCCTCTATATAAGTAAGATTATTCTGTATTTGTCTTGGACTTATTTCACTTAGCATAATGCCCTCAAAGTGCATCCATGTTGTCACAAATGGTCCTTCTTTTTATTTATTTATATTTTATTTTATTTGTAATTTTATTTTTGTTATAGATGTTTCTCCTTTTTTACCCCTTCTTAATTACTCAAATGATTTCAGTTATTTCCTTGGAGTACTGATTTGTCTTTACGTTGGTCTGGAATATAAAAGCTTATAGAACCCAGCACTCAATGCATTTGCTTTGGTGAACTGTGAGTTCTCATACACCTTCATGAGAGTTTGACAATTGTAGTGTGCTCCCCAAAATTCTTTTCAGTGATAGAAATAACTTAGAAGAGTTCAAAATAAAAATTAGATACAATAACATAAAAATCTGAAGTGTGTTGGCATTTCTTTGGGCAAATAATTAAGAATTAGAACAGCTTTACTTTTGACCTGATATTAATTATCCATCTCTGGTCAAATTCAACATAAAATGTTGGTTTTTTCCCCCCATGGAGTTATTTCACAAGTATTTATCAAGTGCCTACAATATTTCCAGCAAAGAGGAATATAGCAGGGAGCAAACTTAAGGCCCTGCTTTCATGGAGCTTATATTCTGAAGGGAAGTAGGAGAAGAGAATCTTAAACACAGAGACAAATAGTTATTTAGTATAACCAGTAGGGGTAAGGGGACAGAGAGCAAGTACTTGAGTGAAGGAAAGGGGTCTTTCTATTTATAAAGGAGGTCAGGGAAGCTATCTCTTATCAGGTGAAATATGAGCAGAGACCAAAAGGAAGGGAGGGAAGGAGACATTATGCTAAGGCCACGATCCAGAAAAATGATGCTAAAACAAAGGTGATGAGGTAGGGGGCATCCCAGTGGTGTGCTCAGCCATAGCAGAATGAGCAAGGGGAAGAAGAGGTCTGAGAAGTGGTTGTGGGAAGTACTAGGGACATGAGGCTGGTGAGCCGTGGTGAGAATCATCTATTAGTGAGACATCAAGCTCCTAAAGGGTTTGATCTGACTTATAGTTTTAAAAGATCCTTTTGGCTGCTGTTTGGAGAACAGACTGTTAGAAGTAAAGGTGGAATCTGGGAGTTCAGCAAAGTGCTGCTCTAATTTCCCAGGACAGAAATGATGATTTGGCCGCTAAGATGCTAATAGTGGGGAGGTGATAAGTAGTTGGATTCTGAAGGTAGAGGCTTTAGGATCTGCTGGGTTGGAAGATGTAAATGAGAGAGAGGAGTCAAGGATGACTCCAAGATTTTTGGCCTGAGCACCTGAAAGAACGTGGTTGCCCTCTACTTGGAAGGAGAAGAGAAGTAGAAGGGACTTTTGTTGTTGGAAGGGACTTTTGAAGGAAATCTTGACCCCCATCCCCCTTACCTTTAATCAGAATACTTTAACCTCCTTTATCCCTGTTGTATTCTTTAAAGATTTTTAGTTAGGATGATAGTTTCTACTTGAATTTGGAATTCCAATGTGTGTGCAACTCTGCATTTCTCTTCTTTATTTTTGTAGATGGCCAAGTGTTTTCATGGGGAAAGAACAACCTAGGTCAGCTGGGCCTGGGGAATGAGTTCTGCTCCCAAGAGAGCCCTCAGAGGGTAAGGTCCCTGGAGGGGATCCCCCTGGCTCAGGTGGCTGCAGGAGGTGCCCACAGCTTTGCCCTGTCTCTCTCGGGGACTTCATTTGGCTGGGGAAGCAACAATGCAGGACAGCTGGCCTTCAGCGGGAAAAATGTCCTAGGTAAGGAGATAATCTTGTTTCTGCAGTAAATTATTATTTTTTTCCCACTGAAAGACCAACTCTGCAAAGGTCAGTCTCAAAGGTTAGAGCAGTGGTTTCTAAATTTTATGGCACATTAGAATCACCTGGGAGCTATATTAATTTTTTTATGGTTGCTGCAAAAAAAAAAAATTACCACACACTTGGTGGCTTAAAACAACACAGATTTATTATCTTATTGTGCTGGTGGTCTGAAGTCTGATGTGGATCTCACTGGGCTAAAATCAAGGTGTCAAAAGGGCTGTGTTCCTTTCTGGAGGCTCTAAGGCAGAAGCCATTGTCTTGCCTTTTCCAGCTTCTAGAGACCATCTGCATTCCTTCGCTCAGAGCCCCCTGGCTTCTTCGGAACCAGCAATGGCTGGTTAAGTCTTTCTCGAGTCACATTACTCTGACATTGACTCTTCTATCTCCCCTTTCTTCAGTTAAAGACCTTTTGATCTCCCTGTTTTAAGGTCAACTGATTCGCAACTTTAATTCCACCTACTTCCTTAACTCTTCTTTGACGTGTACCCTAACATATTCACAGGATCTGGGAAAAAGACATGGACATACTTAGGAGGCCATTCTGTCTACCACACGAGCATTTAAAAATCCAATGTTTGGACCCTAAACCAATTAAATCAGAATGTCTGGGGATGGAAGCCAGACATTATTAATAAAGATCCCACCACAAGTGGTTTCGATGTGGGTCAAAGTTTGGGAACCACTGGATTAGAAGCCTGCTAGCAGTAGGGGAAACAACCAGTTTCTTTGGCAACCTTTAAACAAAACTCACCGTGAAGCCTTCCGCATGGACCCTGTACTCCTGTTCAATTTTTTACATTCAGGTAACATATATTTAGCACTTATTAAGTGCTTGTACCATGCTTAGCACTCACATCTAATTTCATTTAACTCTGTCAGCATGAGTAGGTTCTTTTATTTTCTCAACTATTATTACATATTTTCAGAATACCTACTATGTGACAGAAAGGAATACAACATGATGACACTGTGATTAGGATGAATGTCTTAAAGCTTAGCTTTCCAGGGCAATAGACTCAAGCATTTCAGAAGACTAAAGTTTCCAGAAATGAATGCTAAAATACTCCCTTCCCTTCCCTTTTCTCTTCCCTTCCCTTCCCTTCCCTTCCCTTCCCTTCCCTTCCCTTCCCTTCCCTTCCCTTCCCTTCCCTTCCCTTCCCTTCCTTTCCCTTCCCTTTCCTTTCCTTTCCTTCCAAAGCAGGGCTTTCCCTTTGTTTTATAATACCTCTGATTATTTATTCACTTCTAAAAGTTGTGTTAATGAATTTTAAGATAATAAATATATTAAAAACTATAAATGTATTTTAAAAACTCATACCTGAATCCGTTTCTTATACTCTAGAAATTCTGCTTTCTTTCAACAGTGCAAAGCTACAAGCCTCGTTCAGTTGGTAAGCTGAAGAATCTAGGTGTGATTTATATCAGCTGTGGCTATGAACACACTGCAGTGCTTACCCAGGTAATTCATAATGTCTTGCTATTTTTCAAAACCCCAGACAAATGTTACCACAAGGTATAGTTACTGATTATTGTTGAAAGCAAGATGTGGATCAATATGTCAGTATATCTATTCAGTGTACAAATCTTTAAGAGGAGAAATTAACCCAATATAAACCATGAAATTTTTAAGATCCTGTAACAAACGCCCATTTCCGCTTTTGGATATATTTTTAGATACCTACTAAATTAGATTAATAGGAGAGCCAAACCTTTTAGCAATTATTCATAATGTGGTTCTACAGATAAATATTATCATAGAAGCACAAAGTAATTTTTATAATTTTCAATAACCCACATACTTGGTTCTGCTTCTTGCTTGGTATAGATATGAGCTGGCTTCCTGAATGTTTCCCCTCTCTTTTTGTACTGGCCGTATAGTATAGTTCATTGTGATTGATTTTTTTCATAGTCATAAATTATAGACTTGAAAACTGTGGTTGAAATGTTTATTTAAAGACTAAATATCTAAAATAATTTTTACTGTTTGTTTTAAAAGCATGTGTGGTTTATATTATTCTTAATTGACAAGAGCAAGCTAGAGTTGTTTTAATCAAGAGTCATCTTTTGAAGATACCTTGAGACAAATGAAAAGGAATGCACAATGACTTAAAATGTGTGGGACACAGTCAAAGCAGTTCTGGGAGGGAAATTCATAGCAATACAGGCCTACTTCAAGAAACAAGAAAAATTTCAAATGATCTAACCTTATACCTAGAGGAATTAGAAAAAAAAGAACAAAGCCCAAAGTGAGTAGAAGAAAGAAATAAAAAAGGTAAGAACAGAAATAAATGAAATAGATATTAAAATAAAAACAATGGAAAAGATCAATGAAATCAAGAGCTAGTTCTTTGAAAAGTAAAAGAAATAAAAGGTAAAACTGATAAACCAGAGTCATTGAGAAAAAAAAGAGAGGGTTCAAATAAATAAAATCAGAAATAAAAAAGAAGTAACAAATGACACCACAGAAATACAAAGGATTATAAGAAAATACTATGAACAATTATACAGTCATCCCTCAACACTTTGTGCTTCGACTTTTGCGGCTTTGCTCTATTGTGGTTTTTTCAAATATAGTATAGTATTTTTTCAAATATAGAGTGAAGCCTCAAAAGTCGAAGTGCAGCACTGGCCAGTTTGGCTCAGCGGTTGGAGCCTTGGCCTGTGGTCCTAAGAGACCCGGGTTCGGTTCCCACTAAGGGCATGTACCTTGGTTGCAGTTTGTCCATGGCCCTGGTTGGGTTGTGCGGGTGGCAGCCACTTGAGTGCCCCTTTCACATTGATGTTTTTCTCTCTCTCTCTCCCTTCCACTCTATCTGAACAACAAAATAGAAAAATGTCCTCAGGTGAGGATAAAAAAAAAAAAAAAGTTGAAGTGCAAAGTGGCGGGGGACGACTGTATAAATAAAGAATCCTACTTCACGGAAATTCATTTATCGCAGTAGAGTCTGGAACTGATTAACCATGATAAACGAGGGCCAACTGTATGCCAAAAAATTGGACAACCTGGAATAAATGGATAAATTCCTAGAACCACACAATCTTCCAGGACTGATTCAGGAAGAAATAGACAATATGAATAGCTCAATAACAACTAATGACATTAAATCAGTAATGAAACAAAATAAAACAAAAAAAAAACTTCTAACAAATAAAAGTTTTGGATCAGATGGTTGCACAGATGAATTTTACCAAACATTCAAAGAATTAATACTTAAATGATTCCAAAAATTTGAAGAGGAAGGAAGACCCGAATTACCCTGATACCAAAACTAGACAAAGATACTACAAAGAAAGAAAAAGATAGGTCAACATCCCTGATGAATACAGATGTAAAATCCTCATCAAAATTTTAGCAAACCAAATTCAGCAATACATTAAAAAGCTCATACACTATGATCACGTGGGATTTATTCCTGGGATGGAAGGTTGGTTCAATATCCACAAATCAATGTGATAAACCACATAAACAAAATGAAGTTATATCAATAGATGCAGAAAAAGGATTTGAAAAAAACACCAACATTCATTTATGATAAAAACTGTCAGCGAATAGAGGGAATATATGTCAACATAATAAAGACAGTGTATGACAAACAGAGCTAACATTCTACTCAATGATGAAAAGCTGAAAGCTTTTTCTTTAAAATCAGGAATAAGTCAGGATGTCTGCTTTCACCACTCTTTTTTTATTTTCACCCAAGGACATTTTTGCTTTTATCTTTAGATAGAGCAGGAGGAAAGAGGGAGTAAGTGAGAGAGAAACATCATGTGTCACCCACATGACCCCAACTGGCGCTTGAGACAAACTGCAACCGAGGTACATACCCTTAGCAAGAACTGAACCCAGGACTCTCTGGTCCACGGGCCAATGCTCTAACTGCTGAGCCAAACCAGCCAGGGCTGCTTTCACAACTCTTATTCAACATAGTACTGGAAGTCCTAGCCACAGCAATCAAACAAGAAAAAGAAATAAAATGTATCCAAATCGGAAAAGAAGAAGTAAAACTATCATTATTTGCAGATGACATGATGCTATAAAGAGAGAACCCTAAAGATGCCTCCAAAAAACTATTAGAACTTAAGTGAATTCAGTAAAGTAGCAGGATACAAAATTAATGTTTAGAAATTAGTTGCATTTTTATACACCAATAATGAACTATAAAAAAGAGAAATTTAGAGGATAATTGCATTTTAAAAAAATCCTAGAAATAAATTTAACCAAAGCGATAAAAGACCTGTACTCAGAAAACTGTAATACATTGAAAAAAGAAATTGAAGAAAATACAAACAAATGGAAGGATATACTGTGCTAATGGATATGAAGAATTAACATCATTAAAATGTCCATACTACCCAAGGTAATCTACAGATTCAATGCAATCCCTATCAAAATACCAATGACATTTTTTACAGAACTAAAACAAATAATCTTAAAATGTATATAGAGCCATGAAAGACTTCAAATAGCCAAAACAATCTTGAGAAAGAAGGAGAAACTTGGAGGTATCACACTACCTATTATCAAACTATACTACAAGACTATGGTGATCAAAACAGCATAGTACTGGCATAAAAGCAGACACAGATCAATAGAACAGAACAGAGACCCTATACCCACAACTATATAGTCCATTAATCTACAATAAAGGAGGCATGATTGTACAGTGGGGTAAAGATAGCCTCTTTAATAAATGGTGTTGGGGAAACTGGACAGGTACATGTAAAAAAATAAAAATGAAACATTTTCTTATACCATATACAAAAATAAACACAAAATGGATTAAATGTAAGACTTGAAACCACAAAATTCCTGGAAGAATACATAGACAGTAAAGTTTGGGGGGGTGGGTAGGTTTGGCCCTTTTCAGTTTACTGCATGAAGGAATTACACTAGTCCAAGTTAAAAGCAGACCCCAGTTGGTTACATTATACAAGTTATGAGGTTTTTAAACTTGTGACAAAGGGCTCTGACCAGGTAGCTTAGTTGGTTAGAGTGTCATCTTCATACACCAAGGTTGCAGGTTCCATTCCCCTTCAGGGCACATACAAGAATCAACCAATGAATGCATAAATAAGTGGAACAACAAAGAAATGTTTCTCTTCCCCCACTTCTTTTCTCTCTCTAAAATCAATTTTAAAAAATAAGACCTGTGACAGGGGACAGAAGGGAAATTCTAGTTATGGCAAGGAAATCCTCACTTAAGCTTCAGTGAGCCAAAAGCACTTAAAACCTATATACCTTCAGCTGGTGGTCCTTAGCCAGTACAATCTTTATGAGGAATGGGCTTATGTTCTTGTGCTGGTTACTCTGTAGCTGAATTACTTCTTCATATTCTAAATGCTCAATTACAGTACCATTGCAGGCAAATTTCTTCTTAAATGTCTTCACTAGTTTCTTTTTATCATAATCATCAGGAAACCCTTAGACAGTAGTAAGGGTCTTCCTGCCATTTCTATTTGAATTCTTATGTGGATATAATCCTTGGTGCCAGCAGGAAGTAGGTCATCAACCTTACTTGCATCAGCAAACGGGTGGAAAATGTGGAGGTTCTGGGAGGTGGACATGCAATATGATTCCTTTCTCTTCTGGAAACAGCCTTTGGAAGGCTGTGGCGGGAGAAGGTGGGGTGAGGGAGGGACAGAGCACTGAGAAGCGAGGGGAGGGGCTAAAAGGGAGAGTGGCTGAGTCCTCAGTAGTGGCTCAGTGCCTGGGGCTGACAATAAACTCTTTAACGTAACTTTTAGCAACTTTTTTTTTTTGGATATGTGTACTTAGGCAAGGGAAACAAATGAAAAAATAAGCAAATAGGACCATATCAAACTAAAAAGTGTTTGCATAGCAAAAAAGAAAAAAAATGCCATCAACAAAATGAAAAGACAACCTAGTGAATGAGTAAAGATATTTGCCAAAGACACATCTGATAAGGGGCTAATCTCCTAAATATATAAGGGGGTCATACAACTTAATACCCCCCAAAAAAAACAATCTGATTAAAATATGGTCAGAAAACCTGAATAGATATTTCTCCAACGAGGACATACAGATGGCCAATAAACCTAAGAAAAGATGCTCAACATCACTAATCATCAGGGAAATGCAAATTAAAACCATATTGAGATATGACCTAATAGCTATGAGAATGGCTATCATCAATAAATCATGAAACAACAAGTGTTGGTAAGAATGTAGAGAAAGGGGAACCCCTGTGCACTGTTGGTGGGATTGTAAATTGTTGCAGCCAGTATGGAAAAAAATGTGTAAGTTCCTCAAAAAATTAAAAATAGAACTACCATATGACCCAGCAATACCACTTCTAGGTATTTATTCAAAGAAATCCAAAACACTAATAATAGCACCCTATCTTCATTGCAGCATTATTTGCAATAGCCAAGATATGTAAGTAACCGAAGTATCCACTGATAGATGAATGGATAAGGAAGAAATGGTACATGTATATAATGGAATATTACTTGGCCATAAAAAAGAATGAAATCTTAACATTTGCAACAATATCATAGATGGACCTAGAGGGTATTATGTTAAGTGAAATAAGTCAGACAGACAGAAAAAGACAAATACCATATGATTTCACTTATATTTGGAATCTAAAAAACAAAATAACAAACAAAACAGAAACCAACTCATAGATACAGAGAACATATTGATGTTTGCCAGAGGTGATGGGGGACTGGGTGAAAACGGTGAAGGGATTAAGAAGTACTAATTGGCAGTTATAAAAATAGTCATTGAGATATAAAGTACAATGTAGGAAATATAGTCAATATTGTAATAACTATGTATGGTGTCAGATGGGTAGTAGACTTACTGGGGTGGTCACTTCGTATGGTATATAAATATCTAATCACTGTGTTGTGCACCTGGAACTAAAATAATATTGTATGTCTACTGTAATTGAAAAATAAATTTACAAAAGAATAATCCTTTGAAAAGAAATTATTTTCAGAGAAATGCACAAACAAATAAAGCAACCCTGTGCTTAAATGTTAGTGTTATTTTTGAACCAATTAATTTGTCTATCCATTCATTTTACAAACACATATTAAGTACCTAATTCTTAATGGAGTGCCAATGATTTTTTTGTTTAATGTGTTAACTTTACATTCATTGTTAGCAGTGGTAAGTATAGGACCCCTCCTCCATATATAGAACTTATATTTCACACAGTGGTCTCATATAATTCTGTTATGATACATATTCTTTAACATTTCAGTTACTTTTTTTTTTTTTACCTGAAATTAGTTTGATTTTTGCTTTTTTGAATAGGATGGGAAAGTGTTCACATTTGGAGATAATAGCTGTGGACAGCTGGGACACAGCCCCAATGCTAAGAAGAGTGGTCCACAGCACGTGGAAAGAATTGATGGCCTAGTTTCACAGATTGATTGTGGAAGGTAATAGGCTTTTTTTCCCCCTTAGCATGAGTAGAAACTATTATATTTTATGACTTAGAAATTACTCATATGTGCCCCAGCCAGGTGGCTCAGTTGGTTGGAGTGTTGTCCCATACACCGAAAAGCTTTTGTGTTTGATTCCTAGGCAGGGCACGTACCCAGGTTACAGGTTTGATCTCTGGTCGGGGCGTGTACAAGAAGCAACCAATCAATGTTTCTCTGTCACATTGATGTTTCTCTTTCTCTCCCTTCCTCTCTCTCTAAAATCAATAAACATATCCTCAGGTGAGGATTTAAAAAAAAAGAGAGAGAAAGAACTCATATGATATATTATGAAAGCTTACTTAAAACCCTAAAATATGACTATTCTTTTTATGAACCATTTTTTCCTCTTCTGAAATTTACTTTTTTCAAATGTAGTATAATTTTTTTATATTTTTCTTTTTCATCCTAGGCACTTTGTTTATTTAATAGGAATTGATTGGAAGTTTACTGTATAGACCACCTAACTAGGTGTTGGGAGGTGGAGAGTGGGTTTACAACAAAAATAGTGGTACTTGGTAAGCTCATGCTCATGCATGTAGAAGATGATCTATAATTGCATACATATTCAGAGTTTTGCATAACCTAATTATGAGAACACTTTGAATATCATTTACCTAATTTATAAAATAAAACATTTGCATTTAAAACACAAATGATAGAAACCATAGTAAAGATCCATCAATAATATTCTATGTTTAAGGTTAGTAATAAGTTAATATTCACCTACCATTTGTTTAGCCACATCATTTGGTATCCTATTGTCACAAGGGATCTTCGTACTTAGTATAATATACATCTGTTGTGTGTGTGTGTGTTAAGAAACATAATCTTTCTCAGAAATCATGAATATCTGGTCTTTATTATATGTATTCTCTCTCCTGCAGTTATCATACCCTTGCATATATCTACACCACTGGTCAGGTGGTGTCTTTTGGTCGTGGATCAAGTTGCACAAGCAGCCCGACTCATCTGGAGGCCCAGACAGAACTCTCTGACATTAGCTGCCTGATTTCTGCTGATGGTATGAGTGGTCCCACTAACTCATGACTTTCTGTTAATTGATATCACTAGAGGAGAAATATTATTCAGCTTCCTCTCAAAGGAGTGTACAGAACTATGGTTCATCTAGTACTGTTATTTTTCATTTGTACTTCATGTATTTTTTTTTCTTCTGCAGTGATTCCTGGATTATTTGGTATTCTAAAGATTAAGGTGATACAAAAGAAGATCCCAAATTGGTTACTTAAGCATCAGAACAATATACTTTTATATATTTAATTAAACCTCTTCTAAAGCACATCAGCCTAGCTTTGTGACACAAGTGTATGAAGAATTAAATTTTCATCCAAGTGAATATATGACATGTAACCTGTTCAAAAATTAATATTTTCTGCTGTTTGTTGTCAAAACCCATTAGGAAGAATATACATTGCCTATAAATAAGAAAATTTAGCATGGTGATAATCAGAAATTTCAAAGACTTTTTATTTTATTTATGTTTTATTTATTTATTTTTTTTATCCTCACCCGAGGACATTTTTCCATTTTTTGTACAGATAGAGTGGGAGGGAGAGAGAGGAAGGGGGAGAGAGAGAGAAACATCGACGTGAAGGGACATCGAGTGGCTGCCACCGCACGACCAACCAGGGTCGGGGAAAAACTGCAACCGAAGTACGTGCCCTTAGCGGGAACCGAACCCGGGTCTCTCCGGACCGCAGGCCGATGCTCTAACTGCTGAGCCAAACCGGCCAGGGCTCAAAGACTTTTTAAAGAGAAGTTTTAGATTTACCACAAAAGATTTATTTTTTACTTATAAAAATAATAAGCATGGATTTATGACTTTTTTTTAGACCTTGTGAATGTTCAAGTCAAACACATTTTTGCTGGAACATATGCCAACTTTGTGACAACGTATCAGGTATCTATTAACTTTTTCTTAAAATTTTTATTTATTTATTTATCCTCACCCAAGGACATTTTTGCATTTATAGAGTGGGAGGGAGAGAAGGAGGAAGAGAGAGAGAAACATCAACGTGAGAGAGACACATCGAGTAGTTGCCACCCACACAACCCCAACTGGGGCTTGGAACAAACCACAACCAAAGTATATACCCCAAGCAAGAGCCGAACCTGGGCCTCTCTGGTCCGCAGGCTGACGGTCTAACCTCTGAGCCAAACCAGCCAGGGCTTAACTTTATTTCTTTTAAAAATCATTTTTCCGCCCTGGCCAGTTTGGTTCAGCAGTTGGAGCGTCACCTTACGAACCAGAGAGTCCCATGTTCGGTTCCCGCTAGGGGCACGTACCAAAAATAAATAAATAAATAAATAAATCAGACAATTCTTTCATAAATAAATAAATACATAAATAAATAAATAAATAAAAATCATTTTTCCCTCAAGATTTCAGAGCAGTGTTTGAAGTATTTTATCATTTGTATATATTCAAATTTCTTTCTATAATAATAAGATCCTCTTTTAGAATGCTTTTAAAAAATATGGTGTAATTCTCACTTCCTCATTTGGCTTTCTAACAGATGACACTCCCAAATTTATTGCTTTCCCACTGATTTTTATTATTAAGTAAGAATACCGATAACAACAGTAATGACTAATGTCGTCATGCATTAGGCACCAATCTGAGTACTTTAAGTAGATCAACACATTTAACCCTCATATCACCTCCAGTTGGCATTATTTGCCTCCATTTTATAGATGAAAAACAAAACAAAACTGAGTGTCAGAGAGGTGGCCTCACCCAAGGTTGCACTGCTAAGAAGTGGCAGAGCTGGCTTCCAACCCAGGCAATCCAATCCAGCTTCAAAGCTTACACCACTGCCCACAATGCCAGGGCCTTCCTAATTGTCAACAGAGAGGATTTTATTCTTTTATTTCTGGGTGAGTTCTGAAATGTTTGTGTGGAGACAAAAGCATGCATAATTGTTTTCCTGATTTGTTTTAAACTTGACAACCATATAGACTCTTATAGTGTTCTCTGGGATAGAAAATGGTGAGAGGCAAAGGTTTCTGTGTTGCTGGGGATAGTCAGGAGATTATACTTGGATGCTCTGTCAAAGCCCTTCAATAAGCCAGTCAACAAACACCTTCCGTGTCTCCAGCTCTGCTCTAGTGCTTGGGATGAAAGTGAATCATACAAGGATGCTATTGTTTGTATCCTATAAGGTTGCCCTCATTTATGGCATCTGGATTCTATGGGGAAGAATAGATAATAAGCATGGAAATACAAAATAAATAAGATTGTGTTGGGGCGTGAAAAGTTCTCTGAAGAAAACCATACAGGTCTTTTGAGGTTTTGTTGTGAAGGGGAATAGAGAACTGTGGGAGGGTTTTGTTATTGTCTAGAGAGGTAACATTAAGGTATGTTTGTGTGCTATTGAGAATGATTCATTTCCTGTGGAGCAAGTAACGATGCATGAGAAAGAGTGAATAATTGTCATAACTAGAGAGACATGCATGTTGGGGGTGGCTGCTACTGCCCTCCCGGAGGTAGAGGCCAGGGATGCTGCTGAACTTCCCACAGTGTACAAAACGACCCCTCACAACAAAGAATCATCTGATTCAAAATGTCAGTAGCGTCAGTTCAGAAACCCTGATCCAGGGCATGAGTGACCGAGGTGGAGCAGAGGAAGAGATTGGAGATGAGATCAATAATTGAGAGATCAAAGTGGGAAATAAATTATGTTAATTCTGAAGTTGCCAGAATTTACATAGGAAGAATGATGACAGGCAACATGGTGCAAACACTTTCAATGAGTGAAAGGTAGTGACTAGGACATTGGGAGATGATTGTAGAAGAAGGGGAGGCAGATGATACAGTCTGATGTCACGCTCTTCAGAGGAGTCGGAATTTTGAAGTAGAAAGTAGAAGGAATGGGCCCTGGCTGGTTTGGCTCAGCGGTTGGAGCGTCGGCCTGCGGTACAGAGAGACCCGGGTTCGGTTCCCGCTAAGGGCACGTACCTCGTTTGCAGTTTGTCCCCGGCCCTGGTTGGTCGTGCGGGTGGCAGCCACTCGATGTGTCCCTTCACATCGATGTTTCTCTCTCTCTCTCATCCTCTCTCTCCTTCCCGCTCTATTTGAACAAAAAATAGAAAAATGTCCTCGGGTGAGGATAAAAAAAAAAAAAGAAAGTAGAAGGAATGGTATGTAGGTGCCTGTAGGGAGTACCTGAATGTCCTAAGGCTCCTGGAATGTGGAAGGAGAAAAAGCTCCTTCATGATCAAACTACAGGGGATATCCAGGTCCAGATAAAGAAGCCAGAGCCAGCTTTCTTTTTCTTTTTTTTATTAATTAATTTATTTATTTTTGTTACAGATGTTTCTCCTTTTTCTTTTTTTTAAAAACAAATTATTTATTTATTTTTTTGTTACAGATATTTTACCTTTTTTACCCCATTGGCACCCCCCTCCCCACCCCACCCCCGCCCCGTCCCCGGCTTAGTTGTCCATGTCCATTGGTCATGCATACATGCATATAAGTTCTGTGGTTTATCTCTTCCCGCCCCCCCCACCCCCTCTTCTGAGGGATGTCAGTAGGTGCCCTACTTCCATGTTTCTGGGTCTACCATATTCCTCAGACTGTTATGTTCATTATATTCCGTATATAAGTGAGATCATGTGGTAATTGTCTTTTTCTGCTTGGCTTCTTTCACTTAGGATAATACTTTCCAGGTCCCTCCATGTCGTCTCAAAGGATAAGAGATCTTTCGTTCTTACCGCTGCATAGTACTCCATTGTGTATATGTACCACTGCTTTTTTATCCATTTGTCTACTGATGGACACTTTGGCTGTTTCCAGATCTTAGCTATTGTAAATAGTGCTGCTATGAACATGGGGGTACATATGTTCTTCCTGATTGGTGTTTCAGACTTCTTAGGGTATATTCCTAGCAGTGGGATCACTGGGTCAAATGGAAGTTCAAGTTTTAATTTTTTGAGGTAACACCATATTGTTTTCCATAGTGGCTGCACCAGTCTGCATTCCCACCAGCAGTGTACTAGAGTCCCCTTTTCTCCACACCCTCTCCAACACTTGTTTGATGATTTGTTGATGGTGGCCATTCTGACTGGTGTGAAGTGATACCTCATTGTTGTTTTAATTTGCATCTCTCTGGTGATTAGTGATGTTGAGCATTTCTTCATATGTCTTTTGGCCATTTGTATGTTCTGTTTAGAGAGGTGTCTATTCAGCTCCTCTGCCCATTTTTTAATTGGGTTTTTTGTCTTCCTTCTGTTGAGTTGTATGAGCACTCTATATATATATTGGAAATTAACCCCTTATCTGATACATCATTGGCAATGATGTTCTCCCATACAGTGGGTTGCCTTTCCATTTTGATGATTGTTTCTTTTGCTGTGCAGAAGCTTTTTAGTTTGATGTAGTCCCATGTGTTCATTTTTTCCTTTGTTTCTGTTGCCTTAGGTGATGTATCAGTGAAAAGTCTGCTCCGTATGATGTCTGAAATTTTGTTGCCTACATTTTCTTGTAGAATTTTTATGGATTCATGAGTCACATTTAAGTCTTTTATCCATTTTGAGTTTATTTTTGTGTATGGTGTTAGTTGATGGTCTAGTTTCATTTTTTTGCATGTAGCTGTCCAATTTTCCCAACACCATTTATTAAAGAGGCTGTCTTTACTCCACTGTATGCTCTTGCCACCTTTGTCAAATATGAATTGAGCGTATTGCCTTGGGTCCATTTCTGGGTTTTCAGTTCTGTTCCACTGGTCTATATGCCTGTTCTTGTGCCAGTACCAGGCTGTTTTGGTCACAGTCACTTTGTAGTATAACCTGATATCTGGTATTGTGATCCCACCTACTTTGTTCTTCTTTTTCAAGATTGCTGTGGCTATTCAGGGTCTTTTTTGGTTCCATATGAACTTTTGAAGTATTTGTTCTAGTTCTATGAAATATGTCGTTGGTATTTTGATGGGGATTGCATTGAATCTGGAGATTGCTTTGGGTAGTATGGACATTTTAATGATGTTAATTCTTCCAATCCATGAACAGGGTATGTGCTTCCACTTTTTTATATCTTCCTCTATTTCTTTTTTCAATGACCTATAGTTTTCTGCAAATAGGTCCTTTACTTCTTTGGTTAAGTTTATTCCTAGGTATCTTAATTTTTTTTGCACGATGGTAAATGGGATTGTTTTTTCAGTTTCTCTTTCTGTGAGTTCATCATTGGTGTACAAGAATGCCGTCGATTTCTTGATGTTAATTTTGTATCCTGATACTTTGCCAAATTCATTTATTAAGTCTAGTAGATTTTTGATGGAGTCTTTAGGGTTTTCTATGTATAATATCATGTCATCTGCAAATAATGACAGTTTCACTTCCTCCTTTCCAATTTGGATCCCTTTTATTTTTTCTTCATGTCTGATTGCTGTGGCTAAGACTTCCAGTACAATGTTAAATAAGAGTGGCGAAAGTGGACATCCCTGTCTTGTTCCTGTTCTTAATGGAAATGTTTTTAGTTTCTGTCCATTGAGTATTATGTTGGCTGTAGGTCTTTCATATATGGCCTTATTATGTCTAGATAGGATCCCTCTATTCCTATATTGCTGAGCGTTTTTATCAGAAATGGATGCTGGATTTTGTCGAATGCTTTTTCAGCATCTATTGATATGATCATGTGGTGTTTATTCTTCATTTTGTTTATGTGGTGTATCACGTTTATTGATTTGTGAATATTGTACCAGCCTTGCATCCCTGGAATGAATCCCACTTGGTCATGGTGAATAATTTTTTTGATGTATTTCTGGATCTGATTTGCTAATAGTTTGTTCAGGATTTTGACGTCTATGTTCATCAGGGATATTGGCCTGCAGTTTTCTTTCTTCGTAGTGTCTTTTTCTGGTTTTGGAATTAGAATTATGCTGGCCTCATAAAACAAGTTTGGAAGTCTTCCTTCTTCTTGAATTTTTTGAAATAGTTTGAGGAGAATGGGTGTTAGTTCTTTTTTGAATGTTTGGTAAAACTCTCTGGTTAGGCCATCTGGGCCTGGGCTTTTGTTTGCTGGGAGAGTCTTGATTACCTCTTCAATTTCCTTAGTTGTTATTGGTCTGTTCAAGTTTTCTATCTCTTCCGGGTCTAGTTTTGGGAGACTGTGTGTTTCTAGAAATTTGTCCATTTCGCTGAGATTGTTGAATTTGTTGCCATATAGTTGTTCATAGTAGTTGTTAATGATCTTTTGTATTTCCATGGTGTTGGTTGTTACTTCTCCTCTTTCATTTCTGATTTTGTGTATTTGGGTTCTCTCTCTTTGTTTCTTGGTGAGTCTAGCTAAGGGTCCATCAATCTTGTTTATCTTTTCGAAAAACCAGCTCTTTGTTTCATTGATCCTTTGAATTGTTTTTTTTGTCTCTATGCCATTTATTTCTGCTCTGATCTTTACTATTTCCTTCCTTCTACTTGCTCTGGGGTTTTCTTTTTGTTTGCTTTCTAATTCTTTAAGTTGTGAGGTTAGACAGTCAATTAGACATTTTTCTTGTTTTTTGAGGTAGGCCTGCAGTGCTATGAACTTCCCTCTCAGAACTGCTTTTGCTGCATCCCATAGATTTTGTGTTGTGTGTTCATTTTCATTGGTTTCCAGGGAGTTTTTAATTTCTTCCTTGATCTCCTCAGTGACCCATTCATTGTTTAATAACATGCTATTTAGCCTCCATGTGTTGAAATATCTTTGCATGTTCTTGTTGCAATTGATTTCTAGTTTCATGCCACTGTGATCTGAGAAGATGCTTGATATGATTTCAATCTTCTTGAACTTGTAGAGATTTAGTTTGTGTCCTATCATGTGGTCTATCTTTGAGAATGTCCCATGTGCACTTGAGAATGTGTATTCTGTTGTTTCGGGGTGTAATTCTCTGTAGATATCTATTAAATCCATTTGGTCTAGTGCTTCATTTAGAATCTCTGTTTCCTTGCTAATTTTTTGCCTAGAGGATCTATCCAGTGGTGTCAATGGGGTGTTGAAGTCCCCTGCTATGATTGTATTGTTGTCTATTTCTCCTTGGAAGTCCTCCAGAAGATTTTTAATATATTTTGGTGCTCCTATATTGGGTGCATATATGTTTATCAAGGTTATACTATCTTCCTGTTGGATAGATCCTTTCAATATTATGTAGTGGCCTTCTTTGTCTCTAGTTATGGTCTTCATTTTGAAATCTATTTTATCAGATATGAGAATTGCTACCCCAGCTTTTTTTTGCTTTCCATTTGCTTGGAAAATTTTTTTCCGTCCCTTCACTTTTAACCTATGTGAGTCTTTTGTTGAGAGGTGGGTCACTTGTAAACAACATATAGATAAGTCATGCTTTCTTATCCAATCAGCTACTCTGTGTCTTTTTATGGGAGCATTCAATCCATTTACGTTTAAGGTGATTATTGATATGTACTTATTTATTGCCATTTTTGTTTAGTGTGGTTCTATTTTTCTTCCCATTTCTACTGCTAATTACAGCAGTCCTTTTAACATTTCTTGCAGTGCTGGTTTGGTGCTAATGTATTCCCTTAGCCTTTTTTTGTCTGGGAAGCTCTTTATTTGATCTTCTATTTTGAATGATAGCCTTGCTGGGTAGAGTAGTCTTGGATTCAGATTCTTGTTTTTCATGACTTTGATTACTTCATGCCATTCTCTTCTGGCCTGTAGTGTTTCTTGTGAGAAGTCAGCTGAGAGCCTTATGGGGGTTCCTTTGTAGGTAACCTGTTGCTTATCTCTTGCTGCTTTTAGGATTCTCTCTTTGTCTTTAATTTGTGGCATTTTAATTACTATGTGTCTTGGTGTGGGCCTGTTTGGGTTCTTCTTACTTGGGACTCTTTGTGCTTCTTGAACTTGAATGCCTTCTTCCTTCACCAAATTAGGGAAGTTTTCTCTCACTATTTTTTTGAATATATTCTCTATCCCTTGCTCATTTTCTTCTTCTTTGGGGACTCCTATGATGCGAATATTATTACGTTTCCAGTTGTCCCATAGTTCTCTTAAGCTGTCTTCCTGTTTTTTAATAGTTTTTTCCTTTTGTTTTTCTGATTGGTTGATTTTTTTCTACCCTGTCTTCTAATTCACTGATTCGGTCCTCAGCTTCCCCTACTCTGCTTTTTAAACCTTCCAATGTGTTTTTCATTTCTAATATGTCATGTTTTATCTCTTCTTGATGGTTTTTAATTTCCAATTGGCTTATTTTCAGTGTCTCTATGTCCTTACTCATGCTGTTGAGCTTCCTCAAGATCATGGCTCTGAATTCTAGCTCTGTTAACATGCCTAATTGCTCCACATTGATCTCATGTTCAGTGGAGGTCTCTTGCTCTTTCTTTGGCTTCTGTTTCTGTGTTTCACCATTTTGGCTATCACTGTGGGCTTTGAAGCCTGTCAAGTTTTTTCTGTGGGTGTTGGTGTTCTGCTGTTTGTGGCTCCCTCTCCTGTGTTTAGATGAGCGAGGGAGGACCCGCATTGAACACCACTGTCAAGTCTTACTTTCCTCGTTAAAGTTGCCAGCCCAGGAAAGGTACTGTTATCCTCTAGCTTTTTGCCTGGAGGCTATCAGTCGAGGTTACTTGATGAGTTTTGGGTTGTCAATTGATTGAAAAGCTCCCTCAGGTGCTCAGCACAAGGGGATTTCCCGAGGGTGGGGCAGATGCTGGTTGTTAATGAGCTTCAATTAGCACTTCAATGGCCCACAGGGTGGGGTTGGGTCTCGAGGGAGGGGCTGCTGCCTCTCCTCAGAGCCCTGGAAGGAGCAATATGGCCACCGTCCTGCGTGGCTGCACTCAGCAAAAGCTCTGAGTGCCGTCCAAATCCCGAGTGTCCCGACACAGTTCCAGTCCAGTCTGCCCTCCCTCTGCCAGAGCCCAAGGTGAGTGGCTGTGGCTGTTTTAGCCTCTGTCCTGGCTCTGCGCTGTGGAGCCGCCTGGGAGTGTAACCCGAGGGCGCTGCTCCCAGCTAAGGCCGCTGCCGAGCTGCCGACCGTGGGCTCCCAGTCAAGGCGCAATCCTACCAGGATGGAGTCAGTGTCCCTCATTGTGTGGTCCTCTCAAGCTGCTTTTCTGTTGGTTTTTCCCGTCAATTTGTCTGTGTTATAGTTGTAATTCCAGTTTGGTTCTGGGAGACAGTCTGTGTAGCTTCCGTTCACTCCGCCGTCAATTTTCCTCTCTCCTCTTTTTCAAGTTCAGTGGAGGCCAAGGCATAATATGGAACAGAGCACCAGTGTCTTTGGAAGATTCTATTAAAAGCTGATTTTTCTTTCCAGACAGTGATTCCTGACACCTCCGGCTGAGCCATTGGGTTTCAAGTATTGTATAAAACTGTAGTTCTCAAAGTGGGGTTCCCAAACCAGCAGCATCATCCTCACCTGGGAATTCACCAGATACATATTCTTGAGTTCCACCCCTGACTTACTGAATCAGAAACTGTGGGGATGGGCCCAGCAATCTTTGCTTTAGCAAGATCACTAAATGATTCTGCTCAATGCTGAAGTTTGAAAACTATTGATATAAAAGTAAAACTGGCTGATTAAAGGAGAAAGAAACCAGTATTTATTGAATACCTACTATAATCTAAAGCTTTGTGTACTTAATATCATCTAATTTTAATAGGATCCCAGGGAGGTAGGTATTGGGTGTTGTTATCTCATTTTTTAAAATTGTAGTAATATATATATATGTAGATATATATATATATATATTACTACACACATACATATATATATTACTACAATTTTTAAAATGAGATATGTATATGTATGTATATACATATATGTATATATGTGTATATATACATATACATATACATGTATACACACACACACACACATATATATATACACACACACACAAATTTTTCTATTTTAATCAATTTTAAGTGAAGGATCCAGTGGTATTAATTGCATTCACAATGTTGTAGAATGCAACCATCACCACTATCCATCTCCAACACTTTTTCATCACCCCAAAGAGAAAATCTGTGAACATTAAATATTAATTCCTATTTCTCCTTACCCGCATCCCCAGGTAACTTCTAATCTACTTTTTGTAGATTTGCCACTTAATATAAGTGGAATCATATAACATTTGTCCTTTTGTATCTGGCATGTATCTGGCATATTCACTTAGCATACTGTTTTCAACACTCATCCATGTTGTAGTATGTATCAGAATTTCCTTCTTTTTTAAGGCTGAATAATATTCCACTGTATGTGTACACAACATTCTTCTGTTGATGCTTTTGGTGGACACGGGTTGTTTACATCTTTTGGCTATTATGAATAATGCTGCAATAAATATTGGCTTACAAGTATCTGTTTGAGTTTCTGTTTTTAATACTTTTGTGTTATCCCATTTTTTAAGTGATAAATTAAGGCTCAGACAAAGCAAAGTGGCCATAGCTAGGAACTAGAACAGAGCAGTCTGATACCATAGCTCCACCCACCAAACCCACCGTCTAAAAGGGCTGGTCCCATTTACCACCTGTGCCACAAGCTTTACTGGGTTATCTGTTACTCAGCATGTGTGTGTGTTTTCCTGATTGTCTTTTATTTTTCTTCCTTGAAGGATACTAGTTCTACAAATGTTTCCAAGAAACCCTTGCCAGAAATAAGCCGAATTAACCCGTCCTGGACAGAACAATGGATGGCAGTGACAAGTGGAAGTGATGAACGTGAAGTGGCTAAGAGGTGGCTCTGTCTGATAATTATCTACCACTTTTATTTGGCTCTGGAACCATGGTCATTTTATCCTAGACATAAGAAAGAGGGTTTGGCTTTGTTGCGAAGGCATTTGCATTTTAACCATGACTCTCTTATGCCACCCCTTTGTTTGAAGAAGTCATTAACTTATTCATTGATTCTGTCAACTTAACAGAGGTGTACAGGATAGGGGAAAAGGTTTACAGTTATTCCTATGGGAAATGTACAATAATTAATAAATTGTAATACAAGAATAAACTTTGTTTTACGCACTCACAACTATAAGCCTACTTTTCTCTCTCCCCTGTACTGAGGGCATACAATATCCCAGGCACCTTGATAGGTGAGGGAGATATAGGAGCATTTTTTATATCTTCTCTGGTGCTCCATACATTTCTGTGTTCGGAAGGATGGCTTTTATTTAAGTCTAGATGACCTGATTAAGTCAACCATGAAGGCTCTTGGTGAGATCTAGCAGTCAACATGCACAAAGAATTACCAGCATTTGGAGGACTCTTAGAAGAATCACAACTTTTGTTAATAATGATTCCACATTAATTATATATTCAGACATCAGATATAAGGAGGCTTTACAGTATGTTATGACTTAACCCTTGTGTTGTTGCTTTTGCAGCGAAATTAGATTGATATTTTCATCTCCTGCTTGTCTGACTGCAAGTTTTTTAAAGAAAAGGTAATATTTACATGGGGTTTACCTTCATTTGAAACACTGGGGAATTTTTTAAATGAAATCTTTCGAGTCAATCATTTCAATTTGTGAATTTTGTTATCTACAAATAAAATGTCCAACATAGAAAACTCCATAGGTTGTTACAAAACTCTTCCATTTTGTAGAGTAATTTTCTGTTAGACCATTATTAAATTGTAGTTCCTAATTCACATTGTTTAGTTCCTCAACCCTGCCCTCCTCTGTTCTCTGACTGGGAGGAAGGGTGTTTTTTTCTGGATCTTTGTTTCTGAGTATCAACTCATTGCTTTGGTCCTTAGAGGCCAAAGCTATACTTGGCAGTTCTTATTGTGGTGGGATCAATAAGGAAAACAGATCCTATTTATCTTGAAGTAATCTTACTACTGCAGAGGAAAATCTACATTCTCTCTCATTTGATTAGACACTTGGTCTGACCCAGTCGTTTAAACAATTCCTTTGCAAAATGCTCAACAATTGGTCTTCTATTTCTTCCCCTCCTTCTATGCTCATCAGTACTGTGACTAAGATTCATTCAAAGATAACTGGAGGCATTTGAAACATTTTAAGTGTATTTGAACAAATATTGATTCAAATGGGGCAGTGCCAAACTGGAAGGAGTGAGGAGCACTCTGCAGACAGGAGCCAGGGGAAAGACTGATGTAGAAAAAGTGCAGAAGCAAAGAAAGGAAATTACTTGGCTGGCCATAACTTTAAGCCTAGTTGGCTGTTTGTAACTGCTTCTCCTTAGGTTTTTTGTTTGTTTGTTTTATCCTTACCCGATGACTTTTTTTTATTTATTTTTTTGCATTTATCTTCAGATAGAGCAGGAGGGGGAGAGGGAGGAAGAGAGAGAGAGAGAAACATCGACATGAGAGAGACACATCAAGTGGTTGCCACCCACACGACCCCAACTGGGGCCGGGGACAAACTGCAACCGAGGTACGTGCCCTTAGCGGGAACAGAACCCAGGACTCTCTGGTCCGAGGGCTGAAGCTCTAACTGCTGAGCCAAACTGGCCAGGGCTTGTCCTTAGGTTTAGATTTCATAACTCTGAGGCATTTACAGGCTTAGATTTTGTCTGTTCATGTAGGTCTCTATGGCATTAGAGCCACCATAGTCTAATGGCTTCCTTGTTTATTTAAACAGTATACAAAGGAGGAGAAGGGGGGATAACAGGATGAAGGGGCCCTTAGGCTGCCCTCTGCCTTCTCTGGAGGCAGGTGCCCTGCTGGTCTACCTACAGTAGATATAACTCATTCCAGTCCTTCACTAGATCAGGTCCCATCCCTCCCCTTGTTGAGTTGGCTCACTGGTTCAGAAGATGCTTGTTGTACACATCTTGTAACCCCTCCAGGTTTCAAAGTCATGCTAATGAAATAGTATAATCCCAAAGTAATGTAAATGTAGATCATAATTTTTCAGGTGGTGCTTGCTTACCCCCTGTTGCAGCTCTTCCTTGCCCCTACAACAGCTCAGTTGTCCCATTGGTTCTTCTTTTTCTTTTTTTTTTTTTCAATTACAGTTTACATTCAATATTATTTTGTATTATTGTCCTATTGGTTCTTAACCCAGCTTCATTCTCAGCCACTCCAACAGCTTCACCTGGGAACCAGAGAAGCCCCGGGAAGTTAACTGCCGTGGTTTCCCACTGGCAGCTTATGAGGCAGGATCTTTCTAGAGCTCAAAAGAGCGTCCCTGTTCATCTCTGGGCAACTGGACGAAGGCGGGAGAAGAGAAAGCGGGACACTGCCTCCCCCTGTGTGTCTCCCCTTTGCTTTCCTCTTCTTGCCATCCTTCCAGGCTGGGAGTGAAGGGCCCTCCCATACAATTGCCTTCTTTCTTCCCTACTCTAAGAAAACTTCTTTCTACACTAAGAATATTATCTTTTTTTCTCTAGTTCTCCACTTTAAAAAAAAATGTATTGTTGACAGTATTACAGATGTCCCCCGTTTTCCTTCCCTTTGTCCCCTTCCACCTAGCTCCTGCCCAGGCCCAGGCCTTCCCCACAGTACTGTCTGTGTCCATGGATTAGGCATATGTGCATATATGTTCTCTGGTGAATCTCTTCCTGTCCCCTCCAACCCCCACCCCTCTAAAGTCTGTCATTCTGTTCCATGTACCCATGCCTCTGGACCTATTAAGAATATTATCTTTTAAAGTGGAAATGAACCCTCCCAAAAGTGATGAACCTCAAGGTTTGGTCTTAAGATGTCAAAGGCTGAAAAGGAGAATATATTTTTACCATACTTTGATTTAGTACTTGCTTAATATATTAGCCCAATATATTAATTAATATTGATTTATTAATCCAGCAAGGATAAAGTATTTCTTGCTAGAACATTATAAAGACAAATTGTTTGGCAGAAAGCAGGCTCTCCTCAGACATCACCAATACAACCTAGGGAGGCAAGACCCCTATACAAAGCTTTGGTAGTGTTTCTGAGGGGGAAGGCCAGGTTGGAATTTATTAATAATTGGTAGTTTTGTTTAAGGCACATTTTTCAATGTGGGAAGGGGACACTGGGGGCTTGATTATGACTGGGAAAAGACACAGGGATCCTGGATGTATGGAGACAGCAAAGCAAGAATTTTGAGGCAAGAGATTCAAAGAACTTGGCAAAACTGTCTGTTGATGCTTGCCATTGAAGAGTTAATTGGTCTTTTCAGGAAGTTCCTATAATGAATAATCAAGCCATTTGCTTGGGCAAGTGTCTCTTGGAATAGGAAAGTTATGCTTATGAAACAGTACAATCCCAAAGTAATGTAAATGAAGATGGTAAGGAATATGTATGTGTGTGTGTGTGTGTGTGTGTGTTTGTGTGTTGGGAGGGAGTATGTAGTTTCAGTTCTCTGTGCACTGGCTGAGAGTTGGGGTAAATGCTATCAGTTCTCAGATGCACCATATAAAATTTTGCTGTTATTGTAGCCCAAATTTGTAGCTACTCTTGAGATAGTAAATTGTTACCTACTGTCTTTTAGCGGAACATAAATTCCATGTATTTTTTTTTTTTTTATGCCAAAGAAATTGATTAATTTGAAAGGAGGTAAGCATTAAGAAAAAAAGTTTACATCTGAAATGTACTAAAATAAAACTAAATAATGATATATGAAGCTTAGAAATATTCCTTTTTATTTGTTTATGTGGCTTTTTTTTTTTTTTTTTTTTTTTCATTTCTTATATCCAAAGAGAATCTGGAGAAACGAATTCCGTTGATGTGGACTTACAAATGGCAAATGATACCTTCGAGAAGTTAACAAAAAAGGAATGGATTTCTTCCATGGTAATAGTCGATACCTACTTGAAAAATAGAGCAATAGAATTTCCTTACAGGAACCAATATGATTGCACTTTAATTTTGTTGGGAGCTGAGTGAGGGGCACCTGAGATGGGAGGGCAGTGTTCATTTTGTGGTTGTTTTATTGGAGAAATGCATGAGTTACCTTTCTCCATTGCTAGTGGGAGTGGGGTTCTTGGGGTACTGCAGGAATAAGCATTTCCAGAGGCCCCCATAGGATGAGATGGGATAGAAAGCTTTATTTGCATGGAATTACATCCTTCGGTTTCCAATCCTGGAGTGTTATAACGTGTCAGTGAGATAACCAGAGACGCACAGCCAAATTGTAAAGGAGCACTTCATTACACCGGCGGGCTGGGGGGTACAGCTTCCCCAGATCCTCAGCCCCGTTCTTCTTGCTCATCTGATTCTAAAGACAGAAGCCCTATCCCCCTTTTGCCCCTCCCTCAGGGGACCAGTACAATAGTAGGTGTGACAGCAGTTACAGAAGTCAAAATTAGCATTATTCACTGGGCTCATGATTTGCAGTTTCCAGTACTTGATACTCAGCTGCAAATACCTCCCAACACATGGGGCAACTATAACCTTAGGCAAAATTCCTTTACTTCTAGGGGATAATTAACCTATTATTGGAAAAATACTGAGGAAAGTCCACTGATGATCAAAATGGAGTCATTTAGTCATCTTAGCCAAGGGGCCTACATAAGAATGGAATCTAGTCGCCTTAGCCTTGGGCCCAGGTCAGGAGGAGGTGCAGCTGGGGATGCAGTAGATGTAGAAGCAAAGCCAGTGTTCAGAGTTTGAGTTCCGTGATGGAGCTGGGTCCAGCGCAGCCTTAGACTAGTTGCAATCCACTAGTTCATTATGGAAGGTCCGCCTGGCTGTGGACCACGTGGGTGAAAGCAGGAGCGTGAGAGCACCCCCTGCAACAAGAGTCCTAAGAGAAACAAGAGGGCAAGAGAGACAACTCCTTTGTTTAGGAGATAAGTATCTTCAATCTTTCCATGCTTGCAGTGGCCATACCTACTCTGGCCAATGACCGGTTCCCAGGTGTGACTGACAGGCAAGTACCTTCCCTATGTCACTCAAGCTTTACTGGGAATGTGTCTATTCTTTCCCTGTCCGGTCCCTTCCCTTAGAGATCTGAGGGTAATAGACTGGAAGCTTTACATCTTCCTGGCAAAGCTACACAAATGAATGCCCATGATGTTTAGCCTTCCCCTTGGTCCCTTCCTATTATTTATAACAAGTTCATTACAGTGGTATCAGTTGCTATATTCCAGACACTGTATCAAGCACTGGCTCTTATTTTCTCTGTGAACACTTAAATGTACAGTATATGACAATACTTTTATTTATTTATTTTACTTAAAAATTTTTTTTTCTATGATTAGAGAGAGGAAGGGAGTGAGAGAGAGAAACATCGATCAGCTGCCTCCTACACACACCCCAACTGGGAATCCAACCCACAACCTAAGGTATGTGTCCTGATTGGGAATCAAACCTGCCACCTTTTGGTGTACGAGACAACGCTCCAACCAACCAAGCCACACCAGCCAGGGCGACAATACTTTTATTTTCAATATGAGAAAACCAATACTTGAAAGGCAAATAACCTCTGGCGTGACAATGAAAAGAGCACTAATTTGGGAAAACAGATCATCCTGGACTGGAGGAATGAAAAGGCTGGTCTCTATTTTGAAATGAATCTCAAATCTAGTTGAGGTCAGTCTGCTACTGATTCATCCCTTCTCCTCTTTGGGTCAAATTTTCTTTACTTATAAGTTGAATTCATCTTTAAGGTCCATCTATTCCAACTTAATACTTTGTAATTCTGGGTTGTGTAGGATGGGAAAAAAGCCTTTTCCCTATACCAATTTAGGTCCGTGTGTTTGGGGGCCTGTGAACTGACAGTAGATAGATGAACAGGAGCACAGAAAACAAGTTTTATCCCCATGCACGTGGAAGCATTCAGATGAAAGGGCTCCACAAACAGCTGGGCAGGGGGTGGGGAGCTTATATACTAACTTAAAAGGGAAAGAGAGGCGGGGAGAAAGGGAAAACAAATGGAGTTCTTGGGGAGACAAATGGGCTTCTGCAGGGGGGGGGAGGGGGTGTAAATGAAAGATATGACAGCTTGTGATAGTGTTTGTTTAAGCAGTTTCTCATCCAAGTGCAATTGAAGCTTGCCCACCGGCCGGAGACGAGGTTTGTGGCTGCTTTACTCTTGGAAGCCTTTAGTCAGATAAGGGAAGCTCTTAAGGTTTTTTCCTGCATCAGCTGTATCTCAGATGTCTTCAGTTTAAAGTCATCTTTATACCATTTCGAGTCCCTACATTTGGAAGGTAAAGGGGGAGGGTGTTCCTGAATGTGCAGTTAGATACTATATTTTTATTTTCAAGATGAAGAAGAATAGTATATGTTATCAAGTATATTTTTAAAATAAATTTATTTAGGTGAGATGGGAGATAAGTTGGGGTGCTATTCCCAGTGTGAATTCCAAAGAACATTAGTTGCACAGAATGCTCCATGAAAAAGGATTCTGAGTGAAACAGCTTTGGAAACACTGCATACTCTTGTGAACTCATGATGCACTTAGTAAATCAAAGATTGTATCATATACCAAAAAAACCTCTAGCTTTTTTTGCCTTATTTTTCTCAAAGTTATTTGACTATGTGATACTATTTTCCCATATACACTTTCTAGTATTCCACAGAAATCATGATCTGGACATATGAGAAAACAAATTGTAAGAACATTAATGTAATAATAATAACAGATAGTAGTTGACAGTTTATTGTTTCATATATCATCTTACTTAACCCTTATATCATGTACAGGCAGACACTATAATTAAGGGTATCTAAGATCTGCCCTGGCCGGTTTTGCTCAGTGGTTAGAGTGTCAGCCTGCGTACCAAAGAGCCGTGGGTTTGATTCTGGTTAAGGGCACATACCTGGTTGCGGTTCAGTCCTCAGCTCTGGTTGGGGTCATGCAGGAGGCGACCAATTAATGTGTCTCACATCAATGTTGCTCTCTGTCTCTCTCTCTCTCAGTCTCTGCCTTCCACTCTGTCTGTAGATAAATGGGGAAAAAAGTATCCTTGGGTGACGATTAAAAAAAAAAAGAGTATTTAAGACCTATTAGATAGAATAAATAATGCTAGCTATTGTCACAAACAATTTCTCAACTCTAGTGGCTTACCACAGTGAAGATTTCTTTCCCACATCATAGTCCCGTGAGGGTTGGAAGATCAGAGGCACCTATAGAGGGGAAACATTTTTTCCTTCTATCCATCTTAGTTTCATTGGCTGGGGCCCTACAAATCAGACTGAGGAAAGACAGATAAATAGGTGAAAAACAAACAAATGTATTCACGAGTGCATCCTTCATAAACACTCAGTAATCAGAACTTTAAAAGGGTGGTTAGAACTTGGGCTTATATAGCATCTTAGTAAAATAATTTTGTAGAGAAGTGATCAAACAAAGGAAAATGACTTTGAGTTTCTAGAGGTGACAAATTGTGGGAAGGCAAATATGTGGGGATACTAATGGTACATAGGGCTAGTTAGTGAGGTTTGTGTGGACTCCTCAGTGCCAGCTCATGTCCGCTGATAAGGTTGTTATCCCCTTCCTGGTACAGGGAGTTTGGGCGGGAGGACATCTTCACAAAATGAATTTATAATCAGTTTTTGGATACATTTCAAAATACGCAGATATTACTTTATTCACTACTATAGGATGTCCTTTAGGTAGAGGGAAGCCAGAAAACTTGTTCTATGTTTGTTTTTTCTTACTTGCTTTCAGCTTAAATGATCCTCATGCCAGAGTGGCATATTTTGAGGTGGCATATTCTGCTACCCCTTTTTCTTCTGCACAGTTGAATTCAGGAGTGACGCAGGCTCCTTCTTTCTGGGCTGTGGGCCAGTAGATCTTTTGTGTTTGGTTGGCAGACTATGAAGGAGAGTATGTAAGGTCGCATGAGAGGTTTCAGGGAGGCGTGCTGGGAAGTGTCATACATCACTTTCACTCATATTGTGTCAGCTAGAGCTCAGTCACATGGCCCTAACTGCAGGGGAGGCTGGAAAATACCATCTTTCTGTGAAACCAGGAGGAAGCTGCAACAAGATTGCTGAGGTGAAGATATGGCATTTTCTCTGCCAGGGTTGATTTTCAGTCAGGTAGATCTGGTTATGGATCCCTGCTGTCACTTTCTAATTGAGCAACCTCCATGAGTCAGTAAGTACATGCACATGTGATTTACTTTGATTTCCTCATGCACACCAATATAAAATAGGGAGGATGGCTTTCACATACCACTTCAGGGGCATTTGGAATACAAGGAGTGATGAACAATAGGTTTCAGGAAAACTAAATGATGATTCCAATTAGAAAGTGGTGGAATGAAACCTCTGGTCCCAAAACTTATCCTGGGCCTTTCTCTGACCCTGTTTCAACTGCAGATGACTACATGTCTCAAGGATAATCTACTCAGAGCTCTTCCATGCCATTCTCTGTATCGAGAAGCATTATCCATTTTCCTTCTGCTCCCACAATGTCCTGTGATGCACGATTCTAGGAACTGGGAAAGTCTGGTGGTTCCATTTGCAAAGGCTGTTTGTGAAATGCGTGATCGATCTTTACAAGTCCTGAGTAAGTGTGATTACTTTCATGTTACTTTATTGGAACTCTCAATAGAGAGTCACTGTCTGAAGTAATTGTAGCAAATTTTTTATTTTTATTTTTATTTTTTTATTTTATTTTATTTTTTTTAATCCTCTCCTGAGGACATTTTTCCATTTTTTGTTCACGTAGAGTGGGAGGGAGAGAGAGGAAGAGAGAGAGAGAGAGAGAGAGAGAGAGAAACATTGATGCGAAAGGGACACATTGAGTGGCTGCCACCCGCAGGACCAACCAGGGCTGGGGACAAACTGCAACCGAGGTACGTGCTCTTAGCGGGAACCGAACCCGGGTCTCTCAGGACCGCAGGCCGACACTCTAACCGCTGAGCCAAACCGGCCAGGGCTGTAGCAAATTTTGAGTACATGGTATGTGAACACAAATATTTGAGTACATGGTATGTGAACACAAATATTTGAGTACATGGTATGTGAATTATTGAAAAGAGAAGCCTAAAGCTATTATAATCATTACTGTTATCATACAAGGCATGTATAGTTCTTAAACTTGAACATGGCTTTGGCATCAGAGTTTAATAACCATAGAGGATTCAGTCAAGATAAATCCACTTAAAACTTTTTGCTCATGTTGTTTTAAAATGTTAGACATTTTAACCAGAGGTGATGGAAAATAAATGTTAAGCTTTTTGTTCTTGTTGTTTATTTTATTCACTAATATAGGATATCTTTTTACAATTTTAAGCTAGTGTTCAAAATTCAAAGCTTAAAAGGTACAAAGGATATATATAGTGATATATAACCTACCCAGTTTCCCTCTCAGAAACCAATTACAGAGTACAGTTTCTTGTGTAATCTTTGAAAGATATTACATTTATAAACTTATAGAAATGTTTTTTTTTGTTTGTTTTTTTTTATGGTAGCATACTGTTCACATTCTTTGACAACTTGCCTTTTCCCATTTAACAGTATATCATGGAAAGCATTCTGTTATTGGATCTATAGAACTGTCTTACTCTATTTATAGCTGAATAGTATTCTATTGGGAGGATATACTATGAATAATTGTTTCTAAACTTTTGCTATTATAACAGTGCTAACATGCATTTCTTTGTCCATATATAAGTTTACACAGTCAGGGAAAATTCCAGAAAGCAAAATTACTGGGTCATATTGTATATGCATTTTAAATTTTGAGAGATTTTGCCAAATGACCCTCCACAAATCTGGGCCACCACGTTGCCCAACTTTAAGTGGCCACCATCCACATGGTAGTCTACATGCACCCTTGGAGTCAGGCAGCACAGCAGCCTGGGCAGAGGATGTATCAGTTTACCTTCATCAACAAATATGAGAGTATCAGCCCATGCATTTTTCTACAATGTTTTCAGACTTTGGTTTTTCCCATTCTGAAAAAAATAATATCTGAAATTTTAATTTTGTCATTATGAGTGAGGTTGTGCTGTTTTTCTTATGTTTCAGTTCATTTTTATATCATATTTTGGGGACTATCAGTTCTTCCCTCTTGCCCATTTTTCCATTTTTTGATAGTATTTTTATTCTTTATTTAAGAGGTTTTAAACTATTAAAGCAACTAATCCTTTATCAACAATATGAGTTACAAATTTTTATTTACCAATAATATGATTTACAGTGATTTTTTTTGTTAGGTTATTTATTTATTTATTTATCTATTTAATTAACAGGCTTTATTCACTTTTTCTTGTATAAAATTATGTTGTGGCCACAGCTGGAGCCTGGGTCCTCTGCACAGAAACTCTGGTGTGGGTCTTTACAAGATGTTGGTGAATTCCTGATATGGAGACTTGGTGAACACAGTCTCTTTGCAGAGATCGGGGGTGAGATAACTGTAGGTCTTGAGAGGGCATCAAAGGTGGCCTTGGCAAAGTTGCCCAGGGTGGCAGTGCAGCCCTGGCCGCGGTGTAGCAGTGGTCAATACCAGCCATCATCAGCAACTTCTTGGGTACAGGAGCTGAGACCATGCCAGTGCCCCTGGGCGTGGGGATGAGGTGCACCAGTACAGAGCCACAGAGGCCAGTCACCTTGCAAGGGACAGTATGGGGCTTGCCAATCTTGTTCCCCCAGTAGCCTCGCCACACAGGGACGATAGAGAGCTTGGCTAGGATGATGGCCCCACGGATGGCAGTGGCTCTTCCTTCGAGCACTTAACGCCCAGACCTACATGTCCATTGTAGTCCCCAATGGTGACAAATGCCTTGAACTGGGTCCTCTGGCCAGCGCGTGTCTGCTTTTGCACGGGCATAATCTTCAAAACCTCATCCTTGAGGGATGCTCCCAAGAAAAAGTCAATGATCTCAGATTCCTTGATTGGCAAGGAGAAAAGATAGATCTCCTCCAGGGACTTGATCTTCATGTCCTTGACCAGACGGCCCGCTTGGTGACAGGATCCACTCCTTGTCCTCTGTCTTGTCTCCGTGAGCTCTGGCAGCAGCTGAGGCCCAGGCAGGGTCGGGCAGCCACCGGTCCTGGATGCGGCCGCCAAATCCTCGGCAGAAGCCTCCGCGGCCTCCCATTCCAGGGCCCCGAGCCCCCGAGCCCCCGGGCCCCCGGGCCCTTCTGCAGCACCAGCGTCATCTGCCATTTGGTGTCTCCTCGGGAAAGAAGCTTGTTAGGTTATTAAAGCTGTTTTTACTCTGTGGTATTTTTGTTATGCATAATTATTTTTAAACATTTTTATGAAGCCTACTATAGTAACATTTTTTCTTTATGGTTTCTGAGTTTAGGTCATACTTCAAAAAGACTGTCTCACTCTGAAACAAAGAAACAAAAATTCTCATGCTCCTACTAGAATTTTTATTGTTTCATTTTTGTATTAAAATCTTTGATCCATATGGAGTTTATCTTGATTAAATTTTTTTTCTGGATCAGCTTCCACTTGTCTCCAGACATTTATTGAATGATCAGTTTCATTCCCACTAATATGCAATGCCATCTTTATCATATACTAAAGTGTCATGTGCATTTGGATCTATTTATGCTGCATTGATCTGTTTTTCATGCATTTGGGTCAAACTATTTTAATTACATTAGCTTGGTAATATATTTTAATATTTGATAGGTTTGTTTACTGTCCTTTAAAGGTACAGTAATCTAGATGGTAACCTCGGTGATATTAAAATATTGTTATTGATATAATTTTAAAATATATTCATATATACTAGGTGTTTATACAGTCTGAAGACAGATCATATTTTTTACAGATTGAAAATATCCTTGATGACATATTGTGTGTGTGTGTGTATTCACTTATGTATATTTTCAGATTTTATAAATAACTTACAGAATTTTCTGTTTGAAAATCATGAAACCAATCAAGCAATTGAGCATAAATTTGAACCATCAACACATTTCTTTAGACCCCTGAATTTGAACTTTTAATTCCAATGATATTTAATCAGGGAATTTTTTTTTCTGTGAGTAATAAATGTTGTCCAGGATGATATCCTTAGAAAACATATTTTTTTATGGGTTATGCAATCAGAAATGGAAAATGTCATATATTTCTCACATTAAAGAACCCAGTAGAAACTGAGGGAGGTTTTGGGGGGATGAGGGAAGTATATATTCATCATGACTAATTTTACATCCCTCAGAGCAGTGTTGGGCATCTTTACAAGAACCTTTTCTCAACACACTGGTCCAGATGCTTAAAGCAGCCATCGATGCTCAATTGAAATATTGGACTAAAACAGATCAGAGTCACTGCAATGTCAAAGCTCTTCTAGGAATGATGAAAGAAGTGTATGAGGTAAAGTTTCATCTAAAGGAATGTATCTTACTAAGTCAAAATCTCTTAGGTCTCAGCCAATCAGAGTCTTGTTTTGTTATGTTTTTCATAACAGAAAGAAAATAGTTTACTCAGCCTTAATAATTCAAAAATGCACTTGTTTTGCTAACTTGATAGACTCTGGAGGAATATATTACATATTATGTTATATTTTAAATGCACAAATACTACTCAAATATGAGAGCGATTTAGCATTTCATTAGCGTACATCGTAGAAGCAACCTGAGATTAGGCTACTAATAAACTTAATGATTATTAGGGAATAGAGAGGAGCCAGTGCATTTTAAATAAAACAAGAGATTAAATTGATATCATTCAATTAAGAAATTAGGTAAAATAAGATGCTTTTACAAATAAATTGCTAAGTGGCAATCAAAGCAAATTTCACCGCAAAGTCTCAATCTCAGTAGAAAATATTACATACAAGAGTTAGTGCTTTTCAAAAGCACTAATATAGTACTGATATTTCTATAGTATATTTCTTTTTTTCTGCAGCTTTATTGAGATATAATTGATATATAACATTGTGTAAGTGTAAGGTGTACAGTGTGTTGACTTGATACACTTATGTATTACAAAATGATTAACATACTAGCTTTATTTGTTTATTCATTTAGTTAGTTAATCCTCACCTGAGGGTACTTTTTTCCATTGATTTTTTGAGAGAGTGGAAGGGAGGGAGGGAGGGGAGAGAGAGAGAGAGAGAGAGAGAGAGAGAGAGAGAGAGAGAAACCGATGTGAGAGAGACATATTGATTTGTTACCTCCCGCACCCTGAATCAAACCAGCAACCAAGGTACATGCCCTAGACTGGGAATTGAACCCTCAACCCTTCAGTGTGCAGGCTGATACCACTGAGCCATGTGGGCCAGGGCAACACCATAGCTTTAGCTAACACCTCCATCACCTCACATACTTACCATTTCTTTATTTAGTGGTGATAACACTAAAGATCTACTCTCTTAGCATAATGTCCTCAGGGTCTGTTCATGTTGTCACAAATGTAAGGATTTCCTTCTTTCTCATAGCTAATATTCCATTTTATTTATATATATATTTATTTATATATGTATATATATATAACATATTCTTTGTCTAGTCATCCATCTATGGATGCTTAGATTGTGTCTCTATCTTGGCTACTGTAAACAAGGCTGCAATAAACATGGGGGTGCAGAAATCTCTTTAAGACAGTGATTTAATTCCCCTTGAGAAGTGGGATACTGGATCATATGGTAGTTCTGTTTTTAATTTTTTGAGAAACCTCCATGCTGTTTCCATAGTGGCTACACCAATTTACATTCCCACCAACAGTGCATACGAGTCCCTTTCTCTTCACATCCTCACCAACACTTATCTCTTGTCATTTTGATGATAGCCATTCTAACAGGTATGAAGTGATATCTTCTTGGTTTTGTTTTGCATTTTGCATTTCCCTCTTGGCTATCTGACTAGAAATACCTATTCGGTTTCTCTGCTCATTTTATAGATTGGTTTTTCACTCATTTGTATGAGTTCTGTATATATTTTAGATATTAATCCCTTATCAGGTATATGATTTGCAACTTTTTTCTCCTGTTCCATAGGTTGCCTTTTCATTTTATTGACTTTTTCTTTTGCAGTGCAGAGGCTTTTTAATTTGATGTAGTTCATTTATTTAGTTCTGCTTTTGTTGCTTGTGCTTTTGGTGTCATATACAGAAAAATCATTGCCAAGACCAATGTCAAGGAGCTTTATCCTTATGTTGTCGTCTAGAAGTTTTATGGTTTTAGGTCTTATATTTAAGTCTTTAATCCATTTTGAGTTACTTTTTCGGGCTGGTGTGAGATAGGGGTCTAATTTTATTTTTCTGTGTATAGTTATCTAGTTGTCCCAGCTGCATTTATTGAAGAGACCATCCTTTTCCTATCAAGTATTCTTGGCTCCCTTGTCAAATATCCAAGGATTTATCTCTGGGCTCTCGATTCTGTTCTATTGGTCTATATGTCTATACTGTTTTGATTACTGTAGCTTTGTAGTAGTATAGTTATAAAGAACCAGCTTTGTTCTTCTTTGTCAGGATTGCTTTGACTATTCAGGGTCTTTTGTGGTTTCACACAAATTTTAGGATTGTCTTTTTTTACTTATGTGAAAAATGTTGTTGCAATTTTGAGAGGAATTGCATTGACTTTATAGATAACTTTATGTAGTATGGATATTTTAACAATATTTGTTTTTCTAACCCATGAACACAGGATATCTTCCATTTCTTTGTGTTTTTTTCAACTTCTTTTATCAAAGTCTGTACAAATCTTTCACCTCCTTGGTTAAATTGATTTCTAAGTATTTCAGTGGTTGTCATGCTATTGTGAATGACCATTTGGAGTCTTAAGAAGAAAACCATGAATCATGTGGAGTCAGATATTTTTTAAAATAATGTATAAAAGAGAAATGTTTGGCATGAAAGACTGAGGATTTAAAAAGTGAGAAACTTTATGAGGACTTAAATGTTCTGTAATGGACTTCTCTCTGTGATGTGTACTTCTCATTTCCAGTATTAGTTATTTACCTTTTTCTTTTTCTCCTGGGTCAGTCTTACAAGGAAGTTGGGGATTTTTGTTATTGTTGTTTTTAAGAACCAACCTTTTAAATTTATTTATTTATTATTATTATTTTCAATCACACTTTATATTCAATATTATTCTCTATTAGATTCAGATGTACAGCAAAGTGGTTAGAAAATCATGTACTTTAACCCTGGCTGGTTTGACTCAGTGGTTAGCGTGTCGGCCTGCGGTCCAGAGAGACCCGGGTTCGGTTTCCGCTAAGGGCATGTACCTTGGTTGCAGTTTGTCCCCAGCCCTGGTTGGGTTGTACGGGAGGCAGCCACTCGATATGTCCCTTTCACATAGATGTTTCTCCCTTTCTCTCTCTTCTTCTCTCTCCCTCCCACTCTATCTGAACAAAAAATGGAAAAAATGTCCTTGGGTGAGGATAAAAAAGAAAATCATGTACTTTACAAAGTACCCTCAACTCATGCCATGCTGCTTCAAGTACTCAAGAACCAACCAATTTATTTGTTGATCTCTCTCTTGTACATCTACTTTTTCTCTCCTTAATTTATGTTCTTAGATTCTTTATTTCCTACCTTCTATCTTTTGAATTCATTTAGATTGCTGATTTTCCAGCATATATTTCTCTGAAAGGTCTTCTTGAACCCCTTAAGTCCTTCTCCAGTGAGAAACTAGATCCTAGATGCCTGATCTACTAGACCGTGGATCACTGATTGGCAGTTTACACCCATGGGCAGCTTATTGAAGCACATCCACACTCACATGTTACATATTGTCTATGACTATTTTGTGCTACAAAATGGCAGGGTTGAATAGTTGCACTAGAGAATATAGGGTCCCATTCTCAAAATATTTACTGTCCAGAATTAAGAAACAATTTGCTGACTATTATACTAGACAGTATGCTGTGTGTAAGCCAGGGCAATTTTTAGCTTATATTTTGTCCTGTACCTGGCAAATAATGTGTATGAAATTAATATTCATTAATCAACGGAAAAAGAGCTGAATTTAGCAAAAGTACCTTGGATTTTTATGCTGCTTTTATTCTCAAGATCTAAAAACTGTTTTCAGTAACCCTGTGCCCTAAGAACTGTTTTTACTATCTCCATTGCCAATATCTTATATATTTTACAATATTTGTGAAAATTGGAGAAAATATAAGCACCATGGAAGTTTTATAGAACTTGCACTGGGTTTGTAGAGATCTGTTCTGATTACATATATGATAGCTACACACACACACACACACACACACACACACACACAATCATATATATATAATATATATATAATGGGGACTAAATAATATATTGATAATAGTGAGAGTCACAGGTCATATTCTCTTTAAGGTAAACAAAGTTAACTGTCAACTACCAGAGAATACTTTCCACATAAATGAACTCTCCAATTTCTTGGACTTTCCTGAAAAAAGAAGAATATTCTTTAGAGATAACAAGCAGGTATGAGTAACATTTTTACTTCTGAATATTTTCATACTTTAAAGGGGGACACATTAGTAGCTATGTAGGTATCACGTTGACAAATACATATTTGAAAATATTCTTACTGCAATGCTGAATTTGCTAAATTAGATAATCATTGAAAACTTAAACATTTTTTACTCATGAAACAAATGCATTTTCTTAGAAATTTGTTTCCAAGTAATTTGGGGTCTTAAAAACAGATTCCAGAAAGTATAGAGGGAAATAACTTAGGTGATGAGGTAAAGGAATAAAGTTTTTATCTACTTTTAATTATCAAAACTGTTATCTCTGTTTCTTAGATACTTGAAGGAAACTGCACGCCTATTATTTTCAGTGATTATCCATTTATCTTTAATATGGTCTCCAAAATTAAATTATGGCAAGCTGATTCCATGTTTAAAAAACTGGTATGTATGCCTTATATTTTTTCATTATGTAAAATTTCAAACGTATACAAAATAGAGGTGATGGTGTAATGAACCCATCACAAAGTTTTAGCAGTCATTAACATTTTGCCACACTTTCATTTATTACTTTTGTTATTTTTGTAGTTGTTAGTATTTTTACTGAATTATTTAGAAGCAAATCTCATTTTCTTTTCACCTCTCCATGCTTCAGTGCGTTGGTTGTTTCACTCTTACTTTTGCTGAGATTCATCAGTGAGTTCAGTTGGTGACCACATGATATTCCCATTGTAATGTTCCCCAACAGCCTTTTATTTAATCATTTCATCCATTGTTTTGGTTGAACTTTGCAAAAGTATGATATTTCTAATATTCGTTTCTTGCAAAGTTATGAACTGAATTCTGTAAAGACCTTCTCCTCATCCATCAGGGCTCTTTTGCTGCCCTGAAAAATCATCCATATAGGAAGGTAGAGCGATGCTTAATCCTTTTTCTGTAATTAGTAAATGTTCTGTGCATAGAGGTTGTACCAATTTATGTTACTACCAGTAATGTGCGAAATGCCTCTTTTACACTAAAACCAATACAATGTTACCAAGCATGTAATATTTTCCAATTCTATGTGTTAACCATGATATTTCAATTTAATGTTAATTTACATTTCTCACTACTATATGATGTCTGAGTAGTCACTTTTTTAAGGTAATATCCATTGTTTTCCTACTATAAGCAATACTGAAATGATCATATAAATGCTCTTTTTCTCTCTTCTATCAGTTTTAGTGACCATATTATATTCTTAGTTGTGAGTCTTTGGATTTTCATATTTGCTCAAGAGTCTTGGAGTTTGAGCCCAGCACAAGGCTCAGTGGTTGAGCGTCGACCCATGCACCAAGAGGTCGCTGGTTCAATTCTCAGTCAGGGCACATGCCCAGGTGGTGGGCCTGATCCCCAGTGGGGGGCATGCAGGAGGCGGCCAGTCGATGTTGTCTCTCATCAGTGTTTCTATCTCTCTTTCCCTCTCCCTTTCTCTCTCTCTCTCTCCCCCTCTCTCATATCAATAAAGAAAAATAAATATTTTTAAAGAGTCTTGGAGCTTGAGCTATGGCCTGTAGCTCATTAGTCAGAGCATCATCCTAATATGCAAAGGTTTTGGGTCTGATCCCCAGTCATGGCTGAAGCTGTAAAGGAGCAACCAGTGAATGCATAAATAAGTGCAACAACAGATCATTGTTTCTCTCCCTTTCCTCTCTCTCTAAAAATTAATGAATAAAAAAAATGTTTGAATTGTTTCTTTGTTGATTTTAGAGAGAGAGGAAGGAAGAGGGAGAGAGATAGAAACATTGATGAGAGAGAACATCAATTGGCCACCTCCTGCATGCCCCCCATTGAGGATTTGGCTTACAACCTGGGCTTGTGTCCTGACTGGGAATCGAACCAGCAACCTCTTGGTGCATTGGTTGACACTGAAGCACTGAGTCACAGCGGCCAGGCAGTAAAAATTTTTTTAAAAAAAACTCTTGATTTATAAGCCCCAACTGATATTCTCTCATTTCCAGTGAGATTTTCTGGTTTTCATTTACTCTCTCCCTTCTGTACTTTTTCTGGTGGTTGTATTATTTCCACATAAAACTTACATGTCATTTTGTCTTTCGTATCACCATCAGCCTTAGTTTTCAGGTATGCTCACCCTGTGCCCAAACATTATGCTAAAGATTTTCCGAACTTTTTTTTTTTATTGCTGAGGCTTGTTTTCTAGGCCATTCCTCCAGAAAGTTTTGTATCTATTTTCTATGATATTTATATGTTAAGACTCATATGAATCAGAAATATCCTTTACTTATACTAATAATTCAAAGGACATGGGCCATCTCAGTGTAACATGGAAAAATCTGGGACATCACATGCACAAACTGAGTCATTTCAGTATTAAACATTTCATTTTCATTCCCTATTAATTATAGAGCTGATATGACATTTTTCAATGAGTCATGCCTGATAAACCCATAAATGCCACATTTATTTGTAAAAACATCCTAGAGGGACAAGGCACACCCTGCTAAGAGCATTCCATGGATAAGGACTCTCCCTATAGTGACTGTTATTAGTGTCTATCAAAAGACTGACTTGGCCATCTCTGCTGTTTCCCAGACACCTCTTTTGTTTTTTTAAACTTTTTCTAACATTCCTGGTAATGGGAGAAAATAGATTAAATCTTTCCCTTAAGTTTCCTTTAAGCAGATCTTTCTCTCTAGATTATTTCCTTCTACAGAAATTCTCAAAACTTGTCTACTCTGTTAGTGAAGGTTGAGTGTGTAGTAGACCCAGGCAGGTCACATATCATGAAGGATTGGGAAATGTTTGAGGACAAGAAAATTCTTCGTTGTAATTGTCATGGCTGAAGTCACAAAACAGACTCCAGAATCCTGTCCTCCAGAGGAGAGATGATGGACATCATCAAAATTGTAAGCTCCAAACTAGATGATCCATCCAAATGACAAATGTAACGAGGGGAAATGCAATGGGAAAACAGTACATGAAGAACAGGAATAGAGAATCTGGAAAATAAGATATATAGGTTTCAAGTCCAACTCTTGGTTAGGTGAGAGAAGGCTGGGCCTGCAACTGGACGCATACACCTCTCCCTGCTATAGTCAGTGCAGGGTATTGCTGGCCACTCCCTGTCACTCAGAGCCACGGGACATGTAGCTTAGCGGCCAGTACTGCTGAAGTGTCCTAGACCTGCAGATTCCTGGAAGGACTAGAAATGGCACTAGTTCCATCTCCCTACAAATCTGGAGCTTCTTTACAACAAACATCTTAGGGAAAAGCCAGAAGAATCTAGTGGAATCACATATATTTCTCAGTATATAGTGGTAGCTGACGTCCGGGACAGGGCTGAACCAAGCCCAGAGCCCCATGCACACACTCTCTGAGATGCTTGTAGATTGCTGATTCGGACAACCACACCCAGCCTGGAAACCAGCAAAAGGATAGTTGTTATTTACTTGTCTTGCTGTCACTATGGTGCTCTAGTTTATGAATCCTAAATACTCCTTTATTGACTTTGTGATACAGCAGAATCCCTAGAGGTCAAAGCAAGGATAGTAATTCCAACACTAGATTTCTAATGTAAGGAAGTTCAGCAGAAACAAGATCAGGGGACTAAAGTGGTGAGGACATGTTGAGACTTCAGATAAGCATAATGGTACTGTGTAGGGTGACAGAACAATGCTAGTACAAAATGAGGCAAACAGTGGCATATTTTGGGGGAGTTTCTATGCATATTCGGTAGGTGGATGGTAGTTATTTGAAGGAGAAGAGGGAATCTTCTCTGAGTGAGTCTTTCCACTTCTCTGTTTCCTACATGTAATGTTATTGCTGAGTTGCTAAACTGCCCTTGTATTCTTGGGGATTATTGTGCTAACACATTCTGCTTCTAGGTCTGGTGGGAGAATGTCTCAGCATGGTGAACACTGCTATTGCTTTGAAGGATCATGTTTACTATGATAAGTGATCTGAGATAGCTTTTAATTACTTAGCTGTATATCCATCATCATTTACCCCCTGTACACAATTCCTAGGTACCATAGCTTCACAGATTCTGCCACCTTTTTGTCTTCCATAGTATACATGTGATGTCCTTTTTCTTCAATAATGACACTATGAATATATATAGCAATGGTAGGCGTGATTGTATTTCAGACAAAATAGATTTATTTGAAATATTATATACTTCCTAATATTCCTATGAGGATTCCTAAAATATCTCTTTTTCTAGGGTTTGGTGATTGATGGCAACAGGCAAATGATAGCACCAGGAAATAATGAATTCCCTCCATCACCCTTTTTTTTACTTCGAGTCAGACGAAGTCACCTGGTTGAAGATTCTCTGCGTCAGTTAAGCCAAGCTGAAGTCGCTGACCTTCGGAAAGCATTAGTGGTACATAAAAAAGTCTCATTGGACATTTTTACTAATATGGGAGGGAAGCATTTATATAATGTCGCAAAGCAAGAGCCTGCATTTGCAACTATAGTTTACCAGTCTTATGATTTTGAGAAGTCCTCACTTACCCTTCAGGAAAAGCTATGGGATGTTTACTTGAACATTGGGATTATGAGTTAACTAGTAGTAACCTCTGGCTACAACGAACCATCCCAGAGGTTAATGACTGAAAATAACAATAATTTATTTTATCTGCAGTTCAGTTGATGATCTGCTGATCTAGGTTGGACTTATCTGAGTGACATTGCAGATTTTGTATGCACGTGTTTATATGTTTGGGAGTCAACTAGGGATGGGCTGATCTCGGCTAAGCCTCTATGTGGCAGTTTGGCTCTGCTTCCTATATTTGTCATCTTCCTGGGACCAGCAAGCATGTTCTTCTGAAAGCAGTGCCAGAGGTACAAGATAACAAGCCCAGTCACACAACAAACATTGCTTTAGTCAAAACAAATCACATAGGTGAGCCTACATCAAGGACTGGTAAAATATACTCAGCCTCTTTAATGGGAGGCACTGCAAAGTCACACACATAGGTCTAGGAGGGGGGAAGAATTGGGGCTGTTAATACAATCAATAAGCAGAAGGTAGAACAGATTCTTTTCATACATTTTGGCTGTAATTTTAGCTGTGGACCTTTCATTAGTGTTGGTTCCAATTAGACATCCTTCACTTCATCCTTAGTTGGCATCTGTAGGAATTTTATTGTGTGGTACCTCAGATTATTGGCCCTGTTGAGGCCATAAAATAATGATTAACTCTGTAGATTAGAGCTGGAGTCTGTTCAGAAGGGAATGGACTTTCCTGAAATCATCCATGAGGGGATGAGTTAGGATCTCAGAGAAGAAACCAAAATCTAGAGGGAGAGACTCCCATGGAGAGGGATATTTCCCAGCCTGGAATTCCACTGGGAAAAAATGAAACTATTTTGTTAGCCAGACTTTCTACTTGTATGTTTCCCTGTGTACGTACTTTCCTTTAAGTCTTGAAAATGATTCTGCCTGCAGGAGGTGACAAAGAGGTAAGAAGGTAAACTTAAAGAGCAGTCTGATTAAAATATAGACTCTGAACAAGGCAAGGTTGTCAAAACCCATTGAGTGTGTCCTGTCCCCAGGAAAGGCAGTCCTACTAGTGTAAATGAGAAGAAACAGGAAAATCAGAAGTAAGCTTATTTTGTTATTGGGATATTCAGATGGATTGTGAGGCAGGCCCTTGGAGATGACAGTCTGTGACCAAGGAACTGCTTGGTCAAAGTGGCAAGAGATAAGATCTTCCAGGCAAAAAGAGAACTCTGAGTCAAGCTTAATGATGCTTATATTAAAAAGATAAAAAGAAATGGTCCAGAAAAGGAAGTAGATAAGGAGTAGGTAGAAAGGAAAACTAGGAGTGTACTAGGTACCAAGCTCAAGGTGGACTTTAGAAAAGAGGGACTAGTTCAGATCGATTTTCCACACAAGGGAGGTGGGCAGGCAGGTCTGATGGCTCCCACAAACATGCCTTGCCAGGCTGACCTGGAGAGCTGTTTATCAGAAGTCCTAATGAAGGGAGAGGCAGGAGAAAGCAAATAGTTGTTGACTGCAGCCAGAGTTGTAAAGTCTGAATGATGCAATGAAGACAGACAACAAGATAGAAGAATCGGGTGATTTAGTGTCCCAGGAGATTGAAGCACATCAAAATTTGGTTTAAGACGCTGGTCAACATAATTGGTGAATGCTAAGTCTTGCTAGAATTCCCTTCACTTGGTTCATGTGGCAGTGTAAAGGCCCCATGCACTCGATATAAATAATCTGATAATGAATAGGTTCATGGCAGCCTCTGCTCAGTAGCAAATGGAGGGAGGACAGATTGCTGTGAGGGAAGTGGTGTGGATTCTGGGAAGTCTGGTGACTGCGGGCGGTTTGAAACTTTTCCACAAAGGTCAAACCACTGTATTTTAAATCATGGGAGTGTTCTCTTTCCTCAGATTGAATTTACTAAAGAAATTCGTTCTGCGGGTACAGGAGTAAAGTCTGAGTTCTTCCACTGTATGTTTGAAGAGATGACCAAGGCAGAATATGGAATGTTCGTGTATCCTGAAGAGGGCTCCTGCATGTGGTTTCCTGTCAGCGTAAGTCTAGTCCTCATTTTCTTGCGGGTTTTCAGAACAGGAAAAGTATGCCATATACTAGAACAGGAGAACCACACTTAATAATATAAAATTAGGTCCTGGTTGGTATGGTCTGGTTCATTGGAGCTTCATCCTATGGTCAAGTATTTAATTCCCAGTCAGGGAATCTTACCTAGTTTGTGGGTTTGCTATCCCTTTGGGGTGCAGTAATGACACATATGGGAGCAGTTGATCCCATTGGTGTTGTCTCTCCCACATTGATGTTTCTGTGCCTTCCTTCATCTCTAAAATCAAATTTCTAAAATGATGCTAATTTAAATTAATAAATAATCTAAAATTAATTTATATATAGACTTGCTATTCAAAAAATGATCCACAGAACAGCAGCTGAAGCAGCACCTGGGAGCTGTATAAAAAGCAGAATCTCAGGTCCATGTATTTTATACCATCCCCAGGTAATTCATATGTACAATATATTTTTAAACAACTTCAATGAAGTGTACTCGAGATATAATAAATAGCACACAACTGTCCAGTTTGATGTTTAGATATACATATATAACCCATGAAACTCTCATCATAATAAACATAATGAACATATACATCATCCCTCAAAGTTCCTTGTGTTCCTTTCTGACCCTACTCCTTCTCTGCTACTATCCCTCCCCTGTCCCTACCCCATGCCCAGGCAAGCACTGTCACTATATAGTAGTTTGAATTTCCTATTTTTATATAAATGGAATAATAAGTAGTCTTAGTGTCTGTCCTCTTTCACTCAGTGTAATTATGTTGAGATTCATGCACGTTTTTGCATGTATCCATAGTACATTCCCTTTTACTGTTGAGTAGTATTCCACTGCATAGATGCACTACATGTAGTTTATCTTGTCACCTACGATGGATATTTGGGTGAGGCCCTGAACTTGGAGAGGCAGTAATCTAGAATGTTTCTATTAGGAAAGAAATAATTAATAAAATCATAGAGATAATTGCTAATTCTAATAAGGTGATTCATTTCTGCAATCATATTATTATTACAAAGATCCTCGAAATGTATACACTTTCTTAAAGGAACAAAAAAAAACTTGTCTTCATTTCTTTATTAGTAACACAGAGAAAATAATTCTAAAAAGAATCATGTTGAACCTCAATGCATGGGTCCCCTTTCCTGTAAATTTCCAAATGTTCTTCCCACAGTAGAATTTTGGAACCCAGGAGAGGAAAGATGAATGGATGTGTAAAAGTACTGAAAGACTTTTTGAGAAAAAATGAACCTCTGAAAGATAGGAATGGCCAAGGTGTACAAGAGATGGGATTTTAATGGGTCATTCAACAAACATTTATTGACTGTTTTGTGAGGTTCCACATTGTATGAAATATTGTGTAAGATTCAAATTAGTATACGACACCATCCCTTTCCTCTTTTTGTATATGTAGTAGTGGAGTGATAAGACGAAACTCCAGGAACTTTAACAGTTGTTTCTAAATTATGGATTGTAGACTTTCTGCGGAGTAGTTGTGGAGCACTGCAGGGTGGGGAAGGAAGCACTGATGTAGAACTGGAAGCCCAGAGCTGTAATCTCTAGTGATGGTGGGTGGGTCACTTAGCTTCTCTGAGTTGTCGGTTTCCTCACCTATAAAATGGCTGCCATATTGTGCTCTGCCTGGTTTACAGAACAGTTGTGAGAATAAAACAAGACAAGGCTCCCTGGTCAGTTTGGCTCAGCGATTAGAGCATTGGCCCTCGGACCAGAGAGTCCTGGGTTCAGGTCCCGCTAAGGGTACGTACCTCAATTGCGGTTAGTCCCTGGCTCCGGTTGGGGTCATGTGGGTGGCAGTCACTTGATGTGTCTCTCTCACATCGATGTTTCTCTCTCTCTCCCCTTCCCTCTCTCCCTCCTGCTCTACCTGAAGATAGATGCAAAAATGTCCTCAAGTGAAGATAAAAAGAAATTAGAAAAAAACAAAAACAAGAGAAGGCATATATCCAAGTGTGAAAGCTCCATGAAACCTTTAGGGCACTCTCTATATTTAAGGAATTCTTTATTAGAGAGAAAGGAATCAAGGGGGACCGAAGTAATTGGAGAAAGTGCAATGGAAAAGTGGAGACCTGAGGTTGATGTTGAAAAATAGGGACAAAATAGATCAAAGAGATGCAAGTGAGGGATGCAGAGGAGGAAAAATAACCTTACCTCAACTCTGTCTGATAGGTGGCTTGTCCCTTTTTCCAGATAATTAAACTGAGGCTTGGAGAGATTAAATAAACTAAGGACGTTGAACTAGCAAGTGAGTAAACTAGGATGTGAATTCAGGACTGGACAAAGCCCTTACTCGTTATTGTGCTATACTGCTGGAAAGAAACATACGAGTCGGCTTCGTGTATGGCTCAGTGAAGAGACTAAGTCAACTAGAACCAGGGGACACATTACAGATATGGGAAATAAGACTGAATAGGTTAGAGGAGGCCACCTTCAGAGAGTACTTGTATTGTATTTTTAACTCATTTTCAACTTCAGAGGTATTTTAACATTTATCCTCACCATTACTCTAAGAAGAAAATAGGGCAAGTAGATGGAGGCACAGACTATTAAGGAAGTGGCCCAGAGTCATGCACCTACTAAGAGCAAGGCTGGCCCTGGAATAGAAATCTTAAAAATATTAGCAGGCTACTGATCTCCTGGCTGGGCTGTAGTGATGGCCTGGCCAGATGAGGCCAGTGCAGAGAGGAGAGTGAAGCCAGTATCATCAGGACCCTTTCCTTCTTCCTTCCACCCACCTTCACAGTCAAGAGCATCAGTCACATTCCCCGACCCATATACTCGTTCCTGTAAGGACACCTAAGTTGAGAGTTATATTGCTGAAGGGACACCACACATCTGACACACATCCGACATGCCTGAAGCCTGCTGAAAGTGTCAAGTATACCTTCCTTCCACAGGGTTGTTTAGCACAGATTAAAATTAAATATTGGAAACCTCGGTTTATAAGGCTATGTGAGCATATTTTTTAATATTCCAGACATGCTATTACTAAACAAAAAATAAATGCATTTACTTAATATTGGGAACTCTTAATTTGTATCTTAACTTATGGAAGAATTCTGAATTGCATTATACCCCAAGTAAGAACCTCAAATTTCTATTTTCCTGAAGGCCGTTTTGTTTCTAATTTGTGATTTTTAGAAAAGAGAACTAAAAATATTTTTTTGCTTATCTAATTGTCCCAGTGAATTACTGATTGTTTATAATACTTTAGGTTTTATTCTTCCCTTCTTTTTCTTTTCCAGCCTAAATTTGCGAAGAAGAGTTATTTTCTCTTTGGGATATTGTGTGGACTCTCCCTGTACCATTTCAATGTTGCCAATATTCCTTTCCCACTGGCTCTGTTTAAGAAACTTCTGGACCAAAAGCCATCACTGGAAGATTTAAAAGAACTCAGTCCTGGGCTGGGGAAGTAAGTAAAGGGTTTTCCAGGACTCTGTCTTGTAAGTCTTAGTTGTTCACACATAAATGATGTTATAGACACACACAAGGTCTTCAATTTCAGTAAAGGTATGCCCTTTAGATGGATTTGAATTTTAGCATGACTTATCGTCAAGTAAACCTTCAAAATGGAGGAAGGCCAAATGTTCCTCTGATTATAAAGCAGTACAATAAACAGAGCCTGTTCGCTTGAATGTATGCAGATGGAAACAGTTGCTTTGGACTGTATACAATATTCCTAATGAGAATATTATGACAAGGAAAAATGTCTCCAAATATTTCCAAATGTCCCTTGTGGGGGCAAAATCACCCCTGGCTGATAATCATGGTCTAGAGGAGTGGGCTCCTGTTTGTACTTTCCACCAAGACACACAGTGTCTGTGGTAGCAGTGGCCCAACCAATCAAAACTGCAAATAGAGGTTAACACTAGGAAGGGGGAGTGGGAAGGTGGAGGAGAAGAAATTGACATGGCATTTTATACATTTCTGTAGTGTCCAAAATATTCCCATTGAACATTTATTACTTTTGAAATGCTATAAGATCAATAAATACATTTTTTAAACCAACATTTTCATTAGGAGTTTACAAGAAGTTCTAAATTATGAGGCTGAGGACACTGGAGAAGCACTTCACATATATTTTTCTGTGAGTACTGTCAACCCGTGGTCACTGGCAACAATTCAATGCCAACAGGAATTCCCAAATTGGAGTGCAGTGAAGGAAACTTGATTCAGTCAAAACAGCTCACTTGTGATATAGCACAGCTGAGAAAACAGCATGGCTGTGGGGCAGTGCTGGGGACAGACCTCTCTCTGGCTAGACAGCTCTGTTCTTCCCTGGTCTGCTTTGTGTGGACTGGTCTGGTCTGCTCCACTATACTCTGGTCTGCTCTGGTCTATGCTGGTGTGCTCTGCTCTCCTCCTGTGAGACCTCTTCTGTGTTTCAGCTCAGCCAGGGAAACACAGTGTTCAGTCTTAGGTGAAAAGGAAAAGTACACTCCTCCAGCAAGGGGGCAGCTGGCTTATATAGACAGAAATCATATAGTCCAAATGGCACTGTCCTGATTGGTCAGTGAAGATGTTGATGGGGATATAGTTGTGCACCTCCGATTGCATGGGGTAGCCTCAGTCCTATTGGTTGAAATAGCATTCCAGGAACTCCCTTCTTTCTTTCCCCCCTTTATTGATATTAGAGAGAGAGGAAGGGAGAGGGAGAGAGAGAGAGAGATAGAAACATTGATGAGAGAGAATGTTGATTGGCCGTCTCCTGCATGCCCACCACTGGGGATCAGGCTCACAACCTGGGCCTGTGCCCTGACCAGGAATTGAACCAGCGACCTCTTGATGCATGGGCCAATGCTAAACCACTGTGCCACACTGGCTGATTACAGGCACTCGTTTATAAGGGCTGGCTTAGACACAGTGCAGGCAGACAGTTCTGTGCAAAGGCAGGTAACTCAGTGCAGGCATCTCCCTTAAGTGCAGTTTTGTGACAGGACCCTGTATAGAAATGGCTACTAGGATGTTTTTTAATTTTTTTTTTTCTTTATTGCTTGAGAGGGAGAGAGAGAGAGAAATATCAATGAGAGAAAACATCGATTGGCCACCTCCTACATGCCCCCACTGGGGATTGGGCCCACAACCTAGGCATGCGCCCTGACCAGGATTCGAACCAGTGACCCCTTGGTGCATGGGGTGACACTCAACCACGAAGCCAAACCAGCTGGGCTGTTAAGATGTTTTTGAAAATTGAGCCACAAGGAGCCCTTCTTAGTAGATGTCTTCTTTCTGAGGGTCAACAGTACTAATGAATACCAGATTATAGCTTACTTTAATCTTTTAAAAAATATATTTTTATTATAATACCACTAATATGGGATTCCTTTTTTGAACGAAGACCTTCCCTCTACCTGGTACTCATTTTATACCTTATGTCTGTATACTCTCAAATAAAGTGAAAATACACGTGGTTATTCAATCTATATAAACTAAACAGATCAATACAGGATTAAAAGCAATTTATAACACATAGGGTAGGTTTTAAAATTTTATAACTATTGCCCGGTCAGTGGGGCTCAGTGGTTGAACCTCGACCCATGTACCAAGAGGTTGCCAGTTTGATTCCTAGTCAGGACACATGCCCAGGTTGTGGGCCCAATCCCCAGTGGGGGGCATGCTGGAGGCGGCCAATCAATGTCCTGTATCATTGATGTTTTTAACTCTCTCTCCCATTCCCTTTCTCACTCTCTAAAATCAATAAAGAATCCCACTCTACCTGAACAAAAAATGTCCTCGGGTGAGGATAAAAAAAAAATAATAATAAAAATAAAATAAAATCAATAAAGAAAAAAAAAATCTATTTAAAAGGCTAAACTACAGCCCTAGCTGGTGTTGCTCAATGGTTAGAGCACTGGCCTGTGTAACAAAGGTCACAAGTTCAATCCCTGGCCCCGACTTGGGTACCTGCAGGAGGCAACCCATCGATGTGTCTCTCATGTCAATGCCTCTCTTTCTCCCTCCCTCCCACTCTCTCTATAAATTAATGTAAAAAATATTCTCAGGTGAATATTGACAAACAAAAAATAAATTAAAAAGGCTGAGCTACATAAATAATTATTTAGCCTCCAGTTATTTTAAATTTTATAGGGAAGAATATATTGGTAATAATGGTATTATGGATGATTTTTCTGACTTTCTTTCATGTTTGCTACTTGAATATATTTTTGTTACAGCTACACTGGGAACAAAATGATGTTGATTTAATTCCAAATGGAATCAATATACTTGTGGACCAAACCAACAAGTAAGTTCTGAGACCTAGGATATCTGCTTTGAATACACATAAAATGTTTATGTCACTTTACCATATAAATGTTTCTTACTTCTCAGATGGTCATTTTAGGTCCTCATCTTTTAGAAAGACTTAAGTATCTTCTTTGTAGCACTTTTCACTAATTATTCATTTAACAAGTATTTTTGAGCCCATAATCTGTACCAGACCCTATTCTAGGAGCTGGAGATATAGCAGTAAAAAGGACAGACAAAATCAGGAGCTTAAATTCCAGTAGGACAGAAAGACAATACATGACTAAATAATTATGTAATAGAATGTCAAATAAGGATAAGTATTCTGATGACACTTAAATCCAATTAATAGACTAGAGAGTTACAGATGGAGGTATGCTGGAGTCAGCTGGTACCAGCTTATGTGGGCTAATTGATAAATTTTCAGAAATGTTGAGAGTTTATTATTAGTTTTTGTAGCTTGAAATCAGCCTTGGTGGGAATATTTACACAACAGAAATTGGCAAGTGCTGCCAATGAGCATTCCCTTTTTCTCTTTCTTTATGGAAAACTGGTTATTAGACATTTACCAGCACACCACTGGATACAGGGGTGGACAGAAGAGGGTTTGATATAGATAGGATAGTCCAGGAAGGATGCTCAAAGGGTGGGAGACTATCATGGTACTGGTGGATTATCTGGTGCAAAGACCGCCAGTAGCAACCCTGTCATCAGGAAATTCTTCATGTAGATGAGAAGACAAACATTGCTACATAATTTTCAGACAGTGATGTGTGTTGTAATGCGGAGGGAAAAAGGAACAGAGGCTCAACTCTGAGAAAGGCATGTTCATATTGAACTCTGATGAATGACAGAAGATGCCAGGTAAAGAGAAAGCACTGCATGCTGTGGTCCAACTACAAGAGAGACTGTGAGACCAGAGATTCAAATGGAAGTGGGAAGAGGCTGTGCAATAGGGCTATGGTCTGATTCTGGAGGACTTTCTGATCCAGCTGTGGAGGTTGCTCTCAGCTTTTGAAAAGCCTTTGAAAAGACTGGAAAAAATGGTGGCAGAGTGAATGGAAGCTACACAGACCGTTTCCCAGGACCAAACTGGAATTACAATTAAAATACAGACAAATCGTCAGGAAAAAGCAACAGAAAAGCAGCTTACGAGGACTATATAACCAGGGACACTGACTCGATCCTGGTAGGATTGCTGAGGCGCCAGAGGGGGGCTGGGAGCCCACAGATAGCAGTGGTCTTAGCTGTGAGCAGTGCCCTCCGGGTTACACTCCCAAGCGGATCCACAGTGCAGAGCCAGGACAGATGCTAAAATACCCACAGCCACTCACCTAGGGCTCCGGCAGAGGGAGGGCAGACTGGACAGGAACTGTGTGGGGACACTCGGGATTGGAGGGCACTCAGAGCTTTTGCTAAATTGTGGCCACACAGGACAGTGGCCATCTTACTCCTTCCCAGGGCTCTGGGGAAAAGCCGGGGCCCCTCCCTGGGAGATTCAACCCCATCCTGTGGTCCATTGAAATGCAAATTGAGGCTCACTAACAACCAGCATCTGCTCCACCCTTGGGAAATCCCCTTACCCTGAGCCCCTGAGGGAGTTTTTCATTCAACAGAGAACCCAAGGCTCTTCAAGTAACCACTACTAATAGCCTCCAAGCAAAAAGCTGGAGGATAACTGTACGATTCCTGGGCTAGCAACTCTGCCCAGGAAAGTAAGACTTGACAGTGGTGTTTAACGTGAGTCCTCCCTTGCCATGCAAAACCAGGAGAGGAAGCCACAAACAGCAGAACACCAACACCCACAGGGAAAATTTGGCAGGCTCCAAAGCCCACTGTGATAGCCAAAATGGTGAAACAAAGAAACACATGCCAAATGAAAGAACAAGAGACCTCTACCGAAGATGAGATAAATGAGGTGCAGTTAAGCAAGTTAACAGAGCTAGAATTCAGAGCCATGATCTTGAGGAAGCTCAATAGCATGAGTAAGGACATCAAACCCTGAGTAAAGACATAGAAATGTTGAAAATCACCAGTTGGAAATTAAAAACCACCAAGGAGAGATCAAAAATGACATATCAGAAATGAGGAACACCTTGGAAGGTCTAAAAAGCAGAATAGAGGAAGCTGAGGACCGGATCAGTGAATTAGAAAACAGGGTAGAAAAAATCACCCAATCAGAAAACCAAAAGGAAAAAAACAATTAAAAAACAGGAAGACAACTTAAGAGAACTATGGGACAACTGGAAACATAATAATATTTGCATCATAGGAGTCCCCAAAGAAGAAGAAAATGAGCAAGAGTTAGAGAATATATTAAAAAAAATAGTGACAGAAAACTTCCCTAATTTGGTGAAGGAAGAAGGCATTCAAGTTCAAGAAGCACAGAGAGCCCCAAGTAAGAAGAACCCAAACAGGCCCACACAAGACACATAGTAATTAAAATGCCACAAATTAAAGACAAAGAGAGAATGCTAAAAGCAGCAAGAGATAAGCAACAGGTTACCTACAAAGGAACCCCCATAAGGCTCTCAGCTGACTTCTCAACAGAAACACTACAGGCCAGAAGGGAATGGCATGAAGTAATCAAGGTCATGAAAAACAAGGATCTGAATCCAAGACTACTCTATCCAGCAAGGCTATCATTCAAAATACAAGGTCAAATAAAGAGCTTCCCAGACAAAAAAAAAAAAAAAAAGTCTAAGGGAATACATTAACACCAAACCAGCACTGCAAGATATGCTAAAAGGATTGCTGTAATTAGTAGAAGAAATGAGAAGAAAAATAAAACCACACTAAACAAAAATGGCAATAAATAAGTACATATCAATAATCACCTTAAATTTAAATGGATTGAATGCTCCATAAAAAGACAGAGTAGCTGATTAGATAAGAAAGCATGACTCATTTATTTGTTGTTTACAAGAGACCCACCTCACAACAAAAGACTCACATAGGTTGAAAGTGAAGGGATGGAAAAAAATCTTCCAAGCAAACAGAAAGGAAAAAAAGCTCGGGTAGCAATACTCATATCTGATAAAATAGATTTCAAAATGAAGGCCATAACTAGAGACAAAGAAGGCCACTACATAATATTGAAATGACCTATCCAACAGGAAGATAAAACCTTGATAAACAGATATGCACCCAATACAGGAGCACCAAAATATATTAAAAATCTTCTGGAGGACTTCAAAGAAGAAATTGACAGAAGTACAAACGTAGCATGGGACTTCAACACTCTGCTGACACCACTGGATAGATCCTCTAGACAAAAAAATATCAAGGAAACAGAGAATAAATGAACCACTAGACCAAATGGATTTAATAGATATCTACAGAGAATTACACCCCAAAACTACAGAATTCACATTCTTCTCAAAGACAGACCACATATTAGGACACAAACTAAATCTCTACAAGTTCAAAAAGATTGAAATCATATCAAGCGTCTTCTCAGATCACGATGGCATGCAACTAGAAATCAATTGCAACAAGAACATGCAAAGACATGTGAACACATGGAGGCTAAATAGCATGTTATCAAACAATGAATAGGTTACCGAGGAGATCAAGGAAGAAATTAAAAACTTCCTGGAAACCAATGAAAATGAACACACAACAGCAAAAAATATATGGGATGCAGTGAAAGCAGTTCTGAGAGGGAATTTCATAGCACTACAGGCCTACCTCAAGAAACAAGAAAAATTTCTAATGGACTATCTAACCTCACAACTTAAAGGACTAGAAAGCAAACTAAAAGAAAACCCCAGAGCAAATAGAAGGAAGGAAATAGTAAAGATCAGAGCAGAAATAAATGACATAGAGGCCAAGAAAACAATTCAAAGGATCAATGTAACAAAGAGCTGGTTTTTTGAAAAGATAAACAAGATCGATGGACCCTTAGCTAGACTCACCAAGAAACAAAGAGAGAGAACTCAAATACACAAAATCAGAAATGAAAGAGAAGTAACAACTGACACCACAGAAATACAAAAGATCGTTAACAACTACTATGAACAATTATATGGCAAAAAATTCAACAATCTAAGCCAAAGGGACAAATTTCCAGAATCACACAGTCTCCCAAAACTGGACCGGGAAGAGATAGAAAACTTCAACAGGTGAATAACAACTAAGAAAATTGAAGAGGTAATCAAGACTCTCCCAGAAAACAAAAGCCCAGGGCCAGATGGCTTCTCGGGGGAGTTTTACCAAACATTCAAAAAAGAACACCCATTCTCTTCAAACTATTTCAAAAAATTCAAGAAGAAGGAAGACTTCCAAACTTGTTTTATGAGGCCAGCATAATTCTAATTCCAAAACCAGAAAAAGACATGACAAAGAAAGAATATCCCTGACGAACATAGACACCTAAATCCTGAACAAAATACTACCAAGTCGGATCCAGCAATACATTACTCACCATGACTAAGTGGGATTCATCTCAGGGATGCAAGGCTGCTACAGTATTCGCAAATCAATAAATGTGATACACCACATAAATAAAATGAAGATTAAAAACCACATGATCATATCAATAGATGCTGAAAAAGCATTTGACAAAAGCCAGCATCCATTTCTGAAAAAAAATGCTCAGCAATGTGGAATAGAGGGATCATATCTGACATAATAACAGCCATATGAAAGACCTACAGCCAACATCATACTCAATGGGCAAAAATTAAGAGCATTTCCCTTAAGAACAGGAACAAGATAGGGATGCCCACTTTCACCACTCTTATTTAACATAGTACTGGACGTCTTAGCCACAGCAATCAGACAGGAAGAAAAAATTAAAGGGATCCAAATTTGAAAGGAGGAAGTGAAACTGTCGTTTATTTGCAGGTGACATGATATTACACACAGAAAACCCTAAAGACTCCATCAAAAATCTACTAGACTTAATAAATGAATTTGGAAAAGTAGAGGGATACAAAATTATGACAAGAAATTGAAGGCATTCTTATATATATATGATGAACTCACAGAAAGAGAAATTGAAAAAAACAATCCCATTTACCATCATGGCATAAAAATTAAGATACCTAGGAATAAACTTAACCAAAGAAATAAAGGACCTATTTGTAGAAAACTACAGGACATTAATAAAAGAAACAGAGGAAGATATGAAAAAGTGGATGCACATACCTTGTTCATGGATTGGAAGAATTAACATCATTAAAATGTCCATATTACCCAAAACAGTCTATAGATTCAATGCAATCTTCATCAAAATACCAACAACATATTTCACAAAACTAGAACAAATACTTCAAAAGTTCATAGGGAACCAAAAAAGACCTCGAATAGCCTCAGCAATCTTGAAAAAGAAGGACAAAATAGGTGGGATCACGATATCGGATATCAGTTTATACTACAAAGCTACTGTAATCAAAACAGCCTGGTACTGGCACAAGAACAGGCATATAGACCAGTGGAACAGAACAGAGAACCCAGAAATGGACCCAAGATATTATGATCAATTAATATTTGACAAAGGAGGCAAGAGCATTCAATGGAGTAAAGACAGCCTCTTTAATAAATGGTGTTGGGAAAATTAAACAGCTACATGCAAAAAATTAAAACTAGACCATCAGCTTATACCATACACAAGAATAAACTCAAAATGGATAAAAGACTTAAGTGTGACCCATGAATCTATAAAAATCCTAGAAGAAAATGTAGGCAACAAAATTTTGGACATCACACACAGCAGAATTTTCACTGATACATCATCTAAGGCAACAGAAACAAAGGAAGAAATGAACACATGGGACTACATCAAACTAAAAAGCTGCACAGCAAAGGAAACAACCATGAAAATGGAAAGGCAACTCACTGTATGGGAGAGCATAATTGCCAATGAAACATCAGATAAGGGATTAATTTCCAAAATATATGGAATGCTCATACAACTCAAAAAAAGGAAGACAAAGAACCCAATTAAAAAATGGGCAGAGGAGCTGAATAGACATCTGTTCAAACAGGACATACAAATGGCCAAGAGACATATGAAGAAATGCTCAACCTCACTAATCATCAGAGAGATGCAAATTAAAACAACAGTGAGGTATCACCTCACACCTGTCAGAATGGCCGCCATCAACAAATCATCTGACAACAAGTGTTGGTGAGGGTGTGGAGAAAAGGGGACTCTAGTACACTGCTGGTGGGAATGCAGACTGGTGCAGCCACTATGGAAAACAATATGGTCTTACCTCAAAAAATTAAAAATTGAACTTCCATTTGACCCAGTGATGCCACTTCTAGGAATATACCCTAAGAAGCCTGAAACACCAATCAGAAAGAATATATGTACCCCATGTTCATAGCAGCACTATTTACAATAATTAAGATCTGGAAACAGCCCAAGTGTCCATCAGTAGACGAATGGATAAAAAAGCAGTGGTACATATACAGAATGGAGTACTATGCAGCTGTAAGAAAGAAAGATCTCTTATCCTTTGAGATGATATGGAGGGACTGAAAAGTATTATCCTAAACAAAACAAGTCAAGCAGAAAAAGCCAAATGCCACATGATCTCACTTATTTGTGGAATATAATGATCATAACAGTTTGAGGAATAGGGTAGACCTAGAGTCGTGGAAGTGGGGTACAGACTGACAACCCTCAGAAGAGGAGATGGTGGGGGAAGGAAGAGATAAACCAGAGAACTTATATACATGTACACATAACCAATGGACATGGACAACAAAGCCGGGGATGGGGATGGGGGAATGGGGTGTCAGTGGGGTAAAAAAGGAGAAACATCTGTAACGAAAATAAAATAAATAAACATTTGAAAAATAAAAAGGTAAGAAGAAAGAAATAACAAAAAAAAAGCCTTTGAAAGATTTTAAGCAGAAGAATGATATATTTTAGTGCAGCTAGGAAAATGGGAGCGAAACATTCTTAATCCTTCTGCTATATTCTCCAAATTTCCTTCTTTTAGTTGGTCAGATATTTTTATATTCTGGGGTAGTACCGGCTTATGTGCTATGCAGCAGTAATTTATTTTTCTTTCTCAATAAAAATGGTAAAAAAGGCAAAGTCAGGAATATTTTAGCTTTGGCCGGTTTGGCTCAGTGGTTAGGGTGTTGATCTGCGGTCTAGAGAGACCTGAGTTCAGTTCTTGCTGACTGCACATGCCTCGGTTGCAGTTTGTCCCCGGCCCTGGTTGGGTCATGTGGGTGGCAGCCACTCAATGTGTCCCTTTCACATCGATGTTTCTCTCTCTCTCTCTCTTCCTCTCTGTCCCTCCCACTCTATCTGAACAAAGTACCGAAAAATGTCCTCGGGTGAGGATAAAAAAAAAAAAAAAAAGAATGTTTTATTCACTGATAAAGTATGTTATTGGACTTTTTTTTGTTTGTTTTCCTCAAGGAAAGACTATGTTTCTAAGTGTGTTGATTACATTTTCAATACTTCTGTAAAAGATGTTTATGAGGAATTTCAGAGAGGATTTTATCGAGTCTGTGACAAGGAGATACTTAGACTTTTCCATCCTAAAGAACTAATGACAGCAATAGTTGGAAATACTGATTATGACTGGAAACAATTTGAAAAGGTAAGTGATAACTAAGTGTCCCCAATTCTTCTGAATACCATCTATATATTCCCCCTAAGACCTGTTTTTCTTCCTCTCTTTTTTTCTCAAGAATTCAATATATGAGCAAGGATATCACGAATCACATCCTACTATTCTAATGTTTTGGAAAGCTTTCCACAAATTAACTTTGGATGAAAAGAGAAAATTCCTCTGTAAGTATTACAATAATGGATGAAGCTATAAATATATATCTTAAAAAGATAAATATCTCATTTGTAGCAAATCATGCGTATTGACAGCGAAGCAAGGGTTATAACCTATGTTCCGTACCATCTAGACTAAGGCTTTTTCTCTTACATAAGCCTGTTCCCCATAAAAAGTGATGAGACTGCTACTTTAACATATTGCTCTTTTACTACCTTCTCTGAACTGATTCTAACCCCGCCTCTAATTTTAGTTTGCATCCACTTGCATCGCTCTAGTTGACTCCTAATCATGGCTTTTTATTTTTCATTCCTTTTCTCAGTTAATTACCTACTCCTATAGAATTAGGACAATGTCAACTGTCTCAAATATTATTTTAGAAATAATAATAGTAGTAATGACCATTGATGATGACATAGCATTTATTGTGTCCTTACCCTATGCCAGGCATCATACTCACCACTTTGTATCTATTACTTCCCTGTATCCGAATAGCAACCTTAGAAGGTAGTGACTTTTTTTCCCGATCTGAGGAAGAAGAGACTTGGAGCATTTAATAGCTTGCCTGTGTTCAGATAGCTGGTGAGTGTCAGAACCAGAATTTGAACCCAACAGGCTGATCCAAAACTCAGGCTATTGACCATTAACTAAGTTCTGTGGCCTTGTCCTATATGAACTTCTCTGAGTGAGAACCCTAAGGTTTCCCTAGGATAGACAATGACATTCTCCTACCTCCTCACCCCATTTGTCAGCTCCTCCAATGATATGCATCTTTCTTCTTGCTATTTTTGTTGCTACTGAGGATGCTGGAGGACAATTCCAACTTCTCCACAAACACAGCCTATGTCTCCACAAGCCCAAACTACCTCTCTAATCTTCTCTCTTAGTGGGAAACATGTACTTCAGTGCAGTGGTTCCATTGTCTGTACTTTCATGTCTGTACATTCAGTGAGTTCATGTGTATCTTCCTACTTCAGGCTTTTACTCAGGACCACCCCCCTCCCGCCCCCTGCCCCACCACAGCTTTAAAAGGTCACTCAGCTCCTCTCCTGGAGAAATAACTGTCCATATGTGACCTCTGTGATGTCCCCCTAGCTACCCCAGCCTGGTGCCTCTGTCTCTGCCCTGAGTCTTACTTATAGCTTCCATTATGTTCTTCACCTCATAATTCTTGGCTGAGCTAAAATAAACTTCTTTGTATTTTTCTACTCTCTTTTCCTGTACTGTTGACCCTTGAACAACCTGGGGGGTACAGGCACTGATCCTCCCACACACAAACAATGGAAAGTCTGTGTATAACTTTTGACTCTCCCAAAACTTAACTACTAATAGCCTAGTGTTGATGAGAAGCCTTACTGAGAACATCAACACTCAATTAACATATATTTTGTACGTTATATATAATATGTACTGTATTCTTAAAATAAAGTAAGCTAGAGAAAAGAAAATGTTAAGAAAATCATAAGAAAAATCCATTTATGGTATTAATTGAAAAATATCTTCATAGAAATAGACCCACATAGTTCAAACTTGTGCTGTTCAAGGGTTAACTATATGTAATTTTCCCCTAACTAGACCATGAACTCACTGAGGACAAAGACCAAATGTCATGATTTTCCCATGCTCCACATGATCCCAGGTAGTTCTCTACACACAAGGGTATTCAGTAAATATTTACTGAATAAAATGAGTAATTTCTTCCTTTTCATTTTAAAATTTGTTCTTTCTAAGGAATATTTTAACCAAAGATTACTCCTTTCCAGTTTTTCTTACAGGAAATGATAGGCAGACTGCAAGAGGATTGCAAGAAATGAGAATCATATTTCGCTGTCCTGAAACATTCAGTGAGAGAGATTTACCAAGATCACTCGTATGTCATAGTATTCTGGACCTCCCAAAATATTCTACAATGGAAAGACTGGAGGAAGCACTTCAAGTAGCCATCAACAACAACAGAGGATTTGTCTCAGCCACAGACACACAGTAATAGTGACTTCTGAGAGTCTCAGAGAGGCCTCATATTCTCAGGTTATCTCACTCTTAGATTCTGATGTTCTTCTTTAGGTCTAATTAGTACAAAGGGTTGATGGATTTTTAAATGATTTTTTTTCTTTATTGATTTTAGAGAGAGAGGAAGGGAGAAGAGAGAGAGATGGAAACATCAATGAAAGAGAACGTCAATTGGCCACCTCCTGCATGCACCCCAATGGGGATTGGGCCCATAACCTGGGCATGTGCCCTGATGAGGAATCAAACTGGTGACCTCTTGGTGCATGGGTTGATGCTCAACCACTGAGCCACACCAGCCAGGCAGATTGAGGGATTTTAATTAGAATTAATAGATAAATGTTGATATAAGCAATAAAGTTATGAATCAAGATTTTTTAATGAATCAATATTCCTGATCCCTAAAGTTATAATGTTTATCTTTTATTGAAATACTTAAAATTATCATTTAAAAATAAGCTAAATATTAAAAGCTAACAGCTGTTTTTAAAAATATTGTGTATCTGATAAACACTGACTGCAAATACAAAAGTTTGCAAAAATATAAACTAATTCAACTTGATTTTGAGGCATGTAGATGTATATTTTGTATTTTAAAATGTCCCCAGAGTACTGATTTTTGCCAACTGCTGAATTACTTATTTCAAATATCTAAACATTAAGGGAGTCATTAGTTCATTAAATAATTACTTATGCTCAACACCGTGTTCCAAGAACCATTCAAAATGGAGAAGGGAATGGAGAACCTAGTCAAACAAACAGTTGATGAGAACTTCCTAAACCTTTGGAAAGAGCTAGATTCTCAAATCCAAGAAGCAGATGGAACACATAGTAACCTCAATCCAAAGAGGCCTTCTCCAAGGCATATGTTATTAAAACTGTCAAAAATTAATCACAAAGAAAGAATTCTCAAGGCAGCCAAAGAAAAGAAGAAACTAACCTACAAAGGAAAGTCCATTAGGTTATCATCAGACTTCTTAGCAGAAACTCTACAAGCCAGAAGAGAGTGGAACTAAATAAAATGATTGAAAGAGAGAAATTACCACCCAAGAATAATATATCCAGCAAAGTTATCCTTTAAATATGAAGGAGAAATAAAAACTTTCTCAGACATACAGAAGCTGAGGGATATTATTACCAGAAAACTTCCACTGCAAGTAATATTCAAGACAATTATCCTACCTGAAACAAAGAGCATAAGGTCACAATACTATGAGTAAGATCACCAAAAACTTACAGCATAAACAGGGATAATTGGTGACAACAAAAACATAGAAGGGGAAAAGTTAAAGGTCTGATCTTGCAAATGAGGATGGAGATCAGATGCAATCAAAAGAGAAAAACTGCTGTATATATACAACTTTATTTTTCTTAAACCTAATGGTAACCACACACAAAAACCCCTAAATTAAGATACATAGCTTAAAAAAGAGAGGAAACAAAGGAAAGAAATATGGAATATCATCACACAAAAACAACAGACATAAACACAAAGGAATAAATCCAGTTGATGCACAGAGCTACCAGAAAACAGATAAAATGGCTATAGGAAATCCTCATCATCAGTAATTACCCTAAATGTAAATAGACTGAATTCACCAATTAAGAGGCACAGAGCAACAGAGTGGATCAAAAAACAAAACCCAACCGTATGCTGCCTTCAAAAGACACATCTAAGCTACAAAGACAAAGGTAGATTCAAAGTAAAAGGGTGGAAAATGATTATCCAGTAAATAACATCCACAGAAATGCATGTGTAGCATAGATTTAAAAGAGACAAAGATGGACATCTTATAATGACATCAAGAAGACATAGCACTTCTTAATATATGTGCAACCGACTAGGGCCTGCAGACCAAAGGGTCTGCCACAGGTCTGATTCAGGTCAAGAGCACATACCTGGGTTGCGAGTTCGATCTCTGATCCTGGTCAGGGTTGTCCGGGAGACAACCAATCAATGTGTCTCTCTCATATCCATATTTCTCTCTATCTCTCTTTGTCTTTCTCTCACTCTCCCTCCCTTCAAGCAGTCTCTCTAAACAAAAAAAAAAAATCAATGGAAAATATCCTTGAGTGAGGATTAACAACAACAAAAGAAGATATATAGAGACAAATGAGAATGACAAGATATATCAAAACTCCCGGGATGCAGCGAAAGTAGTAATAAGGGGGACATTTATATCATTACAGGCCTATCTCAAGAAACAAGAAATACCAGGTAAACAGCCTAACATTACTTCTTAAAGAACTAGAAAAAAGAACAAAAGCAACCCAAAGTCAGCAGAAGAAAGGAAATTATAAAACTTAGAACAGAACAAAATGAAATAAAGAATAAAAGATTATACACAAAACTAACAACAAAGAGCTGGTTCTTTTAAAATATTAATAAAATTGCCAAACCCCTGGATAGACCACAGAGGAAGAGAGAGAAAAGATCTATATAAACAAAATCAGAAATGAAAAAGAAGTCACCACAGAGATAACAGATACACAAAGGATCATACTAGAATACTATGAAGGACTATATGCTAACAAATTCAGTAACCTAAAAGAAATGGATAAGTTCCTAGAAATATATAACTTTCCTAGTCTAAATCATGAAGAATTGAAAAACCTAAATAGACTGATCAGCAGAGAAGAAATTAAAAACATCATCAAAAAACTCTCCAAAAATATAAGTCCAGGGCCAGATGGCTTTAGCAGTGAATTCTACCGAACATTCAAATAAGATTTAAAACCTATCCTTTTTAAACTCTTGCAAAAAACTGAAGATGAAGCACTGTTTACAAACACATTTTATGAGGTCAGTATAACCCTGATACCAAAACCTGGCAAGGATAATAAAAAAGAAAAACAAATACAGACCAACATCTCAGATGAATGTAAATGCAAAAATCCTAAACAAAATACTAGCAAATTGAATAAAACAATACATCAAAAAAATAATATAATCCAGTGGGGTTCATTCCAGGGGCAGAAAGACAGTTCAATATATGCATATAAATCAATGTAATACACCACATCAACAAAAGAAAGGATTAAAAACCACATAATCTTAATAGACACAGAAGAAGCATTTGATAAGATATAACATCTATGTATGATTAAAACACTTCATAAAATAGAAATAGAGGGAAAATACCTCAACATAATAAATGATAACCCCTCAGCCAATATTATATTAAATGTTAAAAAACTGAAAGCTTTTCCTCTAAAATTAAGAACAAGACAATGATGCCTTCTCTTACCAATCTTATTCAACTTCATTCTGGAAGTCCTAGCCATAGCAATAAGGCAAGAGAAAGAAATAAAAGACATCCAAATTGGGAAGGAAGAAGTAAAAGTGTCACTTTTTGCAAATGCATGATTCTTTTCATAAAAACCCCTAAAGACTCCACCAAAAAAGAAACTATTATAAACAATAAACAAATATAGTTAAGTTGCAGAATACAAAACAATTACAAAAATCCACTGCCTTTCTGTATACTGACAATGAAACTACAGAAAAAGAAATGAAAGAGGCTACTCTTTTGCAATTGCAACCAAAAAAAATAAAATACCTAGGTATGAACTCAACAAAGAATGTGAAAGATCTATATAGTGAAAACTACAACACATTATTAAAAGAAATTGAAAAAGACACAACAAAATGGAAAAATGTCCCATGTTTATGGATTGGAAGAATCAATAGAGTTAAAATGGTCATATTACCTAAGGCAATATACAGATTTAATGTAATCCCCATAAAAATCCCAATGTCATTTTTTAAAGAAGTAGAAAAAAAATCATCAGATTTCTATGCAATCACAAAAGACCTCAAATAGCCAAAGCAATCCTGAGAAAAAAGAACAAAGCTAGAGGTATCACACTGACTGATTTCAAACAATACTAGAGCTAACATAATAGAAACAGCATGGTATTAGCAGAAAAACAGACACATAGATCAATGGAACATACTTGAGAGGCCAGAAATCAAACCACATGTATATGGACAGATAATTTTCAACAAAAGAGCCAAGAACACAAAATAGAGTAAAAAAAGCCTCTTTAATAAATGGTGCTGGGAAAATGGGAAAGCCATGTGCAAAAGAATGAAACTGGATTATGGTTGGTCCCCATGTACAAAAATTAATTAAAAATGGATCAAAGACCTAAATATAAAATCTGAAACAATAAACGACATAGAAGAAAGAATAGGCACTAAACTTATGACTCTTGGTCATAGAGAACATTTTATGAACTTGACACCAAAGGCAAAGGAAGTAAAGGCAAAAATAAATGAACAGGGCTATATCAAACTAAAAACTTTCTGCACAGCAAAATAAATTGACAACAAAACGATGAAGCTGCAGACCGAATTGGAGATGGTATTTGCGGACAATAGCTCTGACAAAGGTTTAATATCCAAAATATATAAAGAACTCATAAAACTCAACACCAAACAACCCAATTAAAAAATGAACAGAGGACCTGGACACCTCTCCCAAGAAGACATATAAACAACCAACAGATATATAAAAAGATAGATGTACAACTTCACTAGCTATTAAGAAAATGCAGATCAAAACTACAATGAGATTCCACCTCACACCTGTTAGAATGGCTAACAAGTAAAACCAAGTGTTGGAGAGGTTGGGGAGAAAATGGAATCCTCACTGCTGGTGGGAAGTACACTGGTACAGCCACTATGGAAAACAGTCTGGCAATTCTTTAAAAAATTAAGAATAGAGCCCTGGCCGGTTTGGCTCAGCAGTTAGAGCATCGGCTTGCGGTCCAGAGAGACCTGGGTTCGGTTCTTGCTAAGGGCACGTACCTCTGTTACAGTTTGTCCCCAGCCCTGGTTGGGTCTTGTGGGTGGCAACCACTCTATGTGTCCCTTTCATGTCAATGTTTCTCTCTCTCCTCTTCCTCTCTCTCCCTCCTACACTATCTGAACAAAAAATAGAAACATGTGTTCAGGTGAGGATAAAAATAAATAAATAAATAAATAAATAAATAAATAAATAAATAAATAAAATTAAGAATAGAGCTGCCATATGACCCAGCAGTCCCTCTCCTGTGTAGCTACTCAGTAAACTGGAAAACTGTATTCTCAAAGATATATGCACCCCTGTGTTAATTGCAGCTTTATTCATGTGGTGACCAACTACTGTGTCCTGCAATAGAGGACTCAGCAATAGAGGACGAAATAATGGGATTTGCAACAACATGGGTGGACCTTGAGAATACTATGCTAACTAAAACAAGCCAGCAGAAAAAGCTAAGAACCATATGATTTCACTCATATGTGTGATATAGAACCGAAACATGTGGACACAAACAGCAATGTAATGGTTGCCAAAGGTAAGGGGTGGAAATGAACGGGAACTATTACATGGTGACCTAAGGTTATTTGACTTTGGGTGGAGGGCACACAGTATAATTAATATACAGATCTTGTAACATGGAAATCCACAGCTGAAAGCTATATAATACTATTAACCAATATCATCCCAATAAATTTAATGTCTAAGAAGTACTGTAACATACCACTGTAGACAATTGCTAAAATTAAAGAAGGCTGACAAAACCAAATGTTGGTGAAGATATAAAGCCACTAGGACTCCCATAAATTGCTGTAGGGAATGCAAAATGGTATAGCACTTTGGAAAAGTTGGGCACTTTTTTTTTACAGTGATATTTATGTATTTACCACACATCACCACAGTTCCATTTTTAGGTATTTACGCTCTCCCCCTCCAAATGAAAACATGTATCCACTAAAGGATTTGTTCACAAATAGGGCACCTCTATTCATTGTAGTAAAAAAGTAACGGATTAAAATGCCCTTCATTGGTGAAAGAGAAATCGTGGTCTATCCAAATGAAACACCCCTCAACTATAACAAGAGATAACTTCTAAGGAAACTCAACAGGATGAATCCCAGAAGCATTATGCAAAGTGGAAAAAAAAAAGCAAGACACAAAAGCCTGCATAAGTTTTATGCCACTGTAGGAATTCTAGAAAAGACAAGAACTAGATCCCAAGGCTTCGCGGTGTGGGCTGAAGGACTGGCTGCAGTTTCCCGGTTCTCTTTCGTGGCCAACGTGAGCTTTCCTGACCACAGTAATTTGGGAAATTCTGCAAGTCCGGCTGTGGCAGGGCTCCTCCTAGTGGAAATGCAGTGTTTCTCCCACGGCCATTTGGTCCAGAAGTTCAGACGGTCGCTGCCCGCCCGGGACAACGTTCTTTGCCCTGCCCGCCACCCTCAACCCCGGCCACCGCCCTGTTTACTCCGGCCATTCTGGAATCGTTTCAGTTTCCCTTTCTTTTTTCGTTTTCGATTCCGCCCCCTTTTAAAAAAGACTCGCTTTCGTTTCCCAATGGACCGGCGGCTCCGCCCCCAAACAGGAGGCGGGGAGCCAGCCTCTGAGCGGCGGCGGAGGAGCGGCGGGTTTCTCACTCCGCTCGGCAGTCGGCTCGCCGGCTGCGCACCGCGACACCCGAGACCGACGTGCTCAAGCCTCGGCGGTTTCCTTCTCTCCTCTGGCCTCTCTGCCGCTGGACTTCCGTCTCTTCCGAAGGTCCGGGTAGCGGCGGTGCGGCTGTGGAGCCAGGAAAGCGGCGATGGATCAGAGGCGACCCAGGAGGTCGCGGGGCGGCGCGCAGCAGGTGTCCCGGCCGTCTGCGGAGTCGCGGGGCGGCGCGCAGCAGATGTCCCGGCCGTCTGCGGAGTCGCGGGGCGGCGCGCAGCAGGTGTCCCGGCCGTCTGCGGAGCCGCGGGGCGCGCCGCTCCTGCTCTTCCCCGGCGCCCCGGGCCTCCGCAGCGCGCTGTCCCGAAGGGCCGAGGCGACGCGCCAGATGTGCTGCGCGCGCGGGCGCCTGGCGGTGCTGGAGCGCGGCGGGGCGGGCGTCCAGGTGCACCAGCTGCCGGTGGGGAGCGACGGCACCCAGAAGCCGAGTGAGTGGGGCCGGCAACGCCAGCTTTGCCTTCCCGCCTCCGGCGGGGCATGTGAGGATGGGCAGCCCCGGGCGGGCATCGACACTTCTCCCCCGAGCGCCCGAGTTGTGGGTGTGCGGTGCTTCTCTTAACCGGGAGGAAAGCCCCCAAGTGGACCCGGCACTTCAGGGGTCCACTTGCCCCTTTTAGAATATAGCTTGCTCCGTTAATAATTCAGTTAGTTTTACTTTTTATGTTTTCACTGATTTTTCTCCCCTTTTCTTAGAGAAAGGCAGAGTCGGAGAAAGATAGAAACATCGATAGGCTGCCTCCTGCCCGCCGAGGATAGAGTCCCCCAACCTAGGCATGTGCCCCAACCTGGAATCCATCCGGTGACCTCTTGGTCCTTGTAGCGATGCTCGAGGACTGAGCGACACCGGCAGGGCGAGAATATCGTTATCTTGTTCCCAGTGGCAGCATCTTGCTTTGCAAGAGTGCTTTTCAGTTGCACATCTCGGAGGGGATACTCTCTTTAGCGATTAGGTCAGGTACTGTGGCTCCGATTTTACAGGTGGGAGAAAGCAAACGCCACAGTCCTACTCTTAAAATGTTTTGCCACTTTGTGTAGTGAAGAAAAGGATGTTCTCTTGGTTTTGCTACAAACCACTTTTGCTTATTTATTTATTTATTTTAAATCGTCAGCCAAGGATATTTTTCCATTTATCTTCAGATACAGAGACAAACAGACACATCGATGGGTTGCCTCCCGCACAACCCCGGCCAGGGCTGGGGACCAAACCGCAACCCAGGGACATGCCCTTTACCAGAATTGGAACCAGAGACTCTAGGGTCCTCAGGCTAAAGCTCTGACCGCTGAGCCAAACCGGCCGGTTTGCTTTTAACTTGAGCGAAGTGGAACATCTTTTCTTTTTGCTCTTGGTCATTTGCATTTCTTTTTGGTCAACTTCCTGTTCTTATATTAGCCTGACTTTTTTAAAAAATGAGTTTTTCTTAATAATTTTAAAGAGTTTTATGAATATTAAGTAAGAATAGCCCTTTGTCTCTCATCATATGCTGTAATATTTTCCTCAACTTGCATTTAGTTGGTGTTATTTTATACTTTGCATCATCAATCTTTTCTTTTCAAGAGGTTTATGGATTTTATGCGATGTTAGATAGCTATCCACACCAAGTATTTTTCTTTTATGTGCTCACCTTTATAGAACTTTTAAGGGTTTTTTGTTTGTTTGTTTTAATATATTGATTTTAGAGAGAGGAAGGGAGAGAGAGAGAGAGAGAGATAGAAACATTTATGAGAGAGAACATAGATTGGCCGCCTCCTGCATGCTCCCCACTGGGAATCAGGCCCCTGTTTATATGCCCTGGCTGGGAATCGAACCGGTGACCTCTTGGTGCATGGGTTTGGGTGGATGCTCGACCACTGAGCCAGACAGGCTGGGCAAGATTTTGTTTTCATTTTTTAAAAAATTTTTTTATCCTCAGCCGAGGCCATTTTTTCCCCATTTTTGTTCAGATAGAGTGGAGGCGGGGGGGAGAGAAAGAGAGAGAGAGAGAGAGAGATCGACATGAAAGAAACACATCAAATGGCTGCCTCCTGCACAACCCCAACTAGGGCCGGGGACAAACTGCAACTGAGGTACGTGCCCTTAGCGGCAATCGAACCCGGGTCTCTCTAGACGGCAGGTGGACACTCTAACCGCTGAGCCAAACCGGCCAGGACAAAGTTTTTTTTTTTAATTTAACATTTTTGATAGGCTTGGCTATTATTGTGATTTAAAAAGTGAGGTAAGGGGTATAGATTTATTTGTTTGATTTCTCCTATTGGTCACCAGGATGTCCCAATACCATTTATTTGTTTCCTTTTTAAATAACTTTTTTTTCCCCAACTGATTTGAAATGCTGAGTCTCTAAAAATCGTTAATCTGTTAGGCCATTTCCTTTTTATTACCAAAGTGTTTGTTTATATTCTCCTAACATTTGTAATGTAAAATGGTTTGTGCTTTGAGATTTTACTTGAATAGATTCTGTTTTCTATTTTGTTGGAACTAAAAGTGAAACAAGGCCCCAAATCTACTGTACCCTATTTTAATTTTTCTGATAAAACTAAATGAGATGCATAAATGCTTACTAGTGGGCAATTTTAAATCCCTTAATTTTAGAAGGGGCTAAATATGCACTAATACCAGTAAAAAATTTAACAGCATCTTGTTTTAAAATAATTCCTCAGCCCTGGCCGGTTTGGCTCAGCGGTTAGAGCGTCGGCCTGCGGTCCGGAGAGACCCGGGTTCGGTTCCCGCTAAGGGCACGTACTTCGGTTGCAGTTTGTCCCCGGCCCTGGTTGGGTCGTGAATAATTCCTCAAACACAATTTTAAGAATATAGGCCTTGGCTTCACTGTGAGTCAGTGAGGAGGGGGTTATTATTGTTATTTGGTTTGTTTTTGGAAAGACTATATGTCAGAATATACAGTGTATTTGCTTCTGCAATGAGATGTGTTGTCCAAAAATTGTTACATTTTCTTATATATTTTTTCATTGCTGTCACTTCAAATTTAATTTCTCTATCTCAATGTATTAAGCTGGGATTTAATATCAAATTTTAATTGGTTATTTTGAAGATATATTCAAAATAAAACAAAGTATAAATCAATGCTTTCCCAAATTTAAAAAAAAATCTATTGTCAAGATGGTAGTCATTGCTCTTTTGTCTGCTTTCTGTACTTGAATTTTCTTTCAAGACAAGTTCATGTTAAGTCAGAGGTGGTCCAGTTGAAATTATTTTCCAGGTGTTTTAAGTGCATTGTAATAAAATCAGTAATAACAGTGGGTAATAATTAGAGTGATCATAGTTACTTCTTGGATTTGTTCTGCAGAGTTCATTAAATTAGAGAAAAAAATGAAGATACATTCCGTGGACCAAGGAGCAGAGCACATGCTGATTCTGTCCTCAGATGGAAAACCATTTACATATAACTATAGCACAGAACACGAAAGGTAGGGAACTTTTTTTAAATCAAAAATAATTTAAATTTTACTTAAAAGGCAATCATAATTTTTGTAGTAAAATATTATTTTATATGATTCTTGTCCACTGCTTTGTATAGTGACATTTTAAGGAAACAATGAATTCTGAACTGACCAGTGAATTCCATGAGTAAACTACAAGTCAATGTATGTCACCTAGGGCATTTATCAGGTGTTGCTTTGACATTTAAAGGAAATGATTGGTTAGTGTGCCTAGCACTAAATTGGACTTTCACATTCATTACCTCATAATAATCTTATAAGTGAGTTTTCTAGAATTAAAGTTTTCAACCTAGGAAAACAATACATTATCATGGAATGACTTGTGACACTTTCTCCTAGCAGATCATATGAATTAGAACTTATTTTCATCTTGAATTACTCTTGAATCATAAAATTATTGTTTGCAAAAGAGTCTTAGAGTCATCTTGTTACAGTTACATAAGGCACATTATTTTCCTTTTAAATCACGAATTAAAACATACATTGTATTTTCATTACACTTTTAGATGTACTGAATGGGATGCAATAAATTATATATATTTTTTGAGATTCAATCCTAATTAAATACAGTTAATAATTCTAACATTGATGTTGTGACTTTCATTTATAGGATGATTGACATACAATATATTTTCTTTCACCAGGCCTCAATGCATTTTACAAGAAAAATGTATAATTCAGATCACATGTGGAGATTATCATTCTCTTGCACTCTCAAAAGGTACTTTTCTGAAATATTATTTTTATGGAAGGAGCAAATGTGTGTGTGTGTATATAGACCTAACAGAATGGGTATGCTTCACTGTGCAATAGGACAGAAATATGGTTTTGAATTTCACATGGTTCAGAGTACTATTCTATATTTAATTTTTTTATCTTTTTTATTTTTATTTTTTATCCTCACTCGAGGACGTTTTTCTATTTTTTGTTCAGATAGAGTGGGAGGGAGAGAGAGGAAGAGAGAGAGAGAGAGAGAGAAACATCGACGTGAAAGGGACACATCGAGTGGCTGCCACCCACACGACCAACCACGGCCGGGGACAAACTGCAACCCAGGTACCGCGCCCTTAGCGGGAAACGAACCCGGGTCTCACTGGACTGCAGGCCAACGCTCTAACCGCTGAGCCAAACCAGCCAGGGCTAATTTTTTTTTTCTTTATCATTGAAAGTATTAAAGATGTCACCCCTTTTTTCCCTCCTTGACTCCCTCTTCCCTGCTCCCACCCCCCTCCTGCTTTCTCTAAATTGTTGTCTGTGTACATTGGTTGTGTCCTTTGGTTTATCTGTTCTCAACTCTCCCCCACTCCTTCCCTCTCAGGTTTGTCATCTAGTCCTTCTTTCACATCACAGCACTATTCTTAGCGGTGATATAAAATGAGAGAATTCTTGGACCTCTAAAGTCTTGAGGTTTCCATAATTGCTATTTCTACATTTTACTCTGTCAGATGACAAAACTAATACATTTTAGTAATGAGTTTGATGTTCTTTTTTTTTTTTTTTTTTATCCTCACCCAAGGACATTTTTCCATTTTTTGTTCAGATAGAGCGGGAGGGAGAGAGAGGAAGAGAGAGAGAGAGAGAAACATCGATGTGAAGGGACACATCGAGTGGCTACCACCCGCACGACCAACCAGGGCCGGGGACAAACTGCAACCGAGGTTCGTGCCCTTAGCGGGAACCAAACCCGGGTCTCTCTATACCGCAGGCCAACGCTCTAACCGCTGAGCCAAACCGGCCAGGGCGAGTTTGATGTTCTTTATTCAAGGAAAAATTGATCCATGAATTGGGGAGCACAGTGCCTTATAAGCAGTGGAGCCTTTTTCCGAGGGATTTTGAGCAAGAGCAAGTTTTGTAGAGCATTAGAAGACCAACTTGGAAGCAGGTCATGATTGCCTGGGGTTGCATATCTGACCGTATTTGGAAAGATCAAGGAACAGGGACATAAGTATAGAGCTCAGAGTTGGCTTGATGTTTGGAGATTGGCTGAGTGAATATATTGCCTTTCTGGCAAGTGTAGCATTTATAGAAACAGGAAAATTTGGTTCACATGGCACTCCAAGCAGGAGCGGCTCCATCTTCAGCCTAGAGATTTATTTCAACTGTTTCATGTATTTATTTTTCAAACATGAAACAATGAAAGTATTGTTAGTGATTAAAATCATTTTCTCTGCAATCATGACTACATTGGGCGACCCTTTTCTAGAACCTTCTTGTCTTTTCTTAGTGCTCTTCCAACTCCTATGGCAGGAGCTCATAATCCTTGGCTCTGCTTCTATGGCCTGTTTGCAGGCCCTGGATGTGTTCTAACTTTACCTTTTGAATTCAGAGATTCTCCATAGCCCTTTATTATATCCTATTTGTTATCAGACACAGTAACGAATTGTTTCCTAAAGAAACTTGACTGTGGAGGAATCATTAAGACAGGAAGGTGACAGAGAGGAATTCAGAACAGAAGATAACATTTTTTTAGTGTATAGGACAGATGTAAACATAAACTGAATGGAAGCTGGGATTCAGGGGAAGTAAATAATCAAGTATTTGATGTGTCCTGAAGGCCCTGTGGAAGTTTCAGGGTATGAACTTGTATTGGAAAAAAATTGGCCTGATTGTTTGACTCCATCCATTCATGAACGAATGTTTCATTTTGAGTATCTACTATGTTCAGGTTATGAAGGGAGAAGCAGGCACACTGCACCTTCAAGAACCCCAGGGTCAAGTGATGTGGGGGAATTACCAGGGTTTATTACTGGTAAATCACATCTAGGAAAAAGGAAAGTGGAGGAAACAAGAAATGGAACTGCATGCTCATCGTTGTATCCCTGGTGGCTGAAAGGCCCATGCTAATTATGTTTGAAGGAAAGGCTCTGCCGCCAGGTCCGGCACAGTGTCTTGCAAAGACCTGTTCAGAAAGCGGTAATTCTCTGGTATATTTTTTCAGACTCCGTTAGGTATTGTTGATGCCATTAGGTAACATTTAAGACGTTTTCTTGTAAAATATGCTTCATATATTCAATTAATGGGAGAAGATACTGTTCTTTTAACAGTATCTGTGCTGCAATTAACATACTGTGCTGCAATTTCAAATGTATTTTTAAGTTGTTTATTTAGGACCTTTAGGTACATTGAGGGAGGGCAGAGAGAAAAGAGTCATTTTATACTTTTATCCAGATGTATAATGTTTTTGTTTTTTCATGGGCCTATTCTGTGGGTTTTTAAAAATACGTATTTCTTGAACTTAATTATAATATGTTCAGATAGCTTCATTCTACCTGACTTTGACTGTTTGGGCTTCTGTAAAAAAAATATATATATATCATAAATTGGTTGCCTTAAACAGTAGCAACCCACAGTTTTTAGGCTGGAAGTCCAATGAAAGGTGTCAACAGATTTGGTGTCTGGTGAGGGGCCCGTCTTTGTATATGGCAGAGAGGGTAAGAGAAATTTCCAGGGTCTCTTTTATATGGGCAGTAAGGCATTCATTAGGGTCTTATGATTTCACCAAATCCTAATCACCTCCCAAAGGCCGCACCTCCTAATATCACTTAGAGGGTTTAGCATTTCAGTATATGAATTTGGGAGGACACAAACAGTTAGTCCCTAACTCTGCCCTTTGAGGTAGGAGGTAAGGAAGTTAATGCTAAAAAGAAGATTCTTTACGTTTTTCTGATTCGGACACATGAGATCTGAGCAGTCCTGTCGGTTTGAATGTAAGAGTTGTGAAAATATAATATGGATTGCATATATAATGCTGTAGGGTAATGTCTGCTGCATTGTAATCTTAATAAGACAGCATTTTCTTTGTTTCCGTCAAGGTGGTGAGCTTTTTGCATGGGGACAGAACTCACATGGCCAGCTTGGAATTGGAAGAATATTTGACTCAACATCCACACCACAGATTGTGAAGCACCTCTCAGGAGTCCCCTTGGCTCAGATTTCTGCAGGAAAAGCCCACAGCATGGCTTTATCCATATCTGGAAACATGTACTCATGGGGAAGAAATGATTTTGGACAACTAGGCCTGGGCCACACCGACAGTATGGAAACTTATTTTGAAATTTATGTTATCGGCAGATACATTTGTTAGATAAGGGATGAAATTAATACAGACCTCTCTTTTAAAAATGGTTCAGTTCCTCACTTTTTTTTTCACTGTTATTCCTGGTTATCTCTCTGTCTTCAGGACAGAATCGGTTTAAAAGACACGCGTAGTGTGGAAGTCCTTGCTATAACGGAGAAACATGTCAGGGCCGTTTAGAAAAAGAGGAAGAGTATCAGATGGATTGTGATTCCTTCTTCACAGCTAACTAACTGCAAGGCCTTACCCAGTCACTTATAGCTTTTCTCTAGGCCTTATTTTCATTTTCTCTGAAGTTTGGGTGAAATGACCTTGAAAGTACATGGACATGTAAGTGTCTATTGATATAATTATATTATGAGAAAAAGATGCTAAAATACTATCTTAGAAACTCACATATCCTAATCATATTCTATAAACTATTAATTACATCTGTACATATCGCTCTGTACAGATGAGTGATAAAAGTACCATAATTCCCATTATTGAACTACCTCCACAAAGTATTTGGCAGAATTTCTTGCTGTCCCAAACTCCTTGTTAGAGTTTTCAGGTGTAGCAGACTTCATTGATTTATCAACTCTGGGAGTATACACGTTACTACTGGTGAGACACTGCATTTCTCCTTGACGTGGTCCCATGCTCATTCCTCTGGAGAACCCGTAAATCAGTGCTAGAAAAATATTCAAAGGAGGCAAGGGAATAAAGGGCAGTTACACTTTTTTGCGGAATCTCTTAAGTGCTTTCACAGGAAATAATTGTGAAAGAAAGAAAAAGTAGAGTGATGCAAGGGCACCATAGTAGAGAATTTAAGAGAAAAAAACATGCTCATTAAAAAGGATAATTCTCAATAGGAATTGGAAATATCAGATATCCTGCAGTTAAAGTTAATCAGGCCAGGTTAAAAAGAGAAAAATGGGCTCTGGGAAGTGGCTTGATACTTTCACGGGTGAGTACCCCCAAATGTGGTCCTTTGACCATTGCTCACCCCCACCCTTAAACCTAAACACACCAACATAGAGCCTTTCTTGTCAGAATGTGTTGGGAACTACTGCTGCTAGGCCGAGAGGAAGTAGTCCAGGTGTTTTACCACTAGCACAGAACTCCAGGGTGAAATTCAGCATTTCCTTTTGATCACTCCAATTGTTCTTTCCCTTGTATAGATGAAGATTTTCCTTCCCTTATTGAAGCACTGGACAGTCAGAAAGTTGAATTTCTTGCGTGTGGTGGTTCTCACACTGCCCTGCTCACAAAGGTGCGTGTACCCTTGTCTACTTGACTGTAATTTTGGGAGAACACTTTGCAGTGGGGAAAACACTAGAACATCTAGGTGTGGGCAGTGTTTCCCAGAGAAGAATGGGATCATTTCCCACAAGTAGGACTATCTTTCTGATAATGGGGGTTTTGTTTTGGCAGTGCTTTTAAATTCTTCACCGATGCCTTTGCATCAGTGAATACAGCTTCTGTGTCGTATTTCGCTGGAATCTGATATGAAGTTCCTTTTCCTTAGGATGGGCTCCTGTTTACTTTTGGTGCTGGGAAACATGGACAGCTTGGTCACAATTCAACACAGAATGAGTTAAAACCCTGTTTGGTGACTAAGCTTGTTGGAAATAGAGTCACCCAGGTAGCATGTGGAAGGTAAGTTGTAAAGGCTTGATGTAAGTTGATAAAATCAATACAATAAGTTGAGGTGTAGGTAGTTGCATAAAATTTTCATCAGTTTCATTGATTGAGATAAAAGTATGAAACATTTTCAGATGGGTGAATATGCTTAATATATATATATTTTTTATCCTCACCCAAGGACATTTTTCCTTCTTTTTTGTTCAGATAGAGTGGGAGGGAGAGAGAGGAAGAGAGAGAGAGAAACATCGATGTGAAAGGGACACATTGAGTGGTTGCCACCTGCACGACCCATCCAGGGCAGGGGACAAAACGCAACCGAGGTACATGCCCTTAGCGGGAACCGAACCCGGGTCACTCTGGACCGCAGGCCGATGCTCTACCGGCTGAGCCAAACTGGCCAGGGCGAATATGCTTAATTTATGTTATCAGATAACCATAGTCTTCATTTAGTATACATATTGTTTTCATTAATTCTTTTTTAAATGAGCAACTACTTGTAATTTTTCATGTCCCTTCAGTTAAATACCTTTATAATTGTCCAAATGCACTTTGTCTTTAAGAAAAATGTCATTATTTACTTGGGAAAATAAAATAACAAACAAAACAGAAACACACTGACAAGTGTCTGGAGGGGTGGGTTGCCAGTCTGGGTGAAAAATGTGAAGGAATTAAGCAAAAAACAAAGGAATAAACCCTAATCCTCATACACACAACAATATGGTGATTACCAGAGGGAAAGGGGGTGGGGGCAGGTAACAGAGGGTATAGGGAATAAATGGTGATGGAAGGAGACTTGACTTGGGGTGGTAAACACACAATACGATATACAGATGATGTATAATACAATTGTACATATGAAAACTATATAATTTTATTAACCAATGTCACCCCATAAATTCAATAAAAAATAAAAAACAAGCATGAATCACAAAGGATTATTCGTTGATGTAATCACTCACAACTCTTCAGGCACAATCATACGTAATTAGCATAATTTATTCAGAGTGATCACAGTAAAGTAGAAGACAAAGTCCTCGGTGGTTTGAGTAAAACGTTCTTGAGAACTTTTTGATTTCACAACTTCTTTTCTTTTTAACAAAAGTAGAAAAACTTTCTCAAACACCTTTGTTTACTTAATTATTTTCTTCCTTGAATGTCAGTCAATCCACTTCTCATTAAGGGGATGTTGGGTATTGCGGTTAAGAAGCATGTTCACCTAGATACACCTATTCTTCTCACTAAACACAAGCAAATTCAGACTGCACTAAGTATTGGGTTCATTTGTTTATTTATTGACCCTTTCCTATTAAAAAAAAAACAAGCCCTGGCCGGTTTGGCTCAGCGGTTAGAGCGTCGGCCTGCGGTCCGGAGAGACCCGGGTTTAGTTCCCACTAAGGGCACGTACTTCGGTTGCAGTTTGTCCCTGGCCCTGGTTGGTCGTGCGGTGGCAGCCACTCAATGTGTCCCTTTCACATCGATGTTTCTCTCTCTCTATCTCTTCCTCTCTCTCCCTCCCACTCTATCTGTACAAAAAATGGAAAAATGTCCTCGGGTGAGGATTAAAAAACAAAACAAAACAAAAAAACCTGGTATGTGTATTTTAGTCTATAGAAATAGACTTATGATCTCAGAGTAAAATTACGTAAATGAATATTATGAAGGTAGACCAGATTATTGGGATGGCATAATTCTCTGCATTCACTAATGTAATGTCTGCATTACCCAAAGAAACTATCACCACATTGGATTTTTCATAACACACGTTTCTTTGTGTAGCATGTGTTACAAGAGTTGTCGTCACATTGAAGATGTCTTAGTGCAAATCAGAGCAGTACCCCTATTAACACAGGAGAATTCACTGGAAAGACTCACAGAACTCACTGAAACCTATTATCCTCACAGTCACATTTATTAAAAGAGGAAGACAAAAATTATAACCAAGGAAAGAGATGCATAGGACGGAGTCTAGGAGGGGGTCTAAATGAGGAGCCTCAGGCATCTGGTCCCCTTGAAGTGTTAACCTCCCCCCAGCCTGAGGCCTGACATTGTGTAGAGTATTGCCAACCAGGGAAGCTCGCCCAAGTCCAAAGTTGTTATTGCGTTTTCATTGCTTGATCCTGATTGATTAAATCATCTAAATTGTTGAATTCAAACTCCAGCCTCTCCCTCTGTAGGTTTGCCTTACATGTAGCCCAAGGGGCCCTCCATGAGCTACCTGAGTAAACTATTAAGTGTGGTCGCAGGGCCTGCCATGAATAATAATGAAATGCCTATCAGTTGGGAAATTTTTTTTTTTTTTTAATCCTCACCCGAGGATATTTTTTCATTTTTTGTACAGATAGAGTGGGAGGGAGAGAGAGGAAGGGAGAGAGAGTGAGAAACATCGATGTGAAGGGACACATCGAGTGGCTGCCACCCGCACGACCAACCAGGGCCGGGGACAAACTGCAACCAAGGTACGTGTCCTTAGCTGGAACCAAACCCGGTCTCTCCGGACCGCAGGCCGACGCTCTAACCGCTGAACCAAACCGGCCAGGGCTCAGTTGGGAAATTTTAAGGGTTTAGAGGTTACCTCCCAGGCACTGAGGACAAAGGCCTGTTCTCTATTTGAGCAAGGCCCAATTCTATGCAGTAGGAGAGACCATTGAACAAAGTTGTAAGAAAATCAGTGCGTAAAGATCTTTAGGAAATAGAGTAGGAGCTCAGAGGATGGCCTAATTCCGTTTTCTAGGATAGGGAGGAGAGGGGGGTCAGAGGCAGCTTCCAAGAGCTTGTGACTCAGGGCAAGGCTTTAAAAAGGAGTAGAAGGCAAAGGAAGATGCTTGTTCCTGATGACGGGAACACCATTAGCCAAGGTGCAACATCATGGCCTTGAGTGGACTTAGGGGTTCCAAAGTCATCTCAACCACACATTAATGATTTCTTAGTTTCCAGGAGGCTAATTTCATGTATCGGGAGTTGCTTAGCTAGTTACAATCACTGGGTGATCTTATTTAAGGAGGTTACTGCATTGCTGCGAACTCTCATTGTGGATACTTGAGAATTGACCATATGTGCTTTTATTTAATAGGCGGCACACACTTGCCTATGTCTCCAATTTGGGGAAAGTCTTTTCTTTTGGTTCTGGAAAAGAAGGACAACTGGGAAATGGTGGAACACACAATCAGCTGATACCACTTCCCATTAAATTGTCATCCAGTGAAGAACTCAAATTTGGTAAATTCTATTGGAGCATAGGATTTGGCATAAATACCTTTGTGGAGAAACTATACTGTGGCAAGAACAGAAATGTATGACTGTGAAGGGAGTTTCTCTAAACGTTGGTTTCCTTTTTTTACTTACAAATAATTTAAAATATCCAGTCTAATTTATCAAGTCAAAAAACATCATTAGTTTTCTCTAACCCCTTCAGATTAAGAGTAATGTGGCCTTAAAATGATACAACAAAAAATAGGCTCTTGGGATCCAGAAGCATATGCAGCTTCTGATTCCAGTTTACATGGGGCCTATTAATTTCTTGGTGATTGGATTCTTACCTGGTTAAATGGACTCATAATCATGTAAAACCCTCAGAATGGGAGCAGCTGACATGCGAGGTAACTGTGCTGAATGCTTAGCATGTGTTATCTCACCTGTGTTTAAAGAGTTCAGGGAGATGTGTCCTCTCAGTCCCATTTACGGGAGGGTGCAGAGACAGAGAGCGAAGTTAGCCTGGTCTCACGGCCAGTAAGTGGTTAGGCTGGATTTCAGCTGTGTCCTGTGTAACCTCAGTCTGAGCTCTGAAACCCTCTGTTCTAGAAGTGCCTCAGTGCACCTTGGTTACTGTTGCTGAAAGTTTGGTGATGACCTAAAGTACCAGAATCTCTCAGTTCTCCTGGGAAAATGAACAGTAGGGTTATTTCCTTAAGTAGTTCATATATTTGATTTCTTATAGCCACTTACATAGATTTTTGAAATACTTATTTACATTCCCTCACAGCCAACAGTCATTGGTCAAATCTTGAGCTGTAGAACATAGTTTTTAGTAACAGGAGGCAAATTACTCCAAGGAATAGCTAACTATTCAAACATTTGGCTGTGTTATTTATATATTAGCATTTTTATTATGTATATTAAACTGATGCCACATATCAGCCATGCCTATTTGCCAACTAGACTTTATCCTGAAGTAGATATAGAGTTCTGCTTTATGGGTTGGAAATGTGTTGTCTGTGCCTATCAGAAAGCTAAAAGGACTAAGTTTAAAAAGAATCTGAAATTAAATTGAGTGTGCATGTTACTGCCAAATGACATTGTAAACTCTCACTTTCTGTATATCCCTTTCAGAAAGCCACACCTCAAAAAAGGAGTTAATAATAATTGCTGGAGGGAATCAAAGCATTTTGCTCTGGATGAATAAAGAGGTAAAAATAGATTTCTAGATGTTCTATAACTTGTTATTTTAAGCAAAGCAAACAGTTCCAGAATCCAAGTTTGGTGAATTCCAAAAATCATCAGGTAACTTTTGGGGAATAGGTCAGACATTATTGATCCTTTATTGTCTAAACCACATAAACATTTACCCACAAAAATCAGATTTATCCCTGGTGAATGTTGAATCAGAGAGATTTCCTTAGGTTCTTCTTACCTTTTGGGAGGCTCCCTGCCGATGGCATATGATTAGTGTCCTGGAGAACCAGTGGTTGACATTCTAATATAGTTCTGCCAGCCAGTACCAAACAGACCTGAGGTTCATAGGCTTATGAATAACGTCCTCACCCTACTTCACCAAGGAAAACTGAGTTCCTCTCACTTCTGCATACAGCCCTTTTAGGATTTTTCCTTCCCCTGACATTGTTGATTTAATCCAATCATGTCTGTATAAATTTGTGTTCGAATTGGCAAGAAATTGCAACCTGGCAAATGATCAATTACTTCTTGTTAGAATCTCACTTTATAATTTCCCAGAGCTATATTATTTGTATTTAAAAATCTATTTTCCCTTCCATCCTTAGAATGTGTCTAAACGTTGGATACCTATTTCTGTTGTGTCTAACTTACTATATTTTACTTTTTTTCTTTATTTATAGAATCCCTATGTTAATCTGAGGAGGAAAATTCCTACTTTGAATGAAGGAACTATAAAGAGGTGGATGAGGACTAAGCAATTGCAAAATACAAAAAGGTATACCCTTTGTGTCTTACTCTCTGCTTATACAATTCTCTAAAGCTGTGTCCCGCCCCCCCAAATTAGTTCTGCACAACACAGAGGTGTAAAATGTTGTGGTCTACTAAGTGGCCTACTAGCTAGAGATCTCCAGAGCTTATGTATTTAAGAGTACAATATTCATAAGCCAGACCAGCACAGAGACCCTGGGAAGAGTTGATATTGCAGCTTGAGTCCCAAGGCAGTTTAGATACAGAATTTCCTCTTTTTAGGAGACCTTAACTTTTTTCTCATAAAGCCTTCAACTGATTGGATGAGGCCCACCTCCATTATGGACAATAATCTACCTTACTCAAATCTTCTCATTTAAATGTAATCTAATCTAATACCTTTACATGAACATCTAGATTGGTATTTGACTAAATATCTGGGTACTGTTACAACTAGCATGTAATCTCCATGTGGGCAGCTTTCTTTACTGCAGAACTACTCTGGGCCTTTGATACATTTGCATATATGTTGACTATCTGAGCAGGAAACATAGTCCACAGTTTTCCATCCTTATTTGCCCTTAGAACCACTTTTTGTGGATCTCCTGTTTTTTTTTTTGTTGTTTTTTTTTTATCCTCACCCAAGGACACTTTTCCATTTTTTGTTTAGGTAGAGTGGGAGGGAGAGAGAGGAACAGAGAGAGAGAGAGAGAGAGAGAGAGAAACATCAATGTGAAAGGGACACATCGAGTGGCTGCCACCCGCACAACCAACCAGGGCCGGGGACAAACTGCAACCGACGTACGTGCCCTTAGCGGGAACCAAACCCGGTTCTCTCTGGACCGCAGGTCAACGTTCCAACTGCTGAGCCAAACCAGCCAGGGCTGGATCTCCTGTTCACAGCTGAGCAAACACAACTCCTACCATTTATAAATATTATACTCATTTTTACAAAAATATCATTTTTATTTTATTTGTTTTAAATTTTTATTACTTTATTTTTGTTACAGATGTTTGTCCTTTTTTCCCCATAGACACCCTCCTCCGCATCCCGCCCCACCTCCTCCAGCATTGATGTCTATGTCCCTTGGTTATGCTTACGTGTATACAAGTTCTTTGGTTTATCTCATTCATCACCCCGTTCCCCTTCTCTGAGGTCTGTCAGTCTGAACTATACTCCCTACTATGTCTCTGGGTCTATTTTATTCATCAGCTTATTTTGTTCATTATATTTCACAAGTAAGTGAGATCATGTGGTATTTGTCTTTCTCTGATTGGCTTATTTCGCTTATCATAATACTCTCCAGGTTCCTCCATGTCGTCTCAAAGGATAAGAGATCTTTCTTTCTTACAGCTGCATAGTATTCCATTGTGTATATGTACCACAGCTTTTTTATCCACTCATCTACTGATGGACACTTGGGCTGTTTCCAGATCTTAGCAATTGTAAATAGTCCTGCTGTGAACATGGGGGTACATATATTCTTTCTGATTGGTGTTTCAGGCTTCTTCGGATGTATTCCTAGAAGTGGGATCACAGGGTCAAATGGCAGTTTGATCTTTAATTTTTTGAGGTAACACCATATTGTTCTCCATAGTGGCTGCACCAGTCTGCATTCCCACCAGCAGTGTACTAGAGTCCCCTTTTCTCCACACCCTCACTAGCACTTGTTTGATGATTTGTTGATGGCGGCCATTCTGACAGGTGTGAGGTAATACCTCATAGTTGTTTTAATTTGCATCTCTCTGATGATTAGCCACGTTGAGCATTTTTTCGTATGTCTCTTGGCCATTTGTATGTCCTGTTTAGAGAGGTGTCTATTTAGGTCCTCTGCCCATTTTTTAATTGTGTTCTTTGTCTTCCTTTTGTGGAGTTGTATGAGCACTCTATATATTTTGGAAAGTAACACCTTATCTGATGTATCATTTGCAGTTATGCTCTCCCATATAGTGGGTTTTCTTTTCATTTTCATGATGGTTTCTTTTGCTGTGCAGAAGCTTTTTAATTTGATGTAGTCTCATGTGTTCATTTTTTCTTTGTTTCTCTTGCCTTAGGCATTATATGTCCTTTTTAGCTTGGCCAGTTTGGCTCAGCAGGCCCATGGACCGGAGAGTCACAGGTTCGATTCCAGTCAAGGGCATGTACCTTGGTTTTAGTTCTGTCTCTGGCCCTGGTGGTGCAGGAGGCAACCAGTCTGTGTGTCTCTGTCACATCAATGTTTCTCTCTCTCCCCTCCTTCCTCCCTTCCTCTCCCCCCACCCCCTACTCTATCTGAAGATAAAAGGAAAAATATCCTCGGGTGAGGATGAAAAAAAAACACTCCTTTTTAGAGATATTTTAGGTATGGCTTTCTAAATCTGGAAAGTAGTTGAACAAAAAGTTACCTCATAATTGGCAGAGCATAAATGATTAAGAATTATTTCTGCAGCCCTGGCCATTTTGGCTTAGCGGTTAGAGCGTCGGCCTGCAGACCAGAGAGTCCTGGGTTCGGTTCCCGCTAAGGGCACGTACTTCAGTTGCAGTTTGTCCCTGGCCCCAGTTGGGGTCGTGTGGGTGGCAACCACTCGATGTGTCTCTCTCACATCAATGTTTCTCTCTGTTTCTTTCCCCCTCTCTCCCTCCCATTCTATCTGAAAATAAATGCAAAAATGTCCTCCAGTGAGGATAAAAATAAATAAATAAAAGAACTATTTCTGCAATTATTACTAAGATAGAACTGAGCATACTTCCCCTCCCTCCCTTTTAGTTTCTGGTAATTTTTTGGTTTTCCCTTCAGTGGAACAGAAATAATTAGGGCTGGGGAAAGATGTGTGGGATGGGAGTGTTTTATTTGTGAGAGAACATACTTCCCCTAGGTCAAGCCTTTTCCTCTTTTCCTGTGACTTCTCTAAATACACACTTATTTATTTCCCATGTTTGCCACTGAAAATTTGAGGTTTAGCAAATGGAATCAACATTTAGATACCCAAGGCAACAGCAAACAAACTGGGGTGTTTGAAGGACAACTATAAGATGTTTTATGTCTCATGCTATAAGGAGGTATACTCATGATTTGTTTTAAACACCATCTTATTCTTAATATAGGGAAATCAAAGACATATTTTCATCTCCTGCTTGTCTGACTGGAAGTTTTGTAAGGGAAAGGTAATATATATAATACATTTATTAAGTTCTGTTAAAAATATTGTGTACAACGTGGTGACTGTAGTTAATAATACTATATTGTCCACTTGAAAGTTCCTAGGAAAGGAGAACTTAGAAGTTATCACAAGAAAAAAATTTTAACTGTGTGGGGATGTATGTTAACCAGACTAATTGTGGTGATCACTGTGATATATACATATGTTATTAATTAATTATGTCATACACCTGAAACTACTATGTTATACATCAATTATATCTCAATTTTAAAAATACAGTGGAAGATTGTAAATAACTGATTTGAGGGTAAAATAACTAGCTATGTGTTTATCTCTTTAAAAGTTATTTTTTTTTTAGAAAAGCAAATATATAACCTCTATAGAAAGTGTTAAAAATATGGATACACAACAACAAAACCAATATCACCTATAATCCACCACCTAAGTGTAATAGATAGTAGCATTTTTGCATATTTTTCTATGTAAATATATTTTTTTTACCAAAAAATGAGATTATGTATTGCTTTACACTTAATTATTTGACCAATTTTTATTTAATTCAATTTCCATATTCATATTTTTTATAATATCATTTTAATGGCTGCATGGTGGTCCATGGGAAGGACATACCTTAATTTATTTGAACATTTACTTGTAAGATACTAGGATTTCTTTGAATTTTTAAATAGTGTGAAGGAAGAACTTTGTACTTATTTTCCTAAATATTTGTATAATTTTTATTTGAAATAATTTTTCTGATTTAGACACTAAATATATGTATTATTTTACAAATAATATGTAATTTTAGACAATGACTGTACTGAGTTTACTATAAATGTAATCCATGACTTAAGTTACACATCATCATTAGTAGTTCTTTAATGGAATACTATGAATTTACTGCTCTGGACATTTTTTTTTTTTGGTCTGTCTTTTTTTTCCCCCAAAATAGAAAAAGCCTTCTCCTTTTTTCTGAGGCTATTTAACTTTACTGGAAAATAAATATTTATTGATTACCCACTTAAGATAATATCTAAATTAAAGTGAGATAGCATATATTGTTAATGCAACCTTCATGTTTTTGGAATTTTAGAAATAATCATATTTTGTCAACTATATCTTTAATTGTATTTGTATTCAGGCAAATTATAGTTACTAAAAAGAAGAGAAAAAAGTGAATTTTATTGAAATGGAAGCAAGCTTTAGAAAAATACTTTTCATCTGGATAGATAATCTAATAAAATATTTAACTTTGAATTGTACTTTTTCACTTATTTATTTCTTTTTCAAATATATCTTTCTTCCACAGAATAACTGCAGAAATGAAGTCTGTTCATTTGGACTTAAATAAAGCAAGAAACACCTTTAAGGAGTTAATCCAGAAGGAGTGGATTACTAACATGGTGGTAGTCTCAAATTGTTTGGAAAAAGAAAATCACTAAAACATTTTTTATAAGAACTCAAATTTCAAAAGAAGTATTTTCTTTTGAGAGATTCTCTGAGACACTGGTATATCCAGATTAAACGCAGATAGTATTCAGGTGTTTGCCCACATAGGGCAAAATAGTTGGTGTAGTAGTCATATAGGTTAAAAATCGTCTAAATAATTGATGCATGTACATATGCACACTCAGGACTTTAGGAAGATGATTAAAGAATTTGCTGAGATTGGCACACTGGAATAGGAGTATTTTACTTGCAGTTATTTTAAACAAAAGTGTAGAAATGAGCACACTGTTTCTGATATGAACATCCCCTTCACCAAGGACTGCCTGGATTCTTCCTCTGTTTAGTTCATTGCACTTCATTTTCTGTAGGTTCTAGAATATTCTTATTCTTTTTTTAAATTTTTTTCTCACCCAAGGACATGTTTGCTTTTATCTGCAGATAGAGTAGGAGGGAGAGAGGGTGGAAAGAGAGAGAGAAACATCGATATGAGAGAGACACATTGAGTGGTTGCCACTCATATGACCCCAACCTGGGCCGGGGACAAACTGCAACTGAGGTATGTGCCCTTGGCGGGAACCGAACCAAGGCCTCTCTGGTCCACAGGCCAACACTCCAACTGCTGAGCCAAACTGGCCAGGGCGATTTAGCCTTTCTTGATTCAGCCTTTATTAATTTATTTCCCTATTCTGTTGTACTGGTTGATCTAGGGGTGGTCCTTGCTCTGTTCTTCTCTCAATGTGTGACTTTCTGGGTCTCACTATGATTCTTTCTTTTTCTTTCCGTCTCCTTCACTTCTCTTGCTTCCCCCTCACCTTCCCCCCTTACTTTCCCACTCTACCTCCCACCTTGTACTCCCCCTCCCAGCTCCACCCCTCCTTTCATCTTTCCTTCTGTTTCTGTCTCTCTCATTCTCTTTCCCTCTCAATCCTGCTCTCATCTCTCTCCCTGCCTCTCAGCAACCCCCCCTCTTGTGTTGCTCTGTCTGCAATAATCAGCATTCTGTTTCTTAGCTGCAAGTTTTCTCCCTCACACATTCCTGTAACCAAAGGGAAGATGGAAAGTTCAATTCTGTTAACTTTGACAGAACTGTGGTGCAATTAGCTATCTGAGGTAAAATGGATCCCTAATTATGCACTTTATCAGGACTCTGCAGCACCTAATGGAAAGATCAGCAAAACTAGAGGCCACTTCTGCGTCTGTGAAGGGAAGAAATGGGATCATTTAATCACTAAGGCTAATCATACCTTGGTTGTTACAGAACAGTGTCATAAAGTACAAGTGACATAATCATAGAGCAATCTTCCATTATTTCAAATGGGGTAACTGGGTCAGAAGACCTATAATGTTTCTATTTTGAGATTTCTCTGATAAGGATTCACAGACTGGGCATTCATTTATTTAGCAAACATTTGAATATTTGCTATGTGTAGGGCATTGTGATGAGACTCCTGATGAACAGTGAACAGACATATGCTCCCTGTCCTTAGAAGGGCTTGGCTTTCTTAGTTCAGCACACGGACACGGTCATGGAGCTAATAATGGGAAGGGAGGGTGTTTCTTACATGACACTATCTTCCTTGATGCCTAGCTTAGAACATACTGGGTATATAATAAATATTTTGGATGAGTGAACTCAGTCATTCCTAGGGCAATGGATAGCTCTAATTAGAGCACTCAAAACAAGGTGCCCAGGGGAAGTAGGAGTTTACCAGGTGCCTACTTGGGCACAGGCATCCCTGGCAGTGAGGGAAGCATGCACTAAGGTATGGCGTATGAAAGTGTAACTGGCTCGAAAGTACTGCAGTCATTCCGAATGGGTTTGGAGGTTTCAGGATGTGGCAAGTGATGAGCAAAGAGGTAGGAAGGATGTGTGCTGTCGAGATGTTGTTAAATAGAGTTGTCAGGTATATATTCAACTCCGGAGACTGAACCAAGTAGTAGGAGTCCAATAAGTTTTAATGTAAAAAAGAGATAATTATAAAAATATGTACATTTAGAGATACCATTGAGCTACTGTCTGATAATAAAATGATTAAGAACTAGGGCTGGAGTCAGGAAGATCCAGGAGAGATTCCCACTTAGCTGTGTGACCTTGAGCAAGTTAATTTATCTTAAGTACAGACTTCTCAGCTATAAAAGAGGGTTAATAATATAATCTATGTTATAGAAAAACCATAAGGATTAAATGACCCATTTAATGTATGTGAATCATTTAGCATCTGACAAATACTCCATAAATACTAGCTTATCTTCTTAGTGTGTTTTTAAACAAATTATTTTTTATACTATTTGAGCACCCATGACAAATAAAATTCAGAATTGCATTTGAATTTTTTCTGAACACTTGCATTCTGAATTGGGGAAACTAAAGCAATTGGTCCCCACCAGTGTGGCTCAGTGATTGAGCATCGACCCATGCACCAAGAGATTGCTGGTTCACTTCGCAGTCAGGGCACACGCCCAGGTTGTGGGCCAAATCCCCAGTAGGAGGCATGACCAATCAATGCTCTCTCTCATCGATGTTTCTCTCTCTCTCCCTTCCTCTCTCCCTTAAATCAATAAAGAAAAAATATTTAAAAGAAAAGAGATTGGAAGGACTAGAAACTAGAGTCTGTGGTGCAGAGAGTGGGTGATGAGGTCCTATGAGAAAATAATAGGAAATCATGTTTGTTTATGTTGTTGCAGTTTTTCCTTTTTATTTTGGGTTTTATTTTTGTTTTTTCTTTTGAGGTTCCAACACATTTTTTCTCTTTTAAAAAAAAGTTAGGTGTGATAGTGGAACCGGAGGGTACAATGTAGTATTTATTATTGAGCGGGCTGCCGATCAGTTCTGAATCCACTGTTCCTTCAGTATAACTCTTGTGCATGTGATTTCTTGATCTCTTTCATGCACCCCCAATGATTTTTAAAAATAAATTGGACTTTTTATTTTGTTTTCTTTATTGATTTTTAGAGAGAGGAAGGGAGAGGGAGAGAGAGATAGAAACATCAATGAGAGAGAACATTGATTGGCTGCCTCCTGCATGGTCCCCATCGAGGATTTGGCCCACCACCTGGGCATGTACCCTGACTGGGAATCAGCCTGGCGACCTCTTGGTGCATGGGTCTATGCTCAACCACTGTGCCACACTGGCCAGGCCACCCCCAATGATTGAATGGAGATAATACTTGTCACATATCTATACCTCAAGCATTGGGCGCTAGGTGAGCTTGGATGTAAACAAGGGTTTTGGAAAGGTTAAATGTTTATTCCAGTTTCACGGTGCAATGAAACTGGAATAAATACACTTTATTTACAGTAAGTTGCACCCAGTTCCTACTGTGTTTTGAGTGTCTTCTTCCTGATACTTTTTTACTACAGATAACCACATGTCTCAAGGATAATCTGCTCAAAGATCTTCCATTTCCTTCTCCCCACCAAGAAGCTTTAGAAGTGTTCTTCCTTCTCCCAGAATGTCCCATGATGCACGATATTGGCAACTGGAAGGACCTGGTGGTTCCATTTGCAGAGGCTATTTGTAAAATGAGTGATAAATCTTCAGAGGCTCTGGGTAAGATTGATGATTTACATGTGAAAATATCCTGCCATAGATGTGCCTAGTAAAGTTATGCCTAAACTTAAGTAGATAAATAGAAACATGTTCATATTTTTTATCTTGTATTCTTAGTGTATTATACAGATGCCATAATATTACTCAGGTCATCAAAATAGATTGTTTTAATACCATTTTAGAGTTCTTATAGTGATCTATGTGTGACTTGGTCATGAGGTCTTTGTCCCCAACTTTTTAATATGAAAAATTTAATAAGAAACACAGAAGTTGAAGGAATAGTACAGTGAATACCCATATAATATACCCTCTACCTGAGGAGTCAGCAACAATTATCATGTTGCCATATGGGTTTCCTCTATCTTTAAGTACAGATTATATTTTATTTTTGCTGAATTGATTTATAAAATATTTTTTCTTTATTGATTTTAGAGAAAGAGGAATAGAGAGGGAGGGAGAGAGAGAGAGAGAGAGAGAAACATCGATGAGAGAGAACAGCGATTGGCTGCTTCCTGCATGCCCCCCACTGGGGACCAGGCCCACAACTTGGGAATATGCCCTGACTGGGAATCGAACTAGCAACCTATTGGCGCATGGATCAGTGCTCAACCACTGAGCCACACCGGCTGGGTTTTGCTTAATTGTTTTAAAGTAAATTGGAGACATTATGACATTCCACCTATACTATTTAATCATGCATTGCATAACAACATGGAATTTTACTTTATCATGACATCATTATCACACCTAATAAAATTAGCCAGAATTCTTTAATATTATCTAACATACAAATTTTTGTTAAAGGTATCTTACAGACTCCCTTTTTTTTTTTTTTAAATTTAGGCCAGTTTTTTTTTGGAGAATGTCCCACCTCTAGATCTGTCTGATTGTTTCCTCGTTTCCCTGTGTCTTCATTATATTGGAAGTTAGTTCTTCGGGCTGTAGGGTTAGGGGTTTGGTGGATGAACAAAATGTAACCTTGTGGTACCCATTCTCGCTGCCTGGCCAGCCAAGGATCAAAGTATTCATGTGAATGTATAAGATATGCATGAATAAGGGGTTGGAAAGCCACCCTGACTGAATGTATAGTGTATGTGTAAATAGATAAGGTATGCATAAATATGGGTTTTGGAAAGCCACCCTGAAAGCGATAATGGGCTATATGCCCAGAGGTGAATGAGTTTGTTAAGATGTATCTCCACTGAAAACACTGAGAGAGAGGAAATACGCTGGGTTTCCCTGTATGGTGAGAAGAGACACAATCTCAAGGACTCAATCACCTAAAAAACGATGTAACCTAGGGAACCACTTTGCAAATAAATTGGGCTGCATCCAGAGATCAGGAGCATTTACTCCTCCTCACTCCAAGCAGTGTCTGTTTGTAGTTCATTGCATTGCAATGACCCCAGAAGGCCAAGAGGAGTCGGCACGGGCTTCATTAGATTTAATGAGGTTTCCTTTTTTTTAAATAAAACAACACATAAATAGCATATTCAGTCCAAGGAATTCCATTCTTTCTTAAATTTTATTAAATCTAGATAACATAGTAAGTGATGAAAAGCTCGTTTAAAATGCTTTTTGTTTTTTACAATGCCGAAAGATGTTTTTTAAGAGTTAACAACTCATGCTAGGAGAACAAAGAGTTGTGCAATTACTAATAGTTCTTAATTTAGTTTTTCATACAGTATGCTCTTTCATCTGGATAAATATGTGACTAATTTAATGTCTATTTTTACACAGACTAATTATCTAGATTTAGGTTCTATTAAAAAATTCAAGGAAATTTTCTATGACATTAAATTCTAAACTTTTAACTGCAATCATATTTTCTGAATATTTTATTACAAATGTGTTTTTGTAACTATGATATATAAAAATATTCTATCAGTTTTGGAAAATATGGACCACTTTTTACCTTTAAGATTCCAAGAGAGCCCTGGCCAGTTTGGCTCTGAGATTAGAGTGTCGGCCCGTGGACCAGAGAGACCTGGGTTTGGTTCCGTTCCATCTAAGGGCACGTGCCTCGGTTGCAATTTGGCCCTGGCCCTGGCCCTGGTTGGAGTTGTGTGGGTGGCAGCCAGTCGATGTGTCTCTCTCACATCGATGTTCCTCTCTCTCTCTCTTCCTCCCTCTCTCCCTCCTGCTCTATCTGAGGATAAATGCAGAAATGTCCTCGGATGAGGATAAAAAAAAAAGAATCTGCCCTGGCCAGTTTGGCTCAGCGGTTAGAGTGTCGGCCTGCAGTCCAGAGAGACCTGGGTTTGGTTCCCGCTAAGGGCATGTACCTTGGTTGCAGTTTGTCCCCGGCCCTGGTTGGGTCGTGTGGGTGGCGGCCACTCATGTCCCTTTCACATCAATGTTTCTCTCTCTCTCTTCCTCTCTCTTCCTCCCACTTTATCTGAACAAAAAATGGAAAAATGTCCTCGGGTGAGGCTAAAAAAAAAAGAACCCAAGAGAAATTACATGCTAACGTTTATTTGCCTTTGTATCCCTCAGAGGAGTATTGGGCATCTCTGCAAGAATCCGCTTTCACGGAACTGGTCCAGATGTTTAAAAGAGCCATCAGTGCTCAGCTGTGTAACTGGAATAAAAGTGCTGAGGATAACTGTCACCTTAAAGCCCTCCTAGAAACGTTGAAAAGGCTGCACAGGGTAAGGGTTTCAGCTGGCCTAAATCTTAAGAGACTCTTGAAACCTGAAGTTTATATTACTATGTTAAAATTTTTGGTTTTTGTGAATTAAGTCATGAATGTAAAGGAGTGTATATTGTATTTATGAATAGTTTGAAGAAAACTAATAAAAGAGACATCAGTGTAACAACTGTCCATGTTGCAAAAGAAAGCATTTCTGGTACTTTTGAAATGCCTGTGTATTTTTCTATCAGATTGCGTTCCCTCACCTCCTGGAGGTAACCATGATCCTGGATTTTGGGTTAATTGTTTCTTACTCTTCTTTATTGTCTCACGATGATAGATAGATAGATAGATAGATAGATAGATAGATAGATAGATAGATAGATGCTGTTTAATATTGCAGTTTTATATGAATATGAAATTTATATGAATTTTTTATTAATATGAAATTTATATGAATAAAATACATGCTTCTTGCTTCTTACACATTTATTTTACAGCTTCATCCAGATTAGTACTTATGGCTGTATTCATTTTCATTTGTACATTATAGTCCATTGTATGAACCTACCTGATAGATACATGTGCTGTTTGCAGTTCTTTTTTGTGGAGGAGGGGTTCTCTATAAGAAAAACATGCTGCTATAAATATTTCTAAACATACATCTCGGTGTTCATGTACCAAGAGTTGGTTTTTAGTTTCCATACCTAATTCTGGGATTGCTAGATTGTAAAATATGTGTGTGTTGTTCTTTATTGGTAGTTACAAACTGTCTTCCAAAGTGCTTGGACTTATTTAAATCCTGTTCAAGAGATACCTCCCGCTTTGTTTTATTTCTCAAGATTGCTTTGACTATTCAAGGTCTTTTGTGGTTCCATGCGAATTTTAGCATTGTTTTTTCTACTTATGTGAAAAATGCCATTGTAATTTTGAGAGGAATTGCATTGAATCAATAGATGACTTTATATAGTATGGACATTTTAGCAATATTAATTTTTCTAATCCATGAACACAGGTTATCTTTCTATTTCCTTGTGTTTTCTTCATCTTCTTTTTTGAAAGTCTTATAGTTTTCAGTGTACAGATCTTTCACCTCCTTGGTTAAATTGATTTCTAAGTATTTAATTGGTTTTGATGCTATTGTGAATGACCAGTCTTTAGAAGTATGAATCATGTGAAGTCAAATATTTTTAAAGTAATGCATAAATGGGAAGTGTTTGGTATAAAAAAAAAATAAGGATTTAAAAAGCGAGAAACTTTATGAGGACTTGCGATGTTTTTTAATGGACTTCTCTCTGTGATGTATATTTTTCATTTCCAATATTGATTATTGGCCTTTTATTTTTTTTCTGGATCAATGTTACAAGGAAGCTGGGTATTTTTGTTGCTGTTTGTTTGTTTTTAAGAACAAAACTTATATATATTATTATATTTTTTCATTACAGTTTACATTTAATATTATTCTGTTTTAGATTCAGGTGTACACCAAAGTGGTTAGAAATCATGTACTTTATAAAGTCCACCCCCACCCTCCCCACCCCCAGCCATATGCTGCTTCAAGTATCCAAGAACCCACCATTTTATTTGTTGATCCTCTTTCTTGTACATCTGGTTTTTCTCTCCTTAATTTATGTTCTTAGATTCTTTATTTCCCGCCTTCTGTCTCTTGAATTCATTTGATTTGACAGAGCTTTATTTAAATTGCTGATTTTCCTCTGAAAGGCCTTCTTGAACCCCTTAAGTCTTTCTCCAGTGAGAAACTAGATCCTAGATGCCTGATTACTTATTGTTTTCACCTACTAGACCGTGGATCTCTAATTGGCATTTTACACCCATGGGCAGCTTATTGAAATACATCCACCCTCACATGTTACATATTGTCTATGACTATTTTGTGCTACAAAATGGCAGGGTTGAATAGTTGCACTAGAAACTATATGGTCTCAATCTCAAAATATTTACTATCCAGATTTAATAAATTGTTTGCTGACTATTATATTAGACAGTAAGCTCTTTGTCAGCCAGGACAATTTTTAGCTTATGTTTTGTCCCACACTTGGCAAATAGTGTGCATGAAATTAATATTCATTAATTAATGGTAAAAGGGCTGAATTTCTCAAAAGTACCTTGGATTTTTATGGTGCTGTTATAGTCAAGATCTAGAAACAATTTTTTATAGTCCTGTGCCCTAAGAATTATTTTACTATATTCATTGTCAGTATTTTATATCTTTTACAATATTTGAAAATTAGAGAGATGATACATCAAAAAAAATGAAAGTTTTATAGAACTTCCATTGGGTTTATAGAATTCTATTCTGATTACCTGTATAGTAGCCACTTATATATAATAAATTATTTATTGATAGAAAAAGATATTCACAGGTCATATTCTCTTCAAGGTAAACAATGCTAACTGTCAACTATCAGAGAATACTTTCCATATAAATGAACTCTCCAATTCCTTGGACTTTTTTGAAGAAAGAGCAATAATATTACTTAGAGATAACAACCTGGTAAGAGTAATATTTTTACTTCTGAATATTTTTATACTTTAAAGGGGGACACATTAGTAGCTATGTAGGTATCACGCTGACAAATACATATTTGAAAATATTCTTACTGCAATGCTGAATTTGCTAAATTAGATAATCATTGAAAACTTAAACATTTTTTTACTCATAAAACAAGTGCATTTTCTTAGAAATTTGTTTCTAAGTAATTTGGGGTCTTAAAAACAGATTCCAGAAAGTATAGAGGGAAATAACTTAGGTGATGAGGTAAAGGAATAAAGATTTTATCTACTTTTAATTATCAAAACTATTATCTATGTTTGTTTCTTAGATACTTGAAGGAAACTGCAGACCTATTATTTTCAGTGAATATCCATTTATCTTTAATATGGTCTCCAAAATTAAATTATGGCAAGCTGATTCCATGTTTAAAATAGAGGTATGTGTGCCTTATATTTTTTCATTATGTAAAATTTCAAACGTATACAAAATAGAGGTGATGGTATAATGAACCCATCACAAAGTTTTAGCAGTCATTAACATTTTGCCACACTTTTATTTATTACTTTTGTTATTTTTGTAGTTGTTAGTATTTTTACTGAATTATTTAGAAACAATCTCACTTTCTTTTCACCTCTCCATGCTTCAGTGCGTTGGTTGTTTCACTCTTACTTTTGCTGAGATTCATCAGTGAGTTCAGTTGGTGACCACATGATATTCCCATTGTAATGTTCCCCAACAGCCTTTTATTTAATCATTTCATCCATTGTTTTGGTTGAACTTTGCAAAAGTATGATATTTCTAATATTATCGTTTCTTGCAAAGTTATGAACTGAATTCTGTAAAGACCTTCTCCTCATCCATCAGGGCTCTTTTGCTGCCCTGAAAAATCATCCATATAGGAAGGTAGAACGATGCTTAATCCTTTTTCTGTAATTAGTAAATGTTCTGTGCATAGAGGTTGTACCAATTTATGTTACCATCAGCGATATATGAAATGCCTTTTATACTACAACCAATGCAGTGTTACCAAGCTCTGTGATCTTTTCTAATTCGATGGGTTAACAATGGTATTTCAATTAAATTTTAAATAACATTTTTCATTTTTATATGATGCTTGAATCCGCACTACCTTTAGATAATATCCATTGTATTCCTAGTGTGGGCAATACTGAAATAATTGAGTAAATGCTCTATTTCTATCCTCTATCCAGTTTTAGTGATTATACTATCTTCTTAGTTGTTAGTCTTTGGATTTTCATATCTGCTTAAGAAATTTGGATGGGGGGAAAAGGGGAACATCTATAATACTTTCAACAATAAAGATAAAAAAAAAACAACAACAAAAACAGAGTCTTGGAACTTGAGCCATGATGGGGTAAGTCAGTTGGTTAGAGCGCTGTCCCAAGGTTGAGGGTTTAATCCCCTGTCAGGGCACATACAAAGAGCAACCAGTGAATGAATAAATAAGTGGAACAGCAAATCGCTGTTTCTTCCCCCCCCCCCCCCTCAAATCAGTAAATTAAAAAAAAAAATTTTAAGTCTTTGAGCTTGATTTATAAGCCCCAAATGATATTCTTTTATTCCCAGTGATTTATTCTATTCTCCATTTATTTCCTTGCTTCCATTCCTTTTCTGGTAGTTATATTATTTCCACATAAAACTTACATGCTATTTTGTCTCTCTTATCACCATCAGACTTAGTTCTCAGTTATGCTCAAGATTTTCCAAACATATTTTTATTGCTGAGGCTTGTTTCTAGGCTACTCCTCCAGAAAAGTTTGTATCTATTTTCTGTGCACAGGAATTAGAAATATACCCTTCACTTTTACTAATAATTCAAAAGATATGGGCCATCTAAGTGAAACATGGAAAAGTCTGGGACATCACATGTACAAAACGAGTCATTTTAGTAATAAAACATTTCTTTTTCATTCCTATTAATTATAGAGCTTATATGACATTTTTCAATGAGTCATGCCTGATAAACCCATAAATGCCACATTTATTTGTCATAAGCAACCTAGAGACACAAGGCACACCCTGCTAAGAGCATTCCATGGATAAGGACTCTCCCTATAGTGACTGTTATTAGTGTCTATCAAAAGACTGACTTGGTCATCTCTTCTGTTTCCCAGACACCTCTTTTTTTTTTTTTTTTAACTTTTCCTACATTCCTGGTAATGGGAGAAAATAGATTAAATCTTTCCCTTAAGTTTCTTCTAAGCAGATCTTTCCCTCTAGGTTATTTCCTTCTACAGAAATTCTCAAAACTTGTCTACTCTGTTAGTGAAGGTTGAGTGTGTAGCGGACCCAGGCAGGTCACATATCATGAAGGATTGGGAAATGTTTGAGGACAAGAAAATTCTTCGTTGTAATTGTCATGGCTGAAGTCACAAAACAGACTCCAGAATCCTGTCCTCCAGAGGAGAGATGATGGACATCATCAAAATTGTAAGCTCCAAACTAGATGATCCATCCAAATGACAAATGTAACGATGGGAAATGCAATGGGAAAACAGTACATGGAGAATGGGAATAGAGAATCTGGAAAATAAGATATATAGGTTTCAAGTCCAACTCTTGGTTAGGTGAGAGAAGGCTGGGCCTGCAACTGGACGCATACACCTCTCCCTGCTATAGTCAGTGCAGGGTATTGCTGGCCACTCCCTGTCACTCAGAGCCACGGGACATGTAGCTTAGCAGCCAGTACTGCTGAAGTGTCCCAGACCTGCAGATTCCTGGAAGGACTAGAAATGGCACTAGTTCCATCTCCCTACAAATCTGGAGCTTCTTTACAACAAACATCTTAGGGAAAAGCCAGAACAAACTAGTGGAATCACATATATTTCTCAGTATATAGTGGTAGCTGACATCCGGGACAGGGCTGAACCAAGCCCAGAGCCCCATGAACACACTCTCTGAGATGCTTGTAGATTGCTGATTTGGACAACCACAGTCAACCTGGAAACCAGCAAAAGGATAGTTGTTATTTACTTGTCTTGCTGTCACTATGGTGGCATTGGTTTATGAGTCCTAAATACTCCTTTGTTATCCTTGGGATACAGCAGAATCCCTAGAGGTCAAAGCAAGGATAGTAATTCCAACACTAGATTTCTAATGTAAGGAAATTCAGCAGAAACAAGATCAGGGGACTAAAGTGGTGAGGACATGTTGAGAATTCAGATAAGCATAATGATACTGTGTAAGGTGACAGAGAATACTAAGTACAAAATGAGGCGAACAGTGGCATATTTTTAGAGAGTTTCTATGCACATTCAGTAGGTGGATGGTAGTTATTTGAAGGAGAAGAGGGAATCTTCTCTGAGTGAGTCTTTCCACTTCTCTGTTTTCTACATGTAATGTTATCACTGAGCTGTTACACTGCCCTTGTATTCTTGGAGATTATTGTGCTAACACATTCTGCTTCTAGGTCTGGTGGGAGAATGTCTTAGCATGGTGAACACTGCTATTGCTTTTAAGGATTATGTTTACTATGATAAGTGATCTGAGATAGCTTTTAATTACTTAGCTGTATATCCATCATCATTTACCCCCTGCGCACAATTCCTAGGTACCATAGCTTCACAGATTCTGCCACCTTTTTGTCTTCCATAGGGTACTTATGATGCTCTTTTCCTTCAGTAATGAAAATATGAGTATATATAGCAATGGTAGGCATAATTGTATTCTGGACAAAATAGATTTATTTGAAATATTAAATACTTCCTAATATTCCTATGAGGATTCCTAAAATATGTCTTTTTCTATGTTTTGGAGATTGATAGCATCTGGCAAATGACAGTATCAAGAAATAATGAATTCTCTTCATCGCCTGTTTTTTTACTTCAAGTCAGACGAAGTCACCTGGTTGAAGATGCTCTGTGTCAATTAAGCCAAGCTGAAGTCACTGACCTTCGGAAAGCATTAGTGGTACATAAAAAAGTCTCATTGGACATTTTTACTAAAGTGGGAGGGAAACATTTATGTAATTTTGCAAAGGAAAAGCCTGCATTTACAACTAGTTTATCCGTCTTACGATTTCAAGAAGTCCTCACTTATCCCACAGAGAAAAGCTGTGGGATGTTTACTTGAACATTGGGATTATGAGTTAACTAGTAGTAACCTCTGGCTATAATGAACCATCCAAAAGGTTAATGACTTAAAATAACAGTAATTTATTTTATCTGCAGTTCAGTTGATGATCTGCTGATCTAGATTGGACTTATCTGGGTGGCACCACAGATTTTATATGCATGTGTTAACATGTTTGGGGGTTGACTAGGGATTTGCTGATTTGGGCTAGGCCTATATGTGGCAGTTTGGCTCTGCTTCCTATATTTGTCATCTTCCTGGGACCAGCAACCATGTTCTTCTGACAGCAGTGCCAGAGGTAGAACATAACAAGCCCAGTCACACAACAAACATTGCTTTAGTCAAAGCAAGTCACATGGGTGAACCTACATCAAGGACTGGTGAATATACTCAGCCTCTTTAATGGGAGGCACTGCAAAGTCACACGCAACAGACAATGGTCAAGGAAGGGTGAAGAATAGAGGTGAATTGGGGCTGTTAATACAATCAACAAGCAGAGGTGGAACAGTTCTTTTCCTACATTAGGGCTATAATTTTAGCTGTAGACCTTTCAGCATTGTATTGGTTCCAATTAAACATCCTTCACTTCATCCTTAGTTGGCATCTGTGGGAATTTTATTGTGTGGTACCTCAGATTATTGTCCCTGCTGAGGCTAAAAAATAATAAAATAATGACTGTCTGTGTAGATTAGAGCTAGAGTCTGTTTAGAAGGAGGGGAAGAGTTGGGTTCTCAGAGAAGAAACCGGAACCCAGAGGGTGAGACTCACAGAGCAGAGGGATATTTCCCAGCATAGAATTCCAATGGGAAACAAACTATTTTATAAGCCAGACTCTCTACTCATTTGTCTCCCTCTCTACCTACTTTCCTTTAAATGTTGAAAATGATTTTGCCTGCAGGAGATGACAAAGAGGTAAGAAGATATACTTCAAGAGAGATATAATCAAAATGAGACTGACTATGAACAAGGTTGTAAAAAACTGTTAAGAGTGTGTCCTGTCCCCAGGGAAGGCAGTCCTACTAGTGTAAATGAGAAGAAAGAGGAAAATCAGAAGTAAGCTTAATTTATTATTTGGATATCCAGATGGAATGTGAGGCAGGCCCTTGGGGATGACAGTCTGTGACCAAGGAACTGGTTGGTCAAAGTGGCAAGAGATAAGATCTTCCAGGCAAAAAGAGAACTCTGAGTCAAGCTTAGTGATGCTTATATTAAAAAGATAAAAAGAAATGGTCCAGGAAAGGAAGTAGAGAAGGAGTAGGTAGAAAGGAAAACTAGGAGTGTACTAGGTACCAAGCCCAAGGTGGACTTTAGAAAAGAGGGACTAGTTCAGATCGATTTTCCACACAAGGGAGGTGGGCAGGCAGGTCTGATGGCCCCCACAAACATGCCTTGCCAGGCTGACCTGGAGAGCTGTTTATCAGAAGTCCTAATGAAGGGAGAGGCAGGAGAAAGCAAATAGTTGTTGACTGCAGCCAGAGTTGTAAAGTCTGAATGATGCAATGAAGACAGACAACAAGATAGAAGAATCGGGTGATTTAGTGTCCCAGGAGATTGAAGCACATCAAAATTTGGTTTAAGACGCTGGTCAACATAACTGGTGAATGCTAAGTCTTGCTAGAATTCCCTTCACTTGGTTCATGTGGCAGTGTAAAGGTCCCATTCACTCGATATAAATAATCTGATAATGAATAGGTTCATGGCAGCCTCTGCTCAGTAGCAAATGGAGGGAGGACAGATTGCTGTGAGGGAAGTGGTGTGGATTCTGGGAAGTCTGGTGACTGCGGGCAGTTTAAAACTTTTCCACAAAGGTCAAACCACTGTATTTTAAATCATGGGAGTGTTCTCTTTCCTCAGATTGAATTTACTGAAGAAATTCGTTCTGCGGGTACAGGAGTAAAGTCTGAGTTCTTCCACTGTATGTTTGAAGAGATGACCAAAGCAGAATATGGAATGTTCGTGTATCCTGAAGAGGGCTCCTGCATGTGGTTTCCTGTCAGCGTAAGTCTAGTCCTCATTTTCTTGCGGGTTTTCAGAACAGGAAAAGTATGCCATATACTAGAACAGGACAACCACACTTAATAATATAAAATTAGGTCCTGGTTGGTATGGTTTGGTTCATTGGAGCTTCATCCTATGGACCGGAAGGTCAAGTATTTAATTCCTGGTCAGGGAATCTTACCTAGTTTGTGGGTTTGATATCCCATTCGGGGCGCAGTTATGACACATATGAGAAGCATTCTATGCCATTGATGTTATCTCTCACACATCATTGTTTCTCTCTCTCTCCCTTCTTCTCTCAAACCAACTTTTTAAAATAATACTATTTTAAAGAAATAATCTAAATTTAGTTCAGAGAGAGCCTTGCTACTTAAAATATGGTCCATAAAACAGCAGCTCAAGCACCACCTGCGAATTGTGTGAAAAGCAGAATTTAAGGCCCATGTAATTTTTTAAAATTATTTTTAATTGTTTTTGTTACAGATGTTTCTTTTTCCCCCATTTATACCGTCCTTCAGATCCCACAGTCACAGAATTATTGTCTGTGTTCAATTGTTATGCATATATGCATATAAGTCTGGTTTATCTCTCTTCCCTTTGTGGCTCCCCTCCTCTGAGGTTTGTGAATCTGATTCCTACTTCTATGTCTCTGGGTCTATTTTTATTCATCAGCTTATTTTGGTTTATTGTGCTTAGCATAATACTCTCCAGGTCCCTACATGTCATGTCAAAGGATAAGAGATGTTTCTTTCTTCCAGTTGCATAGTACTCCATTGTGTGTATGTACCACAGCTTTTTATCCACTCCTCTACTGATGGACACTTGGGCTGTTTCCAGATCTTAGCAATTGTAAATAGTGCTGCTATGAACATTGGGGCACATATATTCTTTCTGATTGGTGTTTCAGGCTTTTTAGGATATATTCCTAGAAGTGGGATCACTGGGTCAAATGGCAGTTCATTTCTTAATCTTTTGAGGAAACACCATATTGTTTTCCATAGTGGCTGCACCAGTCTGCATTCCCACCAGCAGTGTACTAGAGTGCCCTTTTCTCCATACCTTCGCCAGCACTTGTTGTTTGATGATTTGTTGATAGTAGCCTTTCTAGCAGGTGTGAGGTGATATACCTCATAGTTGTTTTAATTTGCATCTCTCTGATGATTAGTGACACTGAGCATTTTTTCCATATTCTCTTGGCCATTTGTATGTCCTGTTTGGAGAGGTGCCTATTTAGGGCCTTTACCCATTTTTTTAATCGGGTTCTTTGTCTTCTTTTTGTTGAGTTGTATGAGCATAGTATGTATTTTGAAAATGAACCCCTTATCTGATGTATCGTTGGCAATTATGCTCTCCCATATGGTGGGTTCCCTTTATATTTTCATGCTTGTTTCCTTTGCTATGCAGAAGCTTTTTAGTTTGATATAGTCCCATATATTAATTTTTCCTTTGTTTATCTTGCCTCAGGCATTGTGTCAGTGAAAAATCCCCTGCGTGTGATGTCTGAAATGTTGCTGCCTACATATTTTTATAGGATTTTTATGGATTCACGAGTCACATTTAGGTCTCTTATCCATTTTGAGTTTATTCTTGTGTATGGTGTAAGTTGGTTGTCTAGTTTCATTTTTTTGCATGTAGCTGTCCAATTTTCCCAGCACCATTTATTAAAGAGGCTGTCTTTAGTCCATTGTATGCTCTTGCCACCTTTGTCAAATATTAATTGAGTATAATGTCTTGGGTCAGTTTCTGGGTTCTCTGTTCTGTTCCATTGATCTATATGCCTATTATTGTGCCACTGCCAGGCTGTTTGATTACAGTCACTTTGTAGTATAACCTGATATCTGGTATTGTGATCCCTCTTACTTTGTTCTTCTTTTTCAGGATTGCTGTGTCTATTCGTGGTCTTTTTCAGTTCTATATAAACTTTTGGAGAATTTGTTCTAGTTGTGTGAAATATGTTGTTGGTATTTTAATGGGGATTGCATTGACTCTATAGATTGCTTTGGGTAGAATGGACAGTTTAATGATGTTAATTCTTCTAATCCATGAACAAGGTATATGCTTCCACTATTTTATATCTTCCTCTATTTCCTTTTTAATGTCCTGTAGTTTTCTGCAAATATGTCCTTTACTATTTATTTATTTATTTATTTATTTCCTCACCTGAGGACATTTTTGCATGTATCTTCAGATAAAGCAGGAGGGAGAGAGGAAGGAAGAGAGAGAGAAAGAGAGAGAAACATCGATATGAGAGAGACACATCGAGTGGTTGTTACCCAAACAACCCCTACCAGGGCCGGGGACAAACTGCAACCAAGGTACATGCCCGTAGTGGGAACCAAACCCGGGACTCTTTGGTCCGCGGGCTGACACTGTTAACTACTGAGCCAAACTGACCAGGGCTTCTTTACTTCTTTGGTAAAGTTTATTTCTATGTATCTCAACTATTGTTGCAATGATAAATGGGATTTCTAGTTAGTTCCTCTTTCTGAGAGTCATTGATATATAAGAATTTTGATGATTTTTGGATGTTAATTTTGTATCCTGCTACTTTGCCAAATTCGTTTATTAAATCTAGTGGACTTTTGATGGAGTCTTTAGGGTTTTCTATGTAGAATATTATGTCATCTGCCAATTATGACAATTTGACTTCCTCCTTTGCAACTTGGATCCCTTTTATTTCTTCATCTTATCTAATTGCTATGGCTAAGACTTCAAGTACTGTATCAAATAAGAGTTTCGCAAGTAGACATCCCTGTCTTGTTCCTGTTCTTAAGGGAAATGCTTTTAGTTTTTGTCCATTGAGTATGATCTAGCTGTAGGTTTTTCATATATAGCCTGTATTATGTTGAGATATGATCTCTCTATTCCCACATTGCTAAGCGTTTTTTCAGAGGTGGGTGCTGGATTTTGTCAAATGCTTTTTCAGCATCTGTTGACATGATCATAAGGTTTTTATCTTTCATTTTGTTTATGTGGCGTATCACATATATTGATTTGTGAGTATTGTACTAGCCTTGTATCCCTGAGATAAATCCCAGGTGGTCATGGTGAATAATTTTTTATAATGTGTTGCTGGATTCAATTTGCTAGTATTTTGTTAAGGATTTTGGCATCTATGTTCTTCAGGGATATTGGCTTGTAGTTTTCTTTCTTTCTAGTGCCTTCATCTGATTTTGGAATCAGAATTATGCTGGCCTCATAAAACGAGTTTGGAAGTCTTCCTTCTTCTTGAATTTTTTGGAATAGATTAAGGAGAAAAGGTGTTAGTTCTTCTTTGAATGTTTGTTAAAAGTCCCCCATGAAGCCATCCGGGCCTGGGCTTTTGTTTGCTGGAGTTTCTTGATTACATCCTCAATTTCATTAGTTGTTATTGGTCTGTTCAAGTTTTCTGTCTCTTCCCAGTTCAGTTTTGGGAAACTATGTGATTCTAGAAATTTGTCTATTTCCCCTAGATTGTTCATAGTATTTTTTTTTTTATCCTCATCCAAGGACATTTTTCCATTTTTTGTTCAGATAGAGTAGGAGGGGGAGAGAGAGAGAGAAACATCGACGTGAAAGGGACACATCAAGTGGTTGCCACCCGCACGACCTAACCAGGGCTAGGGATAAACTGCAACCAATGTACGTGCCCCCTAGCGGGAACTGAACCCACGTTTCTCTGGACCACAGGCTGGCGCTCTAACCTCTGAGCCAAACCTGCCAGGGCTGGTCATAGTATTTTTTAATGATCCTTTGTATTTCTGTGGTGTCAGTTGTTACTTCTCTTTCGTTTTCGTTTCTGATTTTGTTATTTGGGTCCTCTCTCTTTGTTTCTCAGTGAGTCTGGCTAAGGGTCCATCAGTCTTGTTTATCTTTTCAAAGAACCAGCTCTTTGTTTCATTGATATTTTGAATTGTTTTTTTTAAGTCTCTGTGTTGTTTATTTCTGCTCCTATCTTTACTATTTTTTTTTTCTACTTGCTCTGGGTTTTTGTTGTTGTTTACTTTCTAGTTTTTTAAGTTTTAGGGTTAGATATCTTATTAGAAATTTTTCTTGTTTCTTGAGGTAGGCCTGTAGTGCTATGAACTTCCCTCTCAGGATCACTTTTGCTGTGTCATATAGAGTTTGTGTTGTTGTATGTTCATTTTCATTGGTTTCCAGGAAGGTTTTTATTTCTTCCTTGATCTCCTTGGTAGCCAATCCGGTCAAATATTCTTCCCACAGTAGAATTTTGGAACCCAGGAGAGGAAAGATGAATGGATGTGTAAAAGTACTGAAAGACTTTTTGAGAAAAAATGAACCTCTGAAAGATAGGAATGGCCAAGGTGTACAAGAGATGGGATTTTAATGGGTCATTCAACAAACATTTATTGACTGTTTCGTGAGGTTCTACATTGTATGAAATATTGTGCAAGATTCAAATTAGTATACGACACCGTCCCTTTCCTCTTTTTGTATATGTAGACGGAGTGATAAGACGAAACCCCAGGAACTTTAACAGTTGTTTCTAAATTATGGATTGTAGACTTTCTGCGGAGTAGTTGTGGAGCACTGCAGGGTGGGGAAGGAAGCACTGATGTAGAACTGGAAGCCCAGAGCTGTAATCTCTAGTGATGGTGGGTGGGTCACTTAGCTTCTCTGAGTTGTCGGTTTCCTCACCTATAAAATGGCTGCCATACTGGGCTCTGCCTGCTTTACAGGACAGTTGTGAGAATAAAACAAGACAAGGCATGTATCCAAGTGTGAAAGCGGCATGAAAACTTTAGGGCACTATCCAAATTTAAGGAATTCTTTATTAGAGAGAAAGTAATCAAGGGGGACCGAAGTGATTGGAGAAAGTGTAATGGAAAAGTGGAGACCAGAGGTTGATGTTGAAGGCCAGGGACAAAATAGATCAAAGAGATGCAAGTGAGGGATGCAGAGGAGGAAAAATAACCTTACCTCAACTCTATCTGATAGGTGATTTGTCCCTTTTTCCAGATAAATAAACTGAGGCTCAGAGAGGTTAAATATACTAACAACATTGAACTAGCAAGTGACTAAGCTAGGATGTGAATTCAGGACTGGACAAAGCCCTTACTCATTAGCATTGTGCTATACTGCTGGAAAGAAACAGACAAGAGTCAGCTTCGTGTATGGCTCAGTGAAGAGACTAAGTCAACTAGAACCAGGGGACACATTACATATATGGGAAATAAGACTGAATAGGTTAGAGGAGGCCACCTTCAGAGAGTACTTGTATTGTATTTTTAACTCATTTTCAACTTCAGAGGTATTTTAACATTTATCCTCACCATTACTCTAAGAAGAAAATAGGGCAAGTAGATGGAGGCACAGACTATTAAGGAAGTGGCCCAGAGTCATGCACCTACTAAGAGCAAGGCTGGCCCTGGAATAGAAATCTTAAAAATATTAGCAGGCTACTGATCTCCTGGCTGGGCTGTAGTGATGGCCTGGCCAGATGAGGCCAGTGCAGAGAGGAGAGTGAAGCCAATATCATCAGGACCCTTTCCTTCTTCCTTCCACCCACCTTCACAGTCAAGAGCATCAGTCACATTCCCTGACCCATATACTCGTTCCTGTAAGGACACCTAAGTTGAGAGTTATATTGCTGAAGGGACACCACACATCTGACACACATCCGACATGCCTGAAGCCTGCTGAAAGTGTCAAGTATACCTTCCTTCCACAGGGTTGTTTAGCACAGACTAAAATTAAATATTGGAAACCTCGGTTTATAAGGCTAAGTGAGCATATTTTTTAATATTCCAGACATGCTATTACTAAACAAAAAATAAATGCATTTACTTAATATTGTGAACTCTTAATTTGTATCTTAACTTATGGAAGAATTCTGAATTGCATTATAGCCCAAGTAAGAACCTCAAATTTTTATTTTCCTGAAGGCCGTTTTGTTTCTAATTTGTGATTTTTAGAAAAGACAACTAAAAATATTTTTTTTGCTTATCTAATTGTCCCAGTGAATTACTGATTATTTATAATACTTTAGGTTTTATTCTTCCCTTCTTTTTCTTTTCCAGCCTAAATTTGCGAAGAAGAGTTATTTTCTCTTTGGGATATTGTGTGGACTCTCCCTGTACCATTTCAATGTTGCCAATATTCCTTTCCCACTGGCTCTGTTTAAGAAACTTCTGGACCAAAAGCCATCACTGGAAGATTTAAAAGAACTCAGTCCTGGGCTGGGGAAGTAAGTGAAGGGTTTTCCAGGACTCTGTCTTGTAAGTCTTAGTTGTTCACACATAAATGATGTTATAGACACACACAAGGTCTTCAATTTCAGTAAAGGTATGCCCTTTAGATGGATTTGAATTTTAGCATGACTTATCGTCAAGTAAACCTTCAAAATGGAGGAAGGCCAAATGTTCCTCTGATTATAAAGCAGTACAATAAACAGAGCCTGTTCGCTTGAATTTATGCAGATGGAAACAGTTGCTTTGGACTGTATACAATATTCCTAATGAGAATATTATGACAAGGAAAAATGTCTCCAAATATTTCCAAATGTCCCTTGTGGGGGCAAAATCACCCCTGGCTGATAATCATGGTCTAGAGGAGTGGGCTCCTGTTTGTACTTTCCACCAAGACACACAGTGTCTGTGTTAGCAGTGGCCCAACCAATCAAAACTGCAAATAGAGGTTAACACTAGGAAGGGGGAATGGGAAGGTGGAGGAGAAGAAATTGACATGGCATTTTATACATTTCTGTAGTGTCCAAAATATTCCCATTGAACATTTATTACTTTTGAAATGCTATAAGATCAATAAATATATTTTTTAAACCAACATTTTCATTAGGAGTTTACAAGAAGTTCTAAATTATGAGGCTGAGGACACTGGAGAAGCACTTCACATATATTTTTCTGTGAGTACTGTCAACCCGTGGTCATTGGCAACAATTCAATGCCAACAGGAATTCCCAAATTGGAGTGCAGTGAAGGAAACTTGATTCAGTCAAAACAGCTCACTTGTGATATAGCACAGCTGTGAAAACAGTATGGCTGTGGGGCAGTGCTGGGGACAGACCTCTCTCTGGCTAGACAGCTCTGCTCTTCCCTGGTCTGCTTTGTGTGGACTGGTCTGGTCTGCTGTATTCTGGTCTGCTCCACTATACTCTGGTCTGCTCTGGTCTATGCTGGTGTGCTCTGCTCTCCTCCTGTGAGACCTCTTCTGTGTTTCAGCTCAGCCAGGGAAACGCAGTCTTCAGTCTTAGGTGGAAAGGAAAAATACACTCCTCAAGCCAGAGGGCAGCTGGCTTATATAGACAGAAATCATATAGTCCAAATGGCACTGTCCTGATTGGTCAGTGAAGATGTTGATGGGGATATAGTTGTGCACCTCCGATTGCATGGGGTAGCCTCAGTTCAGTTGGTTGAGATAGGATTCCAGGCACTCCTTTATAAGGGTTGGCTCAGACTGCAGAAACACAGTGCAGGCAGGCAGTTCAGTGCAGAGGCAGGTAGTGCAGTGCAGGCTTCTCCCTTAAGTGCAGTTGCATGACAGGCCCCTCTGTAGAATCAGCTGCTAGGATGATTTTTAAAATTTAGCCACGTGGAGACCTTCTTAGTAGATATTTTCTTTCTAAGGGTCCACAGTACTAATGAATATCAGATTATAACTTAGCTTTAAGGTTTTTAAAAATATATTTTTATTGATTTCTACAGAGAGGAATGGAGAGGGAGATAGGAACATCGATATGAGAGAGAAACATCAATGGGCTGTCTCCTGCACGCTCCCAACTGCGGATGGAGCTCGCAACCCGGGCATGTGGCCTGACAGGGAATCAAACAGGGATCTCTCAGTCCTTGGGAAGACTGAGCCACACTGGCTGGGCAGCTGTAATATTAAAAAAATATATATTGTATTATATCTCAAAGATGGGATTTCTTTTCTTTTCTTTTTTTTTTTTTTTTTTTGGTATATGCCTCTAGTGGGAACTGGACCCAGGATTCTCTGGTCCACAGGCCCACGCTCCAGTCGCTGAGCCAAACCGGCCAGGGTGGCATTGCTTTTTTGAATGGGTTTGTACTGTAAGACTTTCCCACTCCCTGCTCCTCATTTTATACCTTATGTCTTTTTACTCTTTTTTTGTTTGTTTGTTTTTATAATCCTCACCCGAGGACATTTTTGCATTTATCTTCAGATAGAGTAGAAGAGAGAGAGGGAAGAAAAGTGAGAGAGAAACATTGATGTGAGAGAGACACATCAACTGGTTGCCACCCACATGACCCCAACCGGGGTCGGGGACAGACTGCAACCAAAGTACGTGCCCTTAGTGGAAACTGAACCTGGGATTCTCTGATCTGCAGGCCGATGCTCTAACCACTGAGCAAAACCAGCCAGGGCAGTATACTCTTAAATTAAGTGACAATACAAGCAATTATTCAGTCGATGTGAACAACTAAATGGATCAATGTATGCTTAAAAGCAATTTACCACATATACTAGGGTAAGTTTTAAATTTTTGTATGTGTGAACTACGTAAATAATTATTTAGCTCCCAGTTATTTTCAGTTTTATAGGGAAGAATATATTGGCAATAATGGTATTATGGTTGATTATCCTGACTTTCTTTCATATTTGTGACCTGAGTATATTTTGGTTACAGCTATGTTGGGATCAAAATGATGTTGATTTAATTCCAAATGGGATCGATATACTTGTGGACCAAACCAACAAGTAAGTTCTAAGACTTAGGTTATATGCTTTGAATACACATAAGACATTTATATCACTTTACCTTATAAATGTATCTTACTTCTCAGATGAACATTTTAGTTCATCTTTTAGAAAGAGGAAATGGTTACAGGGTAAGAGAAGGGAGAAAGGAGTCAGAATTAAGTATTTCCTTTGTAGCACTTTTCACTAGTTATTCATTTAATTATTTTTGAGCCCCTACTCTGTGCCAGACCCTATTCTCAGTGCTGGAAATATAGCAAGGAAAAGGACAGACAAAATCTGGAGCTTAAATTCCAGTAGGACAGAAAGACAATACATGAATAAGCAATTAGGTAATAGAATGTTGAATAAGGATGAGGACTCTGACGAAACGAAATCCAATTAATAGACTAGAGAGTTACAGGTGCAGGTATGCTGGAGTCAGCTAGTACCAGCTTGTGAGGGCTGATTGTTAAATTTTCAGAAATGTTGAGAGTTTATTATTAGTTTTTGTAGCTTGAAATCAGCCATGGTGGGAATATTTACAGAAATTGGCAAAGGCTGCCAATGAGCATTCCCTTTTTCTCTATCATTTTAGAAAACAGAGCCTGGTCTCTTAAATTTCTCCAAATGGAAAAAGTTGCTTTGGACAGTATACAATATTGTCTGGTTGTTCAACATTTACCAGACACCACTGGTTACAGGGGAGTGCAGAGAGGGGTTGTCATAGATAGAATAGTCCAGGAAGGATGCTCAAAGGGTGGCAACCCTGCCATCAGGAAATTCTTCATGTAGTGAAGACAGACTTTGCATAAATAATTTTCACATAGTCATATGTGTTAAAGTGTGGGGGGAAAGACATACAGAGGACCAACCCTAAGAAAATCATGTTCATATTGAACTCTGATGAGTGACAGAAGTTGCCATGTAAAGAGGAGGAAGCACTGCATGCTGTAGTCCAACTACAAGACAAATTGTGAGGCCAGAGATTCAAACAGAGGTGGGAAAAGGCTGTAGAACAGGGCAACAGTCAGATCATGGAGGACTTTCTGATTCTGCTGTGGCGGTTGCACTCAGCCTTTGAGAAACCTTTGAAAGATTTTGAGCAGAATGACATATTTTAGTGGTTTTAAAATATCATTGTGACTGCAGCTTTGAATGGAAAGGGTATAGGGGGCAGGAAGAGATTAACCAAAGAATTATATGCATATATGTATAACCAATGGACACAGACAATAGTGTGGTGAAGTTCTGTGTGGAGGGCAGAAGCAGGGTGAAGGGGGTCAGTGGGGTAAATAAAGAGTATATCTGTAATACTCTCAACAATAAAGATCATTTAAAGAAAAGTAATATTTGGTTGAAGTCAAGCAGAATGAACTTTGGGGATACAAAAATAATTCTGGAATTTTATATTAAATATGCTCACTGTTATAATTTTATTATTGAAAACTTTATCAATTAAAATTAAAATTTTAAGCCCTCGTCAGTTTGGCTCAGCGGTTAGAGTGTTGGCCTCCGGACCAGAGTCCCGAGTTCAGTTCCCACTAAGGGGATGTACCTTGGTTTCAGTTTGTCCCCGGCCCTGGTTGGGGTTGTGTGGGTGGCAACCAGTCAATGTGTCTCTCTCACATTGATGTTTTTCTCTCTTCCTTTGTCTCTCCCTCTTGCTCTATCTGAAGATAAATGCAAAAATGTCCTCGGGTGAGGATAAAAAAAAAAATTAAAAAACAAAAACAAAAAAGAAAAAAAATTAAAATTTTGACATTAACATACAGGATAGTTATTTCTCTATTGCTAGATTACTCCTGCATATTTCTTTCTTTTTTTATCCTCACCCGAGGACATTTTTCATTTTTTGTTCAGATAGAGTGGGAGGGAGAGAGAGAGAGAGAAACATCAATGTGAAAGGGACACATTGAGTGGTTGCCACCTGCACAACCAACCAGGGCCAGGGACAAACCGCAACCGAGGTTCGTGCCCTTAGTGGGAACTGAACCCGGGTCTCTCTGGACCACAGGCTGACGCTCTAATCGCTGAGCCAAACTGGCCAGGGCTCTTTTTTTTAATAATATTAAATAGACTCTAACATCTAAGTAAGGCTGATAGAAGAGAAGAAATAATGTTATAATCTCATTTTCTGTATTATTCTTAAAAGATGTAGAGAATTCACAATTCCAAAAAAATGCTGTTTATTATAAGACTCAGGAACTAAACGATGTTTTAAAAAATATAAATGAGCCCTGGCCGGTTTGGAGCGTTGGCCTGCGGACCAGAGAGTCCTGGGTTCAGTTCCCGCTAGGCGCACGTACAAAAAAAAATATGTGTGTGTGTGTGTGTGTGTGTGTGTGTGTGTGTGTATATATATATATATACACATATATATATAAATGAAATATTTTTCTTAAAATTTATGTCCCATGTTATTCATGCTTAATATTCCAAACAGATTATATCTTATATCTGCTCTTCAGTCATTCATTATTATTTGATTGTACTGAATATTTGTTGACTTGATAAAGACATAATATTATTACTAAATTATTCAGTTAACATGCTTTTCACATATGTACATTAACTAATACTAATAATTATCAATTTCTTTATTTAAAAAAAGTCTTAATTCTTCTGTTATACTCTCCATTATATTCTCTATTCTAACTGAGTAGATGTTTTTATATCCCAGGGTAGTACTGGGTTGTGTGCTATGCAGCAGTAATTTACTTTTCTTTCTTAATAGAAATGGTGAAAAGGTAAAAGTCAAGAATATTTTAGTCACTGATAAAATATGTTATTGGCCTTTTTTGTTTTTTTCCTTCAAGGAAAGACTATGTTTCTAAGTGTGTTGATTACATTTTCAATACTTCTGTAAAGACTGTTTATGAGGAATTTCAGAGAGGATTTTATCAAGTCTGTGACAAGGAGATACTTAGACTTTTCCATCCTAAAGAACTAATGACAGCAATAGTTGGAAATACTGATTATGACTGGAAACAATTTGAAAAGGTAGGTGATAACTAAGTGTTCCCAACTCTTCTGAATAACGTCTATATGATCCCCCTAAGACCCGTTTTTCTCCCTCTCTTTTTCTCTAGAATTCAGTATATGGGCAAGGATACTATAAATCACATCCTACTATTCTGATGTTTTGGGAAGCTTTCCACAAATTTACTTTGGATGAAAAGAGGAAATTCCTCTGTAAGTATTATAGTAATAGATGGATCTATAAATGTATACCTTTTGTTTTTTTTTAATTCCTCACCTGAGGATATTTTTCTGTTTATTATCAGATAGAGTGAGAGGAAGGGAGAGAGAGACAGAGAGAAACATTGATGTGATAGAGCCACATCGACTAGTTGCCTCCCACACAACCCGACCAGGGCCAGGAACAAACCGCAACCAAGGTACATGCCCTTGACCGGAATCGAACCCGTGACTCATTGGTCTGAAGGCTGATGCTCTAACTGCTGAGACCAACCGTCCAGGACAAATATATATCTACTAAAAAGATAGATCTTATTTGTGGTGGATCATGAGTGCTAACGACAAAGCAAGGGTTATAACCCAAATTTCATACCATCTCCAGGGATAGGGAACCTTTTTTTCTGCCAAGGGCCATTTGGATATTTATATCATCATTTGCAGGCCAAACAAAATTATCAACTTAAAAATTAGCCTGCTAGCCCTGGCCAGTTTGGCTCAGCAGTTAGAGCGTCGGCCTGCGGTCCGGAGAGACCCGGGTTCGGTTCCCGCTAAGGGCACGTACTTCGGTTGCAGTTTGTCCCCGGCCCTGGTTGGTTGTGCGGGTGGCAGCCACTCGATGTGTCCCTTCACGTCAATGTTTCTCTCTCTCTCTCCCTTCCTCTCTCTCCCTCCCACTCTATCTGTACAAAAAATGGAAAAATATCCTCGGGTGAGGATAAAAACAAAACAAAAAATTAGCCTGCTATATTTGATCAGGCTGATTTGATGAGGCGTATGATATTAGCTGGTATTGATTTCTCAGGCCTTAACCAGCCTACAGGCTGGATGTTCCCCACCCCTGGTCTAAAGAAATGTTTTTTCTCTTATATAAGCCTGTTACCCATAAGAAAATGATAATAAAGATACTGCTATTTTACTACCTTCTCTACACTGACTCTAACCCCATCTCTAATTTTAGTTTATATACACTTGCCTCACTCTACTTGGCTCCTAATGATGCCTTTTTATCTTACATTCCTATCCTTAGTTAATTATCTACTCCCGTGGAATGAGAACAATGTCAACTGTCTCAAATATTATTTTAGAAATAATAATAATAGCAGTGACCACCGATAATGATACAGCATTTACTGTTTGCTTACCCTGTGCCAGGCATCGTACTCATCACTCTGTATCTGTTACCTCCCTTTATCCTAATAGCAACCTTAAGAGGTAATGACTTATTTTTCTCCGTCTGAGGAAAAAGAGACTTGGAGCATTTAATAGCTTTCCTGGGTTCAGATAGCTGGTGAGTGTCAGAACCAGAATTTGAACCCAACAGGCTGATCCAAAACTCAGGCTATTGACCACTAACTAAGCTCTGTGGCCTCGTCCTATATGAACTTCTCTTAGGGAGAACCCTAAGGTTTCCCTAGGACAGACAGTGACATTCTCCCACCTCCTCACCCTATTTGTCAGCTCCTCCAGTGACACACATATTTCTTCTTGCTACTTTTGTTGCTTCTGAGGATGCTGGAGGACAATTCCAACTTCTCTACAAACCCAGCCCAGGTCTCTACAAGCCCAAACTACCTCTCTAATCTTCTCTCTTAATGGGAAACATGTACTTCAGCACAGTAGTTTCACTGTCTGTACTTTCAAGTCTGTACATTCAGTGAACATATCTCTTCCTACTTCAGGCTTTTACATAGGACCCCCACCCCTGCCTGCCCCACTACCACTTTGGAAGCTTACTCAGCCCCTCTCCTGGAGAAATAACTATCCAGATGGGATCTGTATGAAGTCTCCCTAGCTATCCCAGCCTGGTGCCTCTCTTCCTGCCCGGAGTCTTAGGGTTTTCATTAGGCTGTTAACCTCATACTTCTTGGTTGAGCTAAAGTAAACTTCCTTGTATTTTTCTATTTTCTTTTCCTGTACTGTTGACCCTTGAACAACCTGGGGGGTACAGGCACTGATCCCCCCAAACACAAACAATGGAATGTTTGTGTATAACTTTTGACTCCCCCAAAACTTAACTACTAATAACCATCAATTAACACACAATTTGTATGTTATATATAATATATAATGCAACCTTCAATAAACTAAGTTAGAGAAAAGAAAATGTTATTAAGAAAATCATAAAATCCATTTATGATATTTATTGAAAAATATCTTGATATAAGTAGACCCATGTAGTTCAAACCCATGCTGTTCAGGGATCAACTATATGTAATTTTCCCCCAACTAGACCATGAACTCACTGAGAACAAAGACCAAATGTCATGATTTTTCTATGCTCCACATGGTCCTAGGTAGTTCTCTACACACAAGGATATTCAATAAACATTTACTGAATAAAATGATTAATTTCTTCCTTTTCCTTTCAAAATTTTCTCTTTCTAAGGAATATCCTAACCAAAGATTATTCCTTTCCAGTTTTTCTTACAGGAAATGATAGGCAGACTGCAAGAGGATTGCAAGAAATGGGAATCACATTTTGCTGTCCTGAAACGTTCAGTGAGAGAGATTTACCAAGATCACGCGTATGTCATAGTATTCTGGACCTCCCAAAATATTCTACAATGGAAAGACTGGAGGAAGCACTTCAAGTAGCCATCAACAACAACAGAGGATTTGTCTCACCTGCATACCTACAGTAGTAGTGACCTTTGAGAGTCTCGGCAAAGCCTCAGATTCTCAGGCTATCTCACTCTTAGATTCTGATGTTCTTCTTAAAGTCTAATTAATACAAAGGGTTGATGGATTTTAATGAGAATTAGTAGCTAAATGTTGAGAGAAACAATTAAGTGATGAATCAAGATATTTTTAATAAATCAACATTCCTGATCCTTAAAATTGCTATTATAATATTTGCCTTTTATTGAAATACTTCCTGAACAATAATTATCATTTTAAAATAAGCTAAATATTAAAAAATAACAGCTCTTTTTAAAAATTGTGCATCTAGTAAACACTGCCTACAAATATGAAAGTTTGCAAAAATAAACAAAAATATAAACAAATTAAATTTGCTTTTGAGGCATTTAGATATATATTTTGAATTTTGAAAATTAGATGTACATTTGATTTTAGCTAACTACTGAATAATTTATTTCAAAAATCTAAACATTAAGGGATTCATTAATTCATTAAATAATTACTTATGCTCAGTACAGTGTTCCAAGAATCATTCCAAATGGAGAATGAAAGGACCTAGTTACCTCAGTCCAAAGAGGCCTTCTTCAAGGCACTTTGAAAAAAATAGGTGTTTCTTGATTTTAGAGAGGAAGGGAGCGATAGAACCATCCATGAAAGAGTAACATTGATCAACTGTCTCCTGCACACCCCCTATTGGGGATTGAGCCTGCAACCAGGGCATATGCCCTGACCAGGAATTGAACTGGTGACCTCTTGGTGTATGAAATGATGCTCAATCCACTGAGCTACACCAGCCGGGCTCCAAGGCACATTTGATTAAAAGTCAAAAATCAATGACAAAGAAAGAATTCTTGTGGCTACCAAGGTAAAGAAGAATGTAACCTATAAAGGAATATCCATTAGGTTATCATTGGACTTTTCAGTAGAAACTCTGCAAGCCAGAAAAGAGTGGAACCATATATTCAAATTACTGTAAGAAAGAAATTATCAGCCAAGAATAATATGTCCAGCAAAGTTAACTGTTAAATGTGAAGGAGAACTAAAGACTTTTTCAGACATTCTGAAGTTGAGTGAATTTATCACCGGAAGACTTCCATTGCAGGAAATACTCAAGGGTGTTATGCTTCCTGAAACCAAGAAGAAAAGATCATAACACTACAAGTAAGATCACCAACAAACTTACAACATAAACAGGAATAATTTGTGACATGAAAACATAAAAGAGGAGAAAGAAACTATAAAAAATTCAGAAACACAACCAATCATATATGAATCAACATAGTTTTGACAGAGACGCCAAGGCAGTTCAGTGGGGAAAGGCAAACTGCAACTACTGGGAAACCATAGGACAAAAAATAAAAATAAAACTCTACATTTACCTCATGCCATAAAGAATAATTCACTTTAAATGTAACAAGACCTAAAACTATAAAACTTCTAGAAGATAATATTTAAGACAATCTTTGTAACCTTGGATTAAGCAAAGATTTCTTAAATCAGACAAAAAAAAAAAAAAAGGCATGAACTAGGTAAAAGAAAAAAAAAAGATACACTGCAGCCAAATGAAAAACTTTCACTCTTCAAAAGATACTTTTAATAAAATTAAAGGGCAAGCTTCAGACTGGTAGGAAATATTTCAAAACATCTAATAAAAGACTTGATATAGTGGATTGAGCATAGTCTCATGGACTGAGAGGTCCCAGTTTGATTCTGGGTCAGTGCACATGCCCAGGTTGTGGGCTCAATCCCCAGTAGGGGGCGTGCAAGAGGCAGCCAATTGATGTTTTATCTCTCTCTCTATCTCTAAAAATCAATAAAAACATATTTACAAAAAAAAGAAAAGCAAGGATATCAAGAGCTTTTAAATAATAAGCAATTACATTAATAATTCCCCAAAGTTGTGAATAGACACTTCACCGAAAAAGAGATTAGCACTAATAAGCATAGGAAAAGATGCTCAATGTCATTAATCACCAGAGAAACGAAAACTAAAAGTACAGTAAGATTTAGCCACCAAAACTGGGTTCCTAAGGGTTGTATCTGCTGCTCTGCTCATGGACTGGATTATCCAACTTGTTGAGGTCCTCACCAAGAAGCTATGCAAGTTCCATTAGCTAGATGGTTCAAGCATGCAAAATGAACCTACCTTCTGCAGAGAACAGAAAGCATGTACATGACATTTTGAACACTAAGAAGCATTTTCTTGAATTGTTATTAAAAGAAAAATTATCTGAATGGTAACATCAGAGGAAGGGGAGCCTGAGAGATGCCCTTATCCTCTCCCTTTGAAACTGTATAAAGTTAATCAACTATAACTCAACAAAGGATTCCCTGCTCAATATAGAAGCATGTTTAAGAGACCCATGCGTTGAAGCATCTAAAGGTGGGCAATTGAAAATAAATGGGGAGGCAAGAAGGGAGGAGAGATTAGATGGCCAGAGACTCAGCCTTGTAGCTGGAAGCTGGTGGCCAGCTCTGCTGGAGAGGGGAGAAAGCTATTGGTAGCAGGTTCTTCTGTCAGCAAGGAGGAATAGAGAGTCTCAGTGGGCTCTCCAGCAAGGCAAGTGATGGGAACAGTGGCTGAACCAGCAGAGACACTTGGGAATGGACACCGTGTAAGCGTTGAGCTGCAGCTGTCTGCTGTCGGGAAGTGGTGTTTCAGACAAAGAAATGAAGCCACAGAACCCTGCCATGCCTTGGGCTCCCAAAACTTGCCTCCAGTTACCCTTGGTGTTGGGTTAAGGGACACAGACTAAGAGATATTGTAGTAAAATCACTGTTTCCTCTGTAATTAATCCCCAGTAGGGTGCATGGGGCACTGTTTCCCTCTATGATAGATCGCCCAAGCAGCACGGATGTACTGTCTAATGGAAGCCAGGGAGGTTAGCTCCGAGAGGTCACAGAGGTAAAAAATCTTGAGATTCAGCCCTGGCTGGTTTGGCTCAGCAATTGGAGCGTTGGCCCAAGGTCCAGAGAGGCCGGGGTTCGGTTCCTGCTAAGGGCATGTACCTTGGTTGCAGTTTTTCCCCAGCCCGGTTGGGTCCTATGCGAGGCAGCCACTCAATGAGTTCCTTTCACGTTGATGTTTCTCTCTCTCTCTACCTCTCTCTCCTTCCTACTGTCTGAACAAAAAAAATGGAGGAATGTCCTTGGATGAGGACAAAAAACAACAACAAAAAACTCGATATTCAGCCCAACCTCCTGGAAAATCGTAGAAAGACTTCCTCAGAGAAATTGGCTAGATAAAGGTCAACAATACACAGATGCCTGGTCATTAGGATACCAGCAAATACCATGAATAACCATGGTAATGGGGAAAGGTCAGAAAGAAAATAATAAAATCTCCAGAAAGCAAGCTGAAACACATGGAAATATGTGATATCAAAGACAGAATTCAAGATTGCAGTTCTGAAAATATTTAATAAATGTGAGAAAATACAGACAGCCAATTCAGTACACCCAGAAAACAAATTAATGAACAAAATGAGTACTTTACCAAAGAGATTGAAACTTTGAAAAAGAAAAAGAAAAACAATCAGAAATCCTGGAAATGAAACTTGCAATTAAGGAGATTAGTAGTGAACTACCGAGCCAAGGAAACTGAGCCAGCCAGATGGAGGAAAGAATTAGTGATATCAAAGATAGGAATTAAGAAGTGACACAGAGCCCTGGCCAGTTTGGCTCAGCGGTTAGAGCGTCGGCCTGCGGTCCGGAGAGACCCGGGTTCGGTTCCCGCTAAGGGCACGTACTTCGGTTGCAGTTTGTCCCTGGCCCTGGTTGGTCGTGCGGGTGGCAGCCACTCGATGTGTCCCTTCACATCGATGTTTCTCTCTCTCTCTCCCTTCTTCTCTCTCCCTCCCGCTCTATCTGTACAAAAAATGGAAAAATATCCTCGGGTGAGGATAAAAAAAAAAAGAAGTGACACAGAGATAAGAAAAGACAGACCTGAGATAAAACAAAATGAAAGAGTTCTACAAGAACTATATGACTCCATTAAAAAAAGCAATAAAAGAATAATAGGCATACCAGAAGGAGAAGAGAGGGAGAAATGAACGGAGAGCCTGTCAAAAAAATAGTGGATGAAAACTTCCCAAACCTATAGAAATAACTAGATCTTGGAATCCAAGAAGCAAGTAGAACACCTAGTTATGACAATCCAAAGAGGCCTCTCCAGGGCATATTGTATTAAAACTGTCAGAAACTAATGACAAAGAAAAAATTCTCAAAGCAGCCAGGGAAAAGAAGGAAGTGATCTACAAAGAAAAATCCTTCCGCCCAACTGGTGTGGCTCAGTGGTTGAGCATCAACCCATGAACCAAGAGGTTGCCAGTTCAAATCTCGGTCAGGGCACATGCCCATGTTGTGGGCCAAATCCCCAGCAGGGGGCAGGCTGGAGGCCTTTCTCTCTCTCTAAAAATCAATAAAGAAAATAAAAGATATTATCAGAAAAGGAAAATCCTTCAGAATATCATCTGATTTCTCACCCAAAATTCTTTGAGCCAGAAGAGAGTGAAACCAAATAATCAAATGACTGAAGGAGACAAATTACTAGCCAAGAATAATATATCCTGCAGAGTTATCCTTTAAATATGAAGGAGATATTAAGCCTTTCCCAGTCATACTGTTGCTGAGGGATTTTATCACCAGAAAACCTTCACTGCAAGGAATATTCAAGGGAGTTATACTACCTGAAACAAAGAGCATAAGGTCACAACACTACGAGTAAGATCACCAAAAACATACAGCATAAAAAAGGGATAATTGGTGAAAGTAAAAACATAAAAGGGGAAGAGTTAAAGATCTGAACTGGCCAATGAGGATAAAGATCAGATGCACTAAAAAAAACCAGCATATATGCAACTTTATTTTTCTTAAAACTAATGGTAACCACACACAAAAATCCCCCAAGTAAGACACATAGCTTTAAAAAAAAAAGGAAACAGACTTCCAGTCAAGATGGCGGTGTAGGTAAATGTAGTATTGCGTCCTCTCACAACCACATCAAAGTTACAACTAAACTACTGAACAACCATCATTCAAAACTGCCTGAAATTGCACTGAATGGAAGTCCTACAACTACGGAATTAAAGAAGGAGCCACAACGAGACTGGTAGGAGGTGTGGAGGCGGATGGACTGGTCCCACACCCACGTGTGGCAGATACAAATCAGGAGGATACCTCGGCTGGGAAAGT